ACACACACACACACACTCTCTCTCTCTCTCTCTCTCTCTCTCTCTCTCTCTCTCTCTCTCTCTCTCTCTTTCTCTCTCTCTAAGAAAACGCCCGACCCAAAGCACCGGGTCTGGCGCATCTTTGCTGCACAGGGCGAAGCGCAAACTCAAAGCCAAAAAAGATCCCTGTCTAGCTTCCTTCTCCGCTATGGCAAGAGATTTTTCTTTGAAGCCCAACCATGCAAGCCATGCAGCACAACACAATTCACTCATGCATGTCAGCACATGGTTTGGAACTGGGGTAAGGGGTGCGTGTGCGTGTGGGTGCGTGTGTGGGTGTCTCAATCGCCAAGGGACCCGCATGTGCACATCCATCATGTGACTGACAGTTTTTGAACTTGTTCTTATTTTACTTTATTTTGATTCGCACAAACGAACGAGTTTTGCGCGCGCCGAATGAAGGTGAGAGTGATGATTTTGTGGAGATTTGAAGGAAGGTTAGTTGGAGCGAAATTAAAAAAGTATGGTCATCGTAATGTTAAAACAAGGGCGATGCGGGAACGGGAAACGCGGGCAAACCGTGTTTTGCCGAGAAGGGGAAGGGATGTTGCAGGGTTATGGTAAGGCCAGCTGCGAATCATCACATCTGCAATCTGCCTTTGTCCAATCTTACTCGCAGACAGCGTACATGAAGGATATCATCAATAAGGTTGAGGCTAAGCCCCAAATGCCGAATCAATGGTGCTTACATTGTTGTTGTAAGGCGGACATGGGTGGTTTTTTGACTTTGTATTTTCTTTGGTTTAATTTTATTTTGGGGTGTGTATGTAGTATGTCTTGTCGCAAGATACGACTTGGGGCTTGAGGAGGGATGTACGCATCGACCAATCGCTGGACTCTCCGCTCGCACACATGTCTCCGAGCTGTGTGTAGGTGAGTAGAAGAAAAGGGTGTGAGGGTGTGTGTGTCTTGCATGCGTGATGACCAGGTGGGGGGATGTGTGCGCATGTGCACTCTAGTTTCCCCATGTTCTAGACACCCATACCCACACACCCACACACCCACACACTTTTCTAAAGAACCTAGTCGAGTCGGAAAAGCAGGGTCAAAAGGATAAGCCTTTTCTTGTTTTATGCACCTCGTATCTTTGGTTGCGAGGGCGGCAAGAAAGAATGGAGAAAAGAAAAGAAAAGAAGAGCACCAAGCAAGCATGGTAAGTTTTGGGTCGACTGTTTGGGCGCAACGCACGTTCCGAACCGTTGCCTTCCCTTCCGCCTAACCGCCCCCCGCCGACGGGGGGTCCAGCGCGCCGCACCTGCTCGTCATATTTGCTTTGGCCGCGACCACCAAAGTGGTGTATGATGACGCACCACGAACAGTCTCACCTTTTTTGTTTTACTTCTGATCTTCTTGCTTTTAGTCTTCTGCATCAACGCATCCCCTTCGTTACTTGCAGCCGTTTTTTTTTTACTCCCTTCCCCGGAAAAAAAAGAAAAACCCCGACCAGGCGAAAAAGAGAAATTGCTATATATGAAGAATGAGGCTGCAGAAGCGTTTTGCAACTCGTGCAGCGACACCCCCTCCTCCTCCTCCTTCGCCCCTCCGCCCCATAGCCCTTCGCCCCTCTCCCCTTTCGTTACCGTACATTGCAACTGCATGCATACGTAGGGATTTTATTTTGTCACAAAAGCCGCTCGTGACGCCTCATGCGATCGCTGCCTGCAAGTCAAACAGGTTACGCCATTACTCGGGGGCGGCGCGTGCAACAGCAGCGGCATATGTGGGCTTCTTTGGTTGCATCCGCTACCAGTCTTTGCGTTTGGGCCGTACTGCCTATTTGCCACCACACACCTGCATGCTGGCCCGTTTTCGATGCAAGTGTGTGGTGGACTGTATGTAGGTGACCCCGACACCCAGGTACACGTGTATCTCCACCATGTGTTAGAGTTGGGTGTGTGTGATGCGTGTGTGCGTGTGAAAAGCATGCAAGCACACTTACGCACACACACATACACACACACACACACACTCACACACTCACATACACACACTCACAGACATACATGCATATCGCTTCTTTTGCTCACTACCTAATGACTGGTTTGCGCGAATCGCTGCTAAACGAAAAAGAAGCAAAAAAACATACGAGACAGATGAAATTCTACTTCATGCATGGCCCTCTCAAATTGGTTTGAGGCAGTTGCGTCTTTTTTTTTCCTCTTTGCTGCTTGACACATAGGCACTTCCTCTTGCGCTGGAGCATCACCCATGCTGTCCATGTGGAAATTAAAGTGGGCAACAAAACCGCACGTGTACCGCTCCGTCAAAGTGGCAAAGGATTAAGAGGCTATTATCAAGTTTGATTTTACCTTTTGCGTACCTATGTGCCGCGACAAGCGGTGAGTATCGTGTCGGTTGCCAACCTGGAAGGAAGAGCAAGCGTATCAAAATACGTAGCATGTACCCACGTAGTAACTCAGACTTGTAGCCCCGCTTCCTACAGTACGTACCATGACTGGCGATGCAAGCAAGATTTACCCCCTTCCGCCCCTAAACATCCACCCCAAAAAATACGAGAGACAAGATGGGGGCGACTCCAACTTCCCGTATACACTGCAAAAAGGAAAAGAAAAGGTAAACGACATACCCGACTATTCTCACCTACGGCATGCAAGTAAACACCCGGTATCGGTGACATGCAAACTCGCAGTAGTTTAATCGGTACGTAGAACCATCTCAACCCAGTTGTATCACCACCCGTCCGCCATCTCACCCCCACTCCGCCTCCCTCGCCTACGCTGTGCCGCAAATCCGATCTCAATGCTGTATACACTCGGCACGAAAGGGAACACCACAAGAAAAAAAAATAACGGCCCAAGATCTGCCGTAAAACGGTGAGTGGGGGGAGGGATCGGAATGTCACCCACCAAGCAAACCGCAAGCCGCAAAGTGTCAAAGGGCAAAGCAAGCGAAATAACTTAAACTGACGCAACACATGCCCGCCCCCTCCCATCGCCACACCGATGAGGCAAAAGCCGACCCGTCGTCGTCACCGCCGCATTGCCGCGTTGCCGCCGCGGCGGGAAAAAGTGTATACAAAAAACAGAGATTGGCGAGATACCCAAATAAAAAAAAGGGGGGGGGATAAGGAACAAAAAAAATTTAGGATCAAAGAATCGGAGACGCGGGAATGACGGGCGCCGGGCGTGCATCGCACCGCGCGTGTGTGCGGCATAAGCATGGGGTGCGTGATGACGGGCGCGCGGGCGGCATGCCGTTTGGAAAAGCGGCACAGAGCCGAACTGTCGCGGACCTTGAACTATTACTTGCCTTACCGTACCCCGGTATCATCGGTGTGCTATGCTTTTCGTTTACTCATGGCTTTTTTTTTATCCTACCGTTTTTCCTTTTTTTTCGGGAACAGGATGGCGTAGGATGACATACATGCTGCATGGGGCTTGTGGCTTGGATATGTAAATTAATTTTTTTGGCGAGTATCTATGGAAAGTGCCGTTTCTGCAATCGTTATATGCATGTGTTCCTTTGGAAGAAAAAGAAAACGGTATGGAAGGATTGCGAATGTGGCATGTCATGTGATTATTATTATTATTTTCCCTGAATATGACTACTATCTGGGTTGAAGCTGGTTGGGTTGGCGTTTACAGACTACGATGTATTACCCGACTGCACGCACGCACGGCAAACACACAAACACACAAACACACATTTGCGATCAAGACCAGGTACGTGGGGACACAGCACTTGCACAGTCCGCGTATCCCACACTCACACACATACACTACCTTCCCCCCCTCCATTCGAGCGTGTAACATGGCATTGCTGTTTCTGGGTTGCATCCAATACGGTAGTATTACGGGTGGAACGTGGGGGCAATGATCTCACATGCAAAGCGTTGCGTGGGGTAAAAGAAGGTAGGGTAGGGTGGGGGAGGGCCGTTTTTACTTCTTTCGGAGACACAGGAGTCTCGGTGCGCGGAGATGCAAAAGCACAAGGAACGTTGCAGGCGTGGAGTAATCACAAAACCAACATGAGCGTTTGATAAGAAAACAAGAAAAAGCCACCCAGCTCCTTCGCTTACACTGGCTGCACTACTGCTACCTGCACTGGCGTTGCGTTGCCTTGCGTTCAGCCACGACCGACGCCGAAGCGGGTGCGCAAAGTGTTGAGCCTCCGCAAGGTCTCAGGCATATCGTTCATGCCGCTCTCCGTTCGCGTCAACCGATATGCAGAGTAGTTCCTGTTCTCCTCCACCAGTGTATCAAGCAGCGTGAACTCGCCAATCACACACTGACCCGAGCTGAGCATTTCCATGGCATCTGCATGACCCGACTCGGATTCGGGCAGCAGCATGTCGTCTTCGCTCCCGGCTTCTGCGCCTACATCCGATAGCGTATCGGTTCGGTGAAGCACCCCTCGCTCCTCGTCATCGGCATCCTGTCCGCGGCCCACATTAGCATTCGCTACTGCTGCTGTTGCTGCCGCCGTTTCTGTTGCAGCTGAGTCTGACGTTGCTCGGTTGGTGGTGGTGTTCGATGCGCCTCCTCCTCCACCAGCTGCCAGCTTTGCTAGCTTCTTCTTAAGTTCCCGCCTCTTTACATGCACTGACACCATGACGAGCTGCAGGAACAGTATGCATATGTCGAGCGCGCCCAGCTTCCACTTGCTCGTGGGGCCCTGCTGGCCGATGAAGTCAATCATCAATCCACCATGAAGATAGCCTCGTGTGTCTTCGCCAGCTGCAGGCGCCGGGTAGGTGAGATGCAGGAGAAAGTTTACGCCAAAGGAGAAGAGGAGCAGCGGAAGAAACGGCTTGGGCTCATCTGGCGGCCGGGTAACCGTCACGGTGTCGGGAATCGGGGTAAGCAGCGTTCCGTGGATAAAGGCCTTGAATGCCAGCCAGAAAAATGAGCAACTACAGCGTGTGTGGTCAGCGGCACAGTTGCAGCGCATCGCCGTCGGGGCGCATACTCTAGATGGTAGAGAGTAATGAGTTCCAAGTAGACAACCATGTCCAGGTCACGCAGCAGCTCGCCCAACATCTGGATGCGCTTCCTCTTTGCATCCATCCGCCTCTGTTGCACCTGTTTCTCTCTTTCACGCTCCTCGGCTGCATCGAGTCGAGCTATTGCATCTTCCAGGGCCTCCAGGGCCGCCAAACTAGGTGCGCTGTCGTCATGGCGCCGCGGTGCGCGAGACGACTCGGCCTCATCGTCCATGGCGCAGCGAGGGGATTTGGCGTGTCGCTTCGTCTCTCATTGAAGGCGACGGGCGTAAGTGACAGACGGAGTTGACGAGCGTTTGTCCTCGAACTCCTGGGGGGGACCTGCGAGGCTCTTGTCTCATCTAGGCCGCAACCCGCATCGGTGCTGGAAAATCAAGAAGGGCCGATGGCCGAGAGTGGTGAGATAATCGATTGCTCCGCATCTTGAACCAAGTTACAATCTACTGCAGTAGCCTACCAGTGTCTCTAGAGCTTCTGTTCAGCGTTAAATTGAGCGTGGAGCCTCTGGTTCATAAAGAAAAGCGCCAAAGATTCATGTAAAAATTACCAACTTGCTCTCATCGACCCACACGACTCCTCCGCCACCTCCGCATTTGCATCTTGCGCCCACCATGTCTTTTGGTCCTCCCAACAGCGCGCCCCTCCCCTCTTCCTTTGACGAAAATGAGTGAGTAACGACTATTTCTCAGTCGATTCGGCGACATACAAGCATCTGAATCCTCAATTGCTTATGTTTGCACCAGGGACTTTTACAACGAAAACACCATCGACAAGATATGGCGCCGTCTCCGCGAAGAGCCCCTTGTGCCCCTCGGCTGCGGCCTCACCGTCTGGGCCATTGTCGGCGCAACCCGCTCCATGCGTAAGGGCGACCACAAAATGACAAACGTCTACTTCCGCCGCCGTCTCTACGCACAGGCATTCACCATTGCTGTATTAGTCGCAGGAAACATGTATTGGCAAAAGGACCGTGTCAAGCGCAAGGAGTATGAGAAGAAGGTTGCAGAGAAGGAACGCATGGATAAGAGGGAACGATGGCTGAGGGAACTGGAGATGCGAGATGAGGAGGACAAGGCGTGGAAGGAGCGCATGGCTAAGAGGGCTCGAGGAGCGGCTGAGGAGGTTAAGAGCGAGGCAAGGGGTGTCACGGATATGGTTGCTGAGAAGACGAGGGAACTCAAGGACAAGACTGTTGGAAAATAAGAGGCGGGTGTGACCTAATAGACCAGCTCTATGAGATGAGAGGTCAAGGAAAACCCATGTGAAGAAACGCGTTTGGGAGCTGGGCATCTTTGAAAACTTCAACCTTTGCTGTATATGTATTGGGCACTGTACGAGTACATTGGGGAGAACTTGAAATTACGCCGATTACGAACAGTCAATCACTATTAGGTGTATTGGTTTGCGCTACTTTGCTTTGAAAGTACGAGCGCATCAAGATATTGTTTGAGTCATTTATAACAATAAAGTAATTAGTTTATTCATTCTTAACTGCGAGTTTATTAGTGCACAAGGATGTAGCTTGACCACTGGTTTTGCCGAAGACTATCTTGATACCTTCATGCTCCCTCGCTACTTGTAAACCCGCACCTCAACACCACGGGATCTTCAATATTGCAACCTTCCAAACAGACTATGACTTTTACGTATATCCCGCTGACAACAACAAGCAAGGGTCATATCCGGATAAAAGTAAATAGGATAAAATCCTATGCCAAATCCTAAATCTCCATAAAGTACATATGCTTCACAAAGGACCTTATCGGCCCGGTCGCCAAAATATCCCCAAACGCAAATTAGTAAAGCAACCAATATACCTACAACACGGTTCTTTACTCGTATGGTTTAAGAACAAAAAAAGAGACATTGAATCCTTGCGTCGACATTTTACCCGGAACAAAGAGCACAACGATCCGAAAAAACGTGCGTTCAGCTGCGCAGGCATTCGCGGACCGTTTAGCCGGCAACGGGCATCCGCCATGTCAACGGATGTACTATGAGAATTGTATATTCGACTGCCGGGTCACTAATTCCCACGTTTAGGGTATACGTATCACTTATTTCTGGCTAGAAGCCCATGCGGACGGACTACCTTGGTTACATGGATGCGCAGTAGATTGAAGAAAGGAGGGGGGAAGGCAGTGATAAGCGGGTCAGAAAGAGGTCGACATGTCAAAAGCGGGAAGCCGTTCCTAGCCTCAACAGCGGCTCATCGGGACGTCATATGAATAAGGTATGGGTTTGGGTTTCCCCCCTTTCTCCCTGTTTTGCAGTCTTCTTCACATACACACATATACGCACGCGTTCCTTATACATAGTGGAGTCGATCAGCCGGTGGCTAGCTAAGAGAAGGGCTAAAAAAGGGAATTGAAAAGTTGGTGGGCCCCGGAACAAACAAGACAGTTTGCGAGACACCTTTGAAAATGTCTGAGGTCAAGAAGTATGAGATAACAGAGGTATGTTAGATATTTGCTTTTGTGTGGTATTCTGGAAGACGTAGGGTGGGGTGTTTGGGGGTGTGAGGTAGCTCTTGAGATCTACCCCGCCGAAGTCAATACAGCCCCTCCGTTGTGAGCATTGCAACAAAAGAAGAGATGGTGTACTTGGGTATCCAGCTCATATCGTTACACGAAAACACCACAGACACAAATTGCCGATTCTCACAGGCAAAGAGGAAGCTCAAATCACTAATTGTATTCCTCCAATAGCCATGGCTCAAAACCCACTGCGCCCTAGGCGAAGGCCCCTTCTGGGAAGAGGATAGGAACAGCATCCGCTTCCTCGACGTCGAAAAGCAAGCCGTCATGCGTGTCGACCTCGCAAAGGGTCCCTCAAGCTTCAAGACCATCAAAAACTACGATATCTCCATTGGTTGCACCGCCGACATCGAAGGCAACGACAGGGAATTCATCTTCGCCGGCAAGTACGGCTTCGGTATCGCCAACAAAGAAACTGGCGAATACCGCTGGCTGAAAAAAGTCTGGTCCTCCTCCGAAATCAGCGCAAACAAGCACGAAATCTTCCGTGGCAACGACGGCGCCGTGGATTCCCAAGGTAGGTTCTGGGCAGGCTTCATGTTCGACCCTCTGGTCTCGGACATGCGATCAGACGGCGCGGTATTCCGTCTCAACCCCGACTTGAGTCTCGATCGCCCCATGGACGACATCTGCATTCCCAACGGCACGACGTGGAATAAGCAGGACGACATTTTGTATTTTGCGGATAGCCCGTCAAAGACAATTTACCAGTTCGACTACGATGCCAAGACGGGTGAGATCAAGAACAGGCGGCCGTACTTTGTTATGCCAGAGGATAACCGGTATGGAGAGGATGCGGTACCGGATGGTCATTGTCTGGATGAGGAGGGTTACATGTGGACGGCGCTGCATGGCGGGTCCTGCGTCCTGCGGATTTCGCCCCAGGGCGAGATCGTAGCAGAGATCAAGGTGCCGACGAGCCAGCCGACGTGTCCTTGCTTTGTGGGCGAGGAGCTGTTCATTACTAGTGCTGGTGGTACGAGCGGCGAGAATGGCGGCCCCGTTGACGAGTTTGCTGGCTGTTGCTTTAAGATTAATGTGGGTTTACGGGGGCTCAAGAAGTTCAAGTTCAAGGGCGGAGACAAAATTGAGGGTGGGAAGCTGAATGGGCAGGTTGTTGCCGAGTAGAAGGGAAGCGATTCTGGGAACGTTCTGTCCGTAGGCATCTGATGCCTCGAGAAATCAGCGATGTTACACAAGAAGAGGGTTGTCTCAAGCCACGCCTTTGTCTATCAAGTTTGGTTGGAGGAGTTATCTCCTACTAGCATTTACATAGACATGGGAATTGGCAAAATAAAGAAAAAGCACCTTTCAAGACATGTTGTGTTATTTAGTGGGTGTTCACTCCCCTCCAGTCTCCATGATTCCCATCACTGAGGGTCGCATTGGTCGCATTCTGGTAAATAATCCGGTCCTCTCCAAAATAGTTTCTTTGTTGGCTCGATTGGATAAAAAAGGTGGAGGTGACAATGTCATGTCTGTGTACGACCGACATTACATACACAGAATGGTCAAGAATGCGGGGAAGTTGAGCTCTCTTGCCCTAACATCGTAGCACACTATGTCCATCACTGCTTATTCTTAATTTCTTGTACAACGTCGTGTAGCATTTCGGGTGTCGTATTCAATTTGTGTAGTCTTGGAAGCGGAGGGTTGCTGCTTGGTGGATGCATCTTACCGGTGAACCATGGGAGACTTGGGAAGAGCAGAGGGGGGAAGGGGGTGGTTGACGCAGTAGTGATGGTGGAAGGCAGACTTGAGGAAAATGTATATAACGACATCGAGGGAGACGGTTTTTGAGGTGCATCCTACAAGTCTTTTCAGTATTCATTGAATCGAATCTAGCCAAGGCATATCGTCTCCAACATCATGCTTCCCGTCAAGACTCTGCTCACCACCCTCTTCGTCGCCGGGAGCGCCTTTGCTCTCCCTGAAGCAGTGCCCGACACCATTGAAAACGTTGTACGCGAGGCTGCTCCAGTCGCCGAGGCCGCCCCTGAGCCTGCCACTCTTGACAAACGGGCGTGCAGGTGCATCCGAGTCTCTAATCCAGGTATGTTGCTCCGTGACAAAGAGACAAGCACGAAAGCTCAAGACAATATAGGCCTCTACTGTGGATACTGCTATAGTGGCACCATTGTCACCTCTGGGCGTATCAACAACCATGTGTACTGGTGCAACACGGCTGGAGGCTGTGAGGATCTTGGCGTTAGAAACAGTTGCACTGCCAAGGATGGACCGTGTGATGGCAGGGACAGCGGCTAGATTGACAAGTGAAAACGTTGAAGAAAAAGGATCGTAAGTGACAGGTTGCAGCGAGGATGGCTGTGTCGTTCGTTACAGTGCAGATCTGCCGGGTGTTTATGTTTGATTCTTTTTTGCCTTGAGCTCACACTCATTTGGGTATCTGGAGTATACAGAGAAAAGAAAATACAAACAAAGGTGCCTAAGACTGTGCGGCTTCCTTTTGCTTCCTGGCTTCATCTTCTTCTGGCGTTCGAGTGGTAAGTTGTAGGGCGTGGATGCCGCCTTCTTTTGCCATTTCGTCTTTCATTAGAGCATTGACCATGCGATGTCTTGCAACCTGCATCTTGCCCTGGAAGGCTGGTGATGTGATGTATACGCTGCATGGGCTATTAGTACGAGATTTGAGAGGGGTGTAGTCTTGCAATGTTTTTTTAATTACCGGAAGTGTGTTTCTCTGCTAGTCACTCCTTGCATGGCCTTGTGATGGGCGTGCTTGTGAGAGTCGTTGAAGATTTCCAAACTTGTAGGCTTCAGCGCCTCTGTGATCTGACAACGAATTAGTCTCTGAATTTACAAGATACAAATATATATTATAGTAGGTCAGAGGTCTGTCACCTTTGTCCGCAGAGCATCTTCCATTGGAGTCATGGATTGGGCCATGGCTGACATAAAGCGCCGTCCCGCGAGGCTGGCTCGTTGGACGAACATGCACAACCCTATGTCCTTAATTGGATGTCGTGATGGTGGTGAAGATGAAAGAGGTGGGTTGCATCGGCACTACTGGTCGTAGGTAGTATGTAGTCTGTAGTAGTAGGTAAGACGACAGGCCGATGCAGGCGTGCCAAGGCGGGGTCGGAAAGCGGAAAGCGATCGGCGTTCGGATGGATCGCGTCATGGTTCGGAAAGTATGAAGCAGAAGGAAAAGAACAATTGAAGCGGCCACTCAGCCCAGAAAGCTGCCAAAACCTTCTTATTGTCTCCATCACTGCATTCTCCATTCAACCAGGCTTTTTTTCCAGTCCACATCGGCATTCACCAGCAGTGAGCGACGCAAACAGAGCCAGCATGACTCGGGCGCAGTCACTGCAGCATTTCACCCTCGAAACCCGCATCCTCCTGCGCTGATCCCGCATCTCTTGCCGCCATGTGGGCGCGTCACCTTTTCTTGCGCACCCTCGTCCGACATAAATCACCACCGACGGTCTACACCACCCACTGCTCCCCTCGTTTCGCCCGCTCTGCTCTGCACTCTGTCAGAATGGCATCTACTCTGCCCTGCCTGCCCATCTTCGAGGCCATCAAGAAGCACAATGGCCAGTCTACAGCCGTGGTACACTCACTATCTGGCCGCTCCTTTACCTACGGAGAGCTCGTCAACGACGTTGCGGCAGCAAAGGACAAGCTGCAGCGAAATTGCAACGGCGCAAGTGCAGAGGGCCAGCGCATTTCCTTCCTCGTAGAAAACGGCTACGATTATGTAGGTGCGCATTCCTCTTGCCCTCGTCTGTAGCCCCATGCCAGTGCAACTACTGACCTCCACCCAGTGACGCTCCTCTCCATTCTCGCCGCACATGCCATTGCCGTACCGCTGTCGCCCGCCTTCCCCGCCCACGAGTTGCGCTACATCATCGACCAGAGCGAGTCCTTGATGCTGCTTTCCTCTGAGAAGTTTCAGAGCCAGGCTGATGATGTGCTCAAGGAAGGCATGACGACCAAGCCTATTAATTACAAGCAGGATAAGATTATGATGGGCAAGACGGATGACTATGTCACCCTCGAGGAGCCCTGCAGCAACCAGGGAGGCATGATGCTCTACACCTCCGGCACCACGAACCGACCCAAGGGCGTGCTGCTTCCCCAGGACGTGCTAACAGCTCAGTCGCAGTCCCTGTTAGAGGCATGGAACTACAGCAGTGACGATGTGCTGCTCCACGTCCTCCCCCTCCACCATATTCACGGCACTGTCAACGCATTGCTTACGCCTCTCTTTGCTGGCAGCACCATTGAGTTCCAGTTTCCCTTCAACGCCTCAGCTGTCTGGGAGCGCCTTGCAGCTCCGTTTCTGCCAAACCCCGACCCGGTCAAGAAGCCCATTACTTTCCTCACAGTCGTCCCAACCATATACACACGCCTGCTTGCATCTCATCCTAGCCTCTCGCCTGAGCTACAGGCTGCGACTAAGACCGCTCTTCACCCCTCGAACATGCGCCTCAACATATCAGGTTCCGCCGCCCTCCCCACACCCGTCAAGTCGGCATGGACAGAGCTTAGTGGAGGCAACGTGCTGCTGGAGCGATATGGTATGACCGAGGTTGGCATGGCCCTCTCTTGCGGTCTCGACTTTGCGGATCGTGTAGATGGTTCGGTCGGCTGGCCACTTCCTTCAGTGCAAGCGCGTCTCGTCGATACTGAAACTGGACAGGTTATAGAAGTGGGCGACGAGATTGATCCTGCGACGGACCGCGAGCGACAAGGCGAGATTCAGTTACGTGGACCAACTATCTTCAGGGAGTACTGGAAGAACCCTGAGGCAACGTCTAAAGAGTTCACCGAGGATGCTGATGGACAAGGCAAATGGTTCAAGACTGGTGATGTCGCAGTCCGCAGGGCCGTCGAGGGGGCGGGCAAGAGCAGCCAGCCATGGGCAAATGGTCCTCTCTACTTCATCCACGGTCGCAAGTCAGCTGACATTATCAAGACTGGCGGGGAAAAGGTTTCCGCTCTTGAAATTGAACGGGAGATGCTTTCCCTCCCACAGGTTGATGAAGTTGCTGTCGTTGGTCTACCTTCAGAAGCCTGGGGTCAGAAGGTCGCCGCCGTAGTTGTGCTTTCAGAACAGGGTAAAACTGCTGGCAAGGGAGGCAAGCCCTGGTCAGCGCTTGACATGAGGAGAGCGCTGAAGGAAATACTTGTCAATTACAAAATTCCCCAGGAGATGAAGGTCGTAGACACTATACCGAGGAACGCCATGGGCAAGATCAACAAGAAGCAGCTGGTCAAGCAGATCTGGGGCGAGGTCGCTTGAGGAGAACGGCACTGTACAAAAGTAGAATCATGGTGTATAGATAGATGATGACGATGGAGCATTTGTATAAGAAGAAGCGGACATGGCCAATGACATCCTGTAACACGAGCAATTTCAATATATGCTGCTTGGAGATTGTATTGCGCAAAATAGCGTCATCGCAGTCCAATGCGTGATAGATATTGAGATACGATATTGCTAGTATGGATCAGACAGAATGCCTTTTACCCACCATTTCTCTATGCATAAGCGCTCTCTCTGTCTCTCTCTCGGCGCACGTGCATCTCGTCCACTTCCATTTTTCGAAATCTTACCCCCAGTACCGTCATCTACCGTCGTCATCACCACTCATCCGCATTACCCACACTAGCGTAAAACCCGACGCCTCTGACTTCAGCCCAGACCCTTGACCACACCTACGTAGTTGCCCATGATTAGAATAGCTTTTGCATTTGTGCACTAGAAAAGTGGTCTGGGGAAAATGCGGGGAGAGGAGGAAAACAAGGGGCTTGGGCTAAGACGGGAAGGAAGCGTGGCGCACGTCAGAGGGGTGGGTCACAGGTCTATGATGTGGTGAGCGTAGCGTGGCGTGGCGTGTCGGTGTGGTGGGAATCGGGTGACGCTGGGATTGTGTGGAGCGATGTGTGGTGTGCTCACGACAGAATATACAGATGCATTGATTGATATTTCATTTTCAATTTGTAAAGAAATAGTTAGATAGATATTGGGTATTCGAAATTGGTATTAAAAAAAACGTAGAGTAAATAATCCACCATTATTTACGGTGGTTTGCATATCCCGATGCAGCAGCCAGATGGAGTGCTGATTTTCATGACAAAATTTTTTTTCCTCTTCAAATCCATCAACTCGTATAACGATGCGCTGATTTACAGAGCAACGGGAAACTCATACATGGAATTGTTCGCGTATTCTTAAGCGACGTGACCAGCCTCAGCGCGAGCGGCAGAGTTGTCGACCTTGTTACGACGCTCACGGCCCTTCTCTGACCAGGGGAAGTGGGCGACGGGAATAACGAAGAAGCTAGAGGGAAAATAGTTAGCATACTGTCATGTCGTTGGATACATAGTAAAAGACCAAAAACATACCTGTTGGAACTATCCGCAATACCAGCAAGCGCATTATACCAAGCGGCAAAAGCGGCCATGAGACCAAACGCTCCACCAGCAACAATGCACGACTCTTGCGGGCCGTTGGCGTCGGCCTGGAGGTATCCAATGCCGAGGAGCATAAACGCCATGTCGAGGGTGAAGAAGAGGAAGCAGAAAGCGACGGTGGATCGCAGGGTGCAGAGGAAAAGAAGGAAGGTAAATATGAACCAGCCCATCAGGAAGAGACCAAATGAGTTGTAGAAATCTCCGCTCTTGATGAGAATTTCCTCGATTTCAAAGACACCGGGCGTGAGAACGAGGCCAAAGGCGATCCAGAAACCTCCGTAGGATGAGAGTGCTGTAGCACCGAATGTGTTGCCAACGGCCATTTCCCTAGTTTGCATGTTAGACGGGGATTATCGTTCTATTTTACTTCACACTACATACCACATGCCAGCCAGAAGTTGAACAAGACCACCGTAGCCGTACGCAAGCGCTACGACAATGTTTGGGTGACCAATGCTGCGCGTCTTGACGTTAATCAAGGACAGAACAAAGGTGGTGAGGGCAAAAGCCGAGAGACCCAGGGGAGCTGGGTTGGCAAACTTGCGGTTCGGTGGGCGGTAGAGGCCAGGCTGGAATTCACCACCAAAGGCGGCAAGGCGAAGGTCTGGGTCGTTGGTAGCAACGTGGGCGAGAGGGTTGCCACCATAGTCATATGGCATCCTCTGCTTGGGCATTGCTCCAGCGTGATCGACCGCACTGGTGCCGTTTACGCTCTTCTCGAAACTCGCGCCGCGCTGCAATAGGACAGTTAGACATAGGCAACGTATTTAGCAATTGAAGCGAGAACCTACCTCGACGTCGTTGTGCTCACGAGCTGTCGCCATAATTGCCGAGTAATGTGTGACAGAAGGGTTGACACGCTAATTGGTCTGACTAACGGTCAAGGTTGAGAGAAAGAAAGTCTGGGGATGGGGATGGGGGGAGCGGAGGGAGTAATATATATGTTTAGGCCAGCGAGCATGCACCACAAGGATGAGCGCCATGAGCCGTCCTATACGGGCGACTAGCCCCGCGACTAAGGATGGATAGTAAGACCCCAAACCAGTGCTCAAGTGGACCACTCATGAGAGTTCCCCATAGACGCCTCTCCAGGCCGGGTAAAAGGACAGCGTGTGTCTCCACTGACGGTCAACCCACCGAGCGCACGGTGGGCTGACGAACGACAGACAGGTCGAGTCGAAGCCACCTGCGCCGTGGGATCGGCACCAAAAGTTCCCTTACCCGAGGACGGATGGTCGCCAAAAAGAATCAAGACGGTGATTGGTGCGTCCATTGAGCCAACTGACCTAGCTGTCCTCTGTCGCGTGTAGATGAGCGGTTTTGAAGCTCGTCATGACGCGGAGAAATGCATTGCAACGCCAATTCCCAGTTGCCGTGTCGCCCGTCCAAGTCCCAAGCATTACATCATACTGACCCATGACAAGACAATGTCAACACACTTTGTGTACATCCTTTTCTTTTCTTCTTCTTTTCCCCTTTTGAATGCTACCGTTGAGAGCGAGATGCAGTTTTTCAAATGCATTGTATAGCACACGGACTGCTTGGTGATTTGCGTCCTGGCAGTCTGCAGGTTCATCCTTGACGAGGGACCCTGCAAAAAAAATGCCTAGGAGTGGAGCACATGCATCCACGCAAACGCTCGATTTACTCTACTCTGCCAAGTTGGACGCAAAGTCGGTTAGATGATGGCTGTAAAAAGTGGACACCCGTTCTTCCCACGTTCGGCTACCGAGAGAGCTGGATCTGACGGATCGCACTGGGTATGAAAGCGACCGTTTGTTGTTGCGCAACTTTCTCTCTCAGCTCCTCTCATCTGGAACGCAGAGGACAATACTCCTGCCGCTGCATAAGCAATCCACTAGTTGAATAATCCCACCATTGTCGTGGTTGCATGGATTTCAATAGCCGCGGAGGGGACGGGCTGACGGCATTGTGCATGAGGCCTTGCAGCTAAGCTTTGTCCAAGAGTCTCGGCGGCACGACCGGCATATTCTAATATAATGACACAACACAACTTAGGCTGGCCAGTGACCGCATCGCAACAGCAGTCGACACAATATTCGTATCTTGTTGCAGAAAGTTTGAAATTTGTAGCCCATGATCCGTTGAAATGACGAGCAGCAGTTTTGCCGATGTTTCGCGGAATGGGGAACGCTAGCGCTGTCTCTCAAGTTGCAGTCTTGCTGTTCTTGTGGGCCGCAAGTGGAGCAACTCTAGTCATACTCTACACGCTAGAACAAACGGTTGAGACGCATGTTGGCTGCTGCAATCTCCGGACGAACGGGGAGAAGTGTTAAGCTGTTTTCTTCGACCTGCATGCGGCCGTGCCGTCTCCGTTACTTGCGAGATGGATTTGCACACGGGGTTTGCGGGCTTTACATGGGACTCGGTGAGATTGCGCCACATTTGTATTAGCAATTTAGGCTAATACTGAGTGCAGGCCATTTTCTGGGGATGCTGTGGTATTGCTGCGTCGCATGCTCATATGCCCTGACCACAACCCAACAACCGAGGCGTCTTGCGGTGCCTGTATGGGACAGGGCACAGTGCTCTTTTCTAGCAGGCAACACATTCAATAGGCTGCTCTACAATGAATTCATCTTGTTGATAGTGTTGGAGGTGGGGTATATGATAGAATAAGGAAAATCTAGGTTGAGAAATCTCCGGGATGTCGAATCTGCTGCGATCGACCAATATGCTGAGCCCCTTAGAGAACCCTTGGAAACTCGGAGGTCAGGCCCACCTGGACTGCGGAGAGGTGAGATCTGGGGGACTCCACTTCGTCCCTGCGCAAGAGCGAGCCAGAGTTCGGGATGCTTGGAAAGCGGGGAGGAGCCGTCGCCAGCCATGGGACGCCAGAACGACTTCCGGTGATCCGTAAAATATTTCACATAACCTCTGGGGAACCGCTGATGCATGTCTTCATGTTCCCGAGGCTGACCGGTCTTGATTCCTTCTAGATGTTAGGCGACCTGAGTGAGTCACTGTTGTTTGCTGCTTATATCACTGCCGCGAGAGGATGTCTTGAGCTGGTTCATCACACCAACAGTTCCCAGCGAAGCATCCGACGTGGCCAAATATCGTCGGAAGAGCTGATTGCCAAGATAGCATCCGGCTTAGGCAAGCACATATCTATGGTGCACAGCTATAGCTACCACCTCGAAAAATTGGACAAGTCCAACGACGTCGCAATAAGACGGACCAGGGCAGAAAAGTGGCGTTCCTTGTCATTCGGTGCCGGCTTGGTACGAACTTGGCGCATGTCGCTTGCACCGCAGGCTTGGGTGGACATGGGCAGACACGAGCAGTCATAAATAACGGCTACGAGTGCACATGAAGTCAGTCAAATATTATTGAGCAGCGCAATGGAGCAAATATTCGAAAATAACGATGGGTGCGATGGTGTTGAGGCAAATTTGGGGTTGGCGACACATGCTACGTAATGAGGGCGTCGATCGGGGCCGGGGGGTGGGGGGTGGGGAAGCTACCTGGAGCTCAGTTCAGCGCTGTCGGCCTAAGCTTGGAAGCTTCATACTAGGCAACCATCAGTGAAGGCAGCGCTTCTTAATACCTCCACAGCACTGTCCGCCACCCAGCACGAGAGTATCATCCAAATTCATCATGGCAGGAAAAGCAGGACACGAGGACATGGCGAGCCTCTCATACTTTGACCACTCGTCGGCCAAGCGCGTCAACACTGATGTTGTGCTCATCGAAGCTATCCGCTCCCAGTACCCCGAACTCGACCTCGTCGTCGCGCCCCAGGGCAAGCTCAACCTGCTCGCGTACGCCTCGGCGGGCTTTGCAACCGTTATCCCCCTCGATGACGTCGTCAAAGATCCCATATACGGCCCCGGTGTCAAGCAGCGCACCTATGTCCCACCCGCGAGGAGACTCGATCCATACCCGGGTCGCATGATTGAGCGCGTCATCTTTGGCAAATACATGTACAAATGGAAGGACCAGGAGGCTATAGTGTACCTCGCTGAAGGGCGCGACGGCTTGGGGGCATACCCAGCTCCCGTAATGTACTACATCCTGTCCAATGCTGAGCACAAGGTGGACGAGCTGATCAAGGACGCGACCACGTGGGGTTCTGAACTGCACAACGAGGTCTGGGTTTTTGACGGCGGTTACTGGGAGAAGAGCGCCGAGCTGTACAACTCTGTGCAGAAAAGCAGTTGGGACAACGTCATCTTAGATGAGGATATGAAGAAGGCGTTGATCGCCGATGTGGAGAACTTCTTCAATAGTCGCCAAACCTACCAGGACCTCAAGGTACCGTGGAAGCGCGGCGTCATCTACTACGGTCCGCCAGGCAACGGTAAGACTATCAGCATCAAGGCCATGATGCACAGTCTTTATCAACGCGGAAGAAATGGCGACTCTAGGATGGCTGTGCCTACCCTCTATGTCCGCTCGCTGAGCTCTTTTGCTGGTCCCGAATACTCTTTGCAGGCCATCTTTGCCAAAGCCCGCCAGGAAGCCCCCTGCTACCTTGTTTTCGAGGACCTTGACTCGATTGTCAAAGACAGTGTCCGGTCCTACTTCCTCAACGAAGTAGACGGTCTCAAGTCTAACGACGGCATCCTTATGGTTGGCTCTACCAACCACCTCGACAGATTGGACCCAGGCATCTCGAAAAGGCCCAGCCGTTTCGACCGCAAGTACTACTTCTCAAATCCCGACTACGATCAGCGTGTTCAGTATGCCAAGTTCTGGCAAAACAAACTCAAGGACAACAAGAATCTTGAATTCCCTGACGAGCTATGCGGCAAGATTGCAGAGATAACACCAAAGTTTTCTTTCGCTTACATGCAAGAGGCCTTTGTTGCAGCACTTCTGGCAATCGCCGCTCGTGGAGGTAAGAGTGTTGCTGAAGCAGATCGTGAAGCAGAGAGGTGGTCGGGTCCTCAAGATCCAATGAAACTCGGTGATGGTACTCTTCACGCCAACTTTGGCCGGAGAGCGCATGTTGGTGACACAAATGACATGGCATCTGGATCTGACTCAGAACTGGATAAGTTAGAGTTGTGGGTTGAGATAAAAAAGCAAGTCAAGATTCTCAAGGACGAGATGCAAGAGGAGAGAGGAGAGAGCAGCCTGGAATTACCCAGTCGGCCAAGAGACTCGTACCCACAGCCACAGCAGTCGACCAAGTTCAGAGACGAGCTTGACGCTATACTGCATGGCGGGCAAGACAGGCGCCCCCGCCATCCATTGCCCGAGTTTGAGAATTTTTCCAGTCACGCACGCTTTGAGTAACGTTTTGATGATTAAAACACTTGCGCTTTGTACAATTTGCACCATTCTGAGAGGCGCAACAACGTAGATACCGGAAATATGATGATTTGAAAGTGGTGCCATCCTCATGTGCAAACCTAATCGCCATGCAAAGCCTCCTCTTCCATAGCCAAAACTGCGTGCTCCAACTCCCGAATCCGCTGTCCCACCCTCCTCTTCACCTCATCCGCAACCGCCTGATCCTCGCCTTCCAAAACGCCCTTGTAAAACTCCAACAACCGATCTAGCTCTTCCCGTGCCGCGGCCCGATCATCAGGCGCATACGTAGTATTCTTCTCGCTCTCCTCCGACGCAATCTCGAACTCGTCCCTCGCCGTCCCATACAACTCCTGAATCTCCTCGATCGCTGCTTCAACCGCCTGCTGCGACTCTGGCGACAGCGACGACGGGGCTTCCGCCGTTGACGCAGCGAGCTTAGCACGTGCCGTCGATGTGAACGTGCGCACAGAAGAAACCGTATTATACGGCGAGCTGAACCGCGTCCACTGACCCGGCGCCGCAAGTATCGACGTGTTGCGCGCCTGGTACGGTGGGGGCGGCGACGGCGAGCGCGACCGCTGTTGGGTATATGTCTGCACTGAGAATTGCTGCGACGCAGGGTACGACGTGCGCTGTGCTGCTATGGCGCTTGCACGCAGCGTCGTCTGACGTAGTAGCGTGCGGATGGGCACTGCGCCCGATGCCATTTTTGGCGGCGCCTGTCTATGGTAGGAGGCGCGGAACTGGGCGGGGATGGACCGCTGCGCTACGTTCCGCAGTGCCGGAGTCCGTGAAAAGAGAATTTGCGACATGGCTGGTGGTGTGGGTGTGGGTGTAGGTGGAGTGGGTGAGATTGGGCGTGGTAGGCCTGAGGTTTGTCGGAGTTAACGTCGTCACTCGGCCGTGATGGTGATGGGTGATGGCACGCCTTGTTGTCTATGGATGCGGCTTTTGATTTTCCCTTTTTACGATATATGCTGTATCTTTTCTATACACTCTTCTTGTATTGTAATACTTTAAGTCGTACTGTCATCTCAAGTAAACCTAGTAGCTTCGTAGTAGCAACCGCCTAAGCTTGTAGAATACAACAGTCTGGTAAATTATTGTGTTTGATATACGCCCCACCAGGCATGCCTTTATCATTCGTCCAAATCTATTAGTTACTCCTAAGTTGGATTTACCTTTTCCCACTTCGTCAAGCTGATCTCATCTAGTATACCATAGATAAAATCCAAACATTTGTCATCAAAGAACATTGGCGAGCGTAGTCTAGTGGTTATGATGTCTGCTTTACATCTTTAAGGATATAAAGCGCAGAAGGTCGGGAGTTCGATCCTCCCCGCTCGTACGCATCACAAAAACCTTTCTTTTTGCCTTTCTGATAGCTGGGTTCGTTATCGCGGACCTGTTCTTTTTAGGTGTGGGGAAGCTGAGGTTTGCCGGAGTCGGTAAATTCGACCCCTCCTTTTTTTGCCCTAGAAGAACCATGCCCCACCATGATGTCCACTTGCAAGAGTCTACACGTCATAGCTTTGACAACACCTCATCGCAGTTGCATGTATCGTTTTGATATTGGCCATATGTCGTTTTGCATAACTATATTTACGTTACAACGTGAAAAAATGGCATGTTGCACCACTCGAAGCACCTATAGGTTGTGTAGTGTACGTTGATCTACGTCCGTTCCGCCATTAAGCATGCACTCATTCGATTCCAGGTAGTGGTTATCACTTCAGATTTTGACTTCTCAACATTCTGATAACCCCGGTTCGGTAAGATATCTCCTCGACCTTGATGTGATTGCAATTCCTAACATTGAGAAGAACCCGGGCACGACCTCAAGACTTCTTTTTTTGTCAACAGTGCTTGTTCAGTGAAGCACTTGATAGGATGCAGAGCTACACTGTTTTTTTTTCAAGAAGTTAACAGCAAAAAGACCAATCAAGTAGCTGACTGCACAGACCTTGAGATATGAGCACTGCCTGATACTTGCTGGAGTTGACGAAAACGAAGGATTTACATTCAGCACTCCGTATATTCTCATATCTGTCGAGCAGGCTTTATAGTACCAACGCACGCCCCGAATCCAACTCCCGCGCTTCCATCCCCAACTATACCAATGTACCTTACTTCGTCTCCATCGTCAAGGAAGCGTAGCTCAGTTCCATCGCTTAGCTTACTTGGAGCCTTGCCATTTTTTGTAAGCTCAAGCAAGCATCCATGCTCATGCTTCTGCTCGCCCGATACCGTCCCACTAGCAATCAAGTCTCCCGACCGAAGTCCACAGCCGCCGATAGTATGATGCGCTAGCATGTGCCTGAACGTCCAATACATGGTCTCAAACCCGACTTTGCATGTTGTCGTTTGAACTCCATTGCGGATGATTTGGCCTTCCAGTTGAATGTTATAGTTTGCGCTTTTAGGGTCGTCCATGAAAGGGGCGACGGATTCCATGCGCTCTGGGGCAGGTACTTCAAACGGCTTCAAGGCTTCTAGCGTTATGATCCAGGGTGTGATGGATGTCATGAAGTTTTTGCCATTGAATGGGCCTAGCGGATTCATCTCGAGGCCCTGAACGTCTCTTGCGCTCCAATCATTCAGCAAAACAAGTCCGAAGATGTGCCCATCCGCATCTTTTGCGTTGAGAATGCTACCTGGCGCTACAGGCTTGCCAATCACGGCCGCAACTTCCATTTCGTAGTCTAGACTCCGAGATGGACCGAAGATGATTTTCTTTTCAGGGACAGTGTAGTCTTCAATGAATTGGCCTAAAGGTCTGGTGACTGGTGCGCCGGAGAGTGTGATTGAGGAACATCGGCCTGCGTAACCCACTGGGTACTTTTTGAAGGCAGGTGGGTATGAGCGAACCCCCATTACGGCTTCTCCCGCGTTGAGAACATGGTTTGCGGATGCGCTGTAATCTGTAAAGTCGCCGATATGGACGGGTAGGTGAAGGGTCACGTCGTTGATATGTTCTGAGTATTCTTTATGCGAGTTGCTTTCGTAGGCCTCTTGAATTGCAGTTCGGACTTTGGATTGTATGTCTTTGCCTAATGCGGCGAAGGTGTTCAAGGTGGATTCGCGGAAGATGGAGGATAGCGGTGCTGGAATTGCTTTAAAAGTATCTTGTTCAGCGAGCTCTGCAAGGAAAATGACTTCGTCTCCAATGCGCGTGACGCATTGTGGAGTTGTTCGCTTTGATGAACTTGCAACTCCGTAGGGGATGTTGTTGATGCCAAAATGTGAGGCGTAGCTGTCTGCCATTCTGGTTGTAGAGGATTGAATATTGAAGCTGCTTCAATTATTACGAGGTTGTGACAAAAATGCAATGTTTGTTGTATAACTAAAGTCTAGCAGCTTGGGATTACAAAATTCTACCGAGGCCAGGTATCATGACTGATGTTCATGGATGTGTGGGGTTGTAGCTCAATGCTTCGGATGTCATTCCCCACATCGGACCTGTCCCGCTATAGATTTGTAATTGGAACCCGACAAGACCGGAAGGCTGAATGCAGTATTGGTTGCAGATATCAGATACTCAAATTGTCTTACCAAGGCACAGCAACGCTTTGTAAACTTCTGCAGAAACAGAGCTGTATATGCACGATACACTCAAAGTGGTTCGAGTTGCTTCTGTTACACTACCATCTTCACCTCAATTGATCCACAATACAAGATGCCTACCTACCCATTGTCTGAAACTAACAAAACAGGTGCAACCGCCATGCTCGATCTTGGGCTCAGCGTGGCCATCTGGCATAGAGCTTGCTTCATGCCTCTTATCGATAGCAGAACTGGGCACCCGTCCTCAGTCCCCGAGGTGCACCCGTGAACCCCTCTTACGCATTACCCTAAGAATTAAGTCGTACCATGCCTGTTCCCCACGCGGCTAATGTGAACCTCCAATCTAAGTAATACCCAAGTACACTAAGCATGCAGCGAGTCCTACCTAGAACGCGTCGGCCCCGTGTCGGCAGATGCAGATGGCATATTCGTTAGTAAATGTGCCCTCCACATCGGAAGGTAGTGGACGAGTCTTTGGATGACACTGTCTCACGTCCTTTTTTTTGCTACAGTCTATCAGCACTCAATTTCTCGGGAAATATTTCTCTACCAGCAAGAAGTTCTTCATCAAAAATCTCTCTTCAGTCTTACATACCGTCTTATTACGTGCTGCCACTTTCCAGAAACATGGCTCCTCCAACCGATATCCCAAATGACCTCCCCAAGATCAATCGCTTCATCACAACCCACGACCCAGCCACAAAACAGGCCGTCTTTTCCAATGCCATTCCCGACGAGCATAAAGTTGATCCCATTCCAGGGGCAGACTTCCGACTGGGATATGTAACAAAGGGATTTCCTGTCGACCTAAACAACGATGCCGACCTAAAAGTCTACAAACCATATCTAGAGAGCTCACCCGGTCTCGTCGTTTCAGGAGGAACGGTCCTCCGCTTCGTAGATGTAGCGCCAGGCCATCTATCACCAATGCATCGCACGGTATCGCTAGACTACGGTGTCGTGTTGGAGGGCGAGTTCGAGCTAGTACTAGATTCTGGAGAAACCAGGCGCATGAGTAGAGGAGACGTTGCGATTCAAAGGGGCACAATGCATGCTTGGAGGAACCTGAGCTCGACGTCTTGGGGACGGATGATGTACGTGCTTCAGGAATGCAAACAGGTAGAAGTCAATGGTGAGGTTTTGAAGGAAGATTATGGAACGATGCAGGGTGTGCCGAAGTCGTCGTAGTGTACTTGAGCTGGATTTACATTATTGGCTTCGTAAATATCAATCAAATATATTTCTCTGCAGTAAGATGTATTGTGAATGAATTGTGATTTCGATTTGATTACATGCTATATACTTATCACAATTACTAACGCAAATTCCTGGGCATCTAGTAAACGCGTGTCAAAACTTTTTGAATGCAGTCGTGAATTACATCCTGAAGGGAAACCAATACGCTTTCATCCTCGTAATCCCCGAACGCGCATACAGGCAATCATCTAGAGATTTACTGAAAGAGTCTACATTTCAACCATCTTGTTTCACGGCGAGTATTGGGGTACGGAAATCGCTCCGGCTACTAGCGGGGCATTCGCGACGCTACGCAAGTAGTACACTTCCCCCCACATTCCGATACTGCCCCTCTACGCGCTGCACTTGGAACAGCGGCGTATTGCCCGCACCGGCACTCGCAACGCGTCACGACGGATCTTTTATATCCAAAATGTCTGGAAAAATGGTTTTCTTCATACTCCATCACCACCTACACAATGTCTGAACAGCTGGAAGTCAAGGACGCGCACCGCATCGACGAGTCGTCGTTTCCCTACATTTTTGAAGAGAATGCTGCAGTGCCGTTGAAGACATCTTCCAAGGGCATTATTCGTTGCAATGTTTATCGTCCGAAATCAACCAAGGAAGGTACTAAACTTCCGGTGCTGGTGACTTATGGACCGTACGGAAAAGACATTCATTACAAAGAGCACGTAGGGTGATATCTGATTCTTGTTTACAGCGACTGACGTCTCATAGCTTCCATGGAAAATCCTTCTCGGAAGTCAATTCTGAGCACCATTCTGATCATTCAGCATGGGAAACACCAGACCCTGGTTTCTGGACCAAGCATGACTACATCATTGTGCGCGCCGATGAGCGTGGCCTTGGTCAGTCGCCAGGCTTCCTTGACACAATGTCAAGAGGAACTAGCGAGGCTTTCTTTGATGTCGTCGAATGGGCAGCTGAGCAGCCTTGGTCGTCTGGAAAGGTCGGTTTACTCGGTATAAGCTACTACGCTGGATCGCAATGGCGTGTAGCAGCGCGCAGACCCAAAGGCTTGGCTGCGATAATACCATGGGAAGGTATGAGTGATTATTACCGAGACAGGTGCCGTCATGGAGGTATCTTGAGTAATAAGTTCATCGACTTTTGGTGGTAAGTCTGACAAGTCCTCTCTATCAAGAAAATTCAATGCTAATCCAATTTCTTCAGGAACCGTCAAGTCATCACGAATCAATATGGTCGCCCAGGCCGCGCAGAACGAAACTGGGGACCGGACACAGTCGACGGAAACCTATCTGACGAGGTGCGCGCAAAGAACCGACAGGATCAGACTATCGATACTGCCAAGTACAAGTTCCGTGACGAGCTATACTACGCAAGCAAAGAGTATGATATGAGTGATATTGAAGTACCACTTCTATCGGTCGGCAATTGGGGCGGTATCCTACTTCATCTTCGCGGCAACATCGAAGGCTACGTTCACGCTGGGTCTGAATTCAAATATCTACGAATGATCACTGGAAGACACGACCTACCCTTCTACTACAAGGAAGAAGTCGAGATACAACGAAGCTTCCTCGATGCTTTCCTCAAGGGCGAAGATCGTGTTGGTTGGTCAGTAAAGGGCAAGCTACCTCCAGTCGACATGGTTCTCCGCAAGGGCGACGTAGGCTTCGACGACGCCGAGAAAGAAAAGGTGTATCAAAGAAGAACCGAAAACGAATGGCCCATTGCACGAACCCGTTACACAAACTTCTACCTCACCCCCTCCCAAACCCTAACTCAAATCGCACCCATCGTGGCCCGCCCGCAGAAACTTTCCTACGAAGCCCTCGGCACCCTTGACAACCCCAAGCTCCTCCAATTCACCACTGCCCCCTTTGAAGAAGAAACCGAGATAACCGGGCACATCGTCGCGCACCTCAACGTCTCGCTCTCGGCCCACGCCACGGGCGCCACACCCGCCGACATCGACCTCTTCCTGACCCTCCGCTACATCTCGCCCTCAGGCAAAGAAGTCCACTACACCGGCACAGCCGGCGACCCCATCCCCCTCGCCAAAGGCTGGCTTCGCGTCAGTCTCCGCAAAACCAACCCTTCGCACCCCAAGCACCGGCCCTATCTCCCCTGGCGCGACTACTTCAGCACAGACGTGCAACCCGTTGTCCCCGGTGATGTGTACGCAGTGGATGTGGAGGTGTGGCCGACGAATGTGATTGTGGAGAAAGGAGGTAAGATTGTGTTTGAGGTTTCGAGTGGGGATACGCAGGGCAGCGGCATTTTCCAACATACTCATCCCGAGGATCGGAGTGAGGAGCGGTTTGGCGGGTGGAATCATGTGCATTTTTCTGAGAGGGCGCTGAATTATGTTACGTTGCCTATTGTGCCGCCGAAGTAAGGAGGGAGGGGGGTTGGATTGGATGGGTGGTGTAGTGTTTTTTTAAAAAAAAAATGAATGCTTGAGATTTCGTATATTTGGTAATACTCATGTGTTTGACTGCTGTGATAGGTATTGCGAGAATTCAATCAATGTATGGTTAACGTCGGTGTGGTAGCGTTGTAGCTCTAGTGTTTAGCTTTAGGAGTACCTCATAAGTGAATCTGTATAAAGCGCGAGTAACATGAATCTAATTTATTTCATTCTTCATTCATGCCTCAGTGTAATGCACGATTGATGATAGAATTTATTCAAAAAAATACTTGTATGTATATTGAACTAGAAATGAAAAAAAAGCCACCATGGATATCGTTACAAACTTCCTAAATCCACTTGCCAATTGTAAACTGGCTATTGCACATATTCACCAATTCCCAGTCCTCAGCGCCAAGTACACACTCGTCCGTCTCCCTTTTACTTCCATCAACTACGCCAGCAACAAAGCACGCAGCCATATAGTGGTCATCAGTAGCATGTGCATCTCTGAACATGGGGTGCTTCATCAACCTTGTGATTCCTCGTGTGAGACTACCCTTCTTGGCACCCTTTCTGCAGCACCGAACAAACACATCCTCGACGCACTGACGGAACTCAAGCATAGGAGCCTCTGGGGGATATGGCTGGGCGAAGTTGTCCGAGTAGCGGAGCATTTGGCCCCAGTGGTTTCGGTAGAGGTTGTGGACTGCGCCTCCGGTCCCGATGATGATGTATCCCTCGTCGCGGAACTTGGATAGGATGTTGCCGACACGCGCATGCAAATGCGGGTCGAATCGCGAGTTCATACTGATGATAGTGGTGGGTGGACATTTTTCAGGAAACATGCGGATGAGGATGAGATAGGTGTCGTGGATCCAGTCAAAGGAGTCGTTTGGGCGAGCATCAATACCCTTTTCTCGCAGCGCGGCAATGCATTTCTTTCCGCTCTCGAGGTCGGGGACAAGCTCATAGTCCTTGTACTTGCGGGGGTGGACGTAGGCAACGGGGGACTTTGCGGGCTTGGGGTTCATGGCGACGTCGATGCGGTTTACGCCGCGAGCGTCCCAGTGGGCGCCCATCATGATGACGCCTTTGAAGCCGTGCGAAAGGGCTTCGTCGCCACAGGCTTTCCAGTAGTCGGCGGATTTGGACTCCTCTCCCAGCATCATGGTGGAGCCATGGGAGAAGAAGTGGACTGGTGGGACAGACATGGCTACGCAGGTCGTGTGTATGTTGCAGCGAAGATGAGTAGCGAAGTGCGTACTGTGGTCGCCGCGATCTTGGATATCACTTGATAGAGACTACAGAAATGCCGTTGAAAGTGCGGATAATGTGGAGGCTTTACCTGTCCTGGTCTGGTGCTCTATGGGAGAGCGGGTGTGACCCCATAGCAAACGTCGGGATGTGGGGGAGGGGATAGGGATGTGTACGGGCAATACACGTCTTATTGCACCTAGCAGTAAGCCTACCCGAGTCCGACATTGGGCATTTTGTGGGCTCTTCAATAATCAGTGAGATCAGACGAAAACCCGGAGCATTCTCTGCGACAAATATGTTGAGAAAGATAAGGAGTCGTGACCCTATTGTTGCCACAGAAGCGACAGGGAATCGAACTGAGAGCAGGAGCAAAAGCGAGGGCCATGTCCGTCCCTGTGTTTGGGGGCGTAGGTCGCCGCTTCCACAAACAAGGGGGGCGGGCACAGATCAGCCGAAGCCGGGACACGGGCCCACCCTGTCTTGGCATGCGGACAAATGCACACGAGGCGACGGCGACTCGGCACTCTCCCCACACGTAAGCTTATCTCCCTCCACTTCCCACCTCCCGATGCCGTCCCTCGTCAATCTCACCCGATAGCAACGAGCATCCAATGATGCAGGTTAGCACGGCACAACAAAACAGTCAGCCTGCTCATGCCGAGCTCGATGCCGAGCAGGCGCGCCTGTTCCAGTGCAGCACTTGCAAGCGCTCATTTACCAGAGCAGACCACCTCACCCGACACGTGAGAGCGCGTAAGTTTTTGTCCCTGCCTGCTACTAGTACACTACCTACCTGTGGTTGAGCGAGAGATGTGGGACGCCCTCGCGCCCGACGTCCTCGGTGCTCCGTGGACTTCTGGCGTCCACTTTAAAGAGTTTACTGCCACTGTCTGCTAAGTACGAGGCTTGTTCTGCATAGTCGGCGTCTTCTTGCTCTGGACATGCCTCAAAGGTAGTCGCCCTTTCTTGTTCAAACACCAACAAGATGGCTGTGTCCTTACACCCGATGCGCCTGACTTTAGAAACACATCGTCGCATCCTAGTAAACTGACACCGCTTCAACAGACACAAAATCTAAGCCGTACATCTGCCCAGTCTGCTCCAAGGGCTTTGCCCGAATGTGAGTGCTTTGTGAAGATGTTTTGGTCGCATCTCATCACAATCGTCGCTGCGAGACTCGTCTAACATGCTGCAGAGACTTGCTCAAGCGACATGTAGCAAACCACGACACAGAACCCGCCAACAAGCGGCAGAGGCGTGAAATTTCTCGCGACACAAGAGTGGTCCAGGCCTGCGAAGCCTGCTCCCAGAGCCATCTCCGATGTGAAGATGAGAAGCCATGCAGTCGGTGCAGAAAGAAGAAGATACCCTGCAAGGTACCCGAGTCGCTTGCTACAGACCAAAATGAGAGCCACGAAATCGATGCTGTCCATGCCGCTCAAGACTTGCTCGATTTGTCCAATGGCTTTGATTACCCCTCATCGCTGCCTGGCCAGAGCGGGAATGCCAATCCTCCGGCGTCTACAACCTCACAGACACCAGAACCATTCCACAACTCTCAACATCTGTCCATGGTGGACTCTAATAGTACCAAAACTGACTCTGCTGGATGCAGAGGCTCTGACACGAGCACATCAGTCATGAACACCATGCAACCCCCACCCAACACCGGCAACGGGCTGGTTCCAATGAACCATAACTTTGAAGATCAAGACTCTACATCAGCAATGTCCTTTTTTGATACCTCCATTCCACCTTTTGACAATACGCCAGCACAAAATCCCTTTCTACCAGATTACTTCCGAAACATGCCCCCGTTCGACGCCTTTCTTTCTGGCCAGGCTACTCCACGCGGTATATTGGATCTGAGTTTTGACATCGATGTCGGTCTTACTGATCTCGATCTCGGACTGCTTGATCAGTACAATTTCCAGGCCCCTTTTGCTGCCGACACACCGTCCACTGATGCTCAAGGTACCGAACATTCTCACCCAGAGACCGATACGGCACCAGGGAGAGCAGAGGCTTTCAAGCAGAGCATATGGCGCTACCTTCCTCAGAGCTCTCGGAACCCTAGCGCAGATCAAGTAAACTTGGCCTTTTCAGATGCTGAGAGAGATAATAGGCGCGCGCACATTGCACAACGCCGGGTAGTAGCGGAAAAGTAAGCCAAGGCCTATTCATTCAATTTTTCTGTCGCTGACGTCGTGCTTCCTTTGTCTACAGACTTCCTCGCGTAAGCCGTGACCGCTTGATGGCCTTGGTCTTGGGAACATGCACTCCAGAGAACGTCAAGAAGATTGCGTCGGCTTTTCCCAGCGTAGAATTACTAGATGGGCTGATCCAGTACTTTCTCACCTCGCCATCCCTGGACGCCCTCACCTGGTTTCACCTCCCAACCTTTTCCCCCTCAAAACTGAATCCGGAATTGCTCGCGAGTATAGTATCTGCTGGAGCTGCCACAATTCCCGACTTCTCATTGCGAAAACTCGGATATGCTTTGCACGAAGCTTCAAGGATGGGTCAGTCTAGGACTTTTGAAGAGGACAACACAGCAATCAGAGACCTCCAACATCTGCAGACCTTCCTCCTGCAGCTAGGAGTGGGCATGTGGAGTGGTATCAGCCGAAAAATGGAGATTACAGAAAGCTTTACCCAGCCGCTGGTAACAATGCTTCGGCGAGGCGCCCGCTTCCGCCGGTCGACATGGAAGGAAATCCGCCCTGAGCCAGATGAGCAAGGATCTGCATTGGAAACTAAATGGCTCAACTGGGTCCAACAAGAATCATTCCTTCGCTTAGTCTACCGTGCTTTCGAGTTTGATAGGCAATCCTCCATGGCATTACTCAAGCCGCCACTGATATCTTATGCTGAGATGCAACTTCCGTTACAGAGCTCCCATGCTCTTTGGCAGGCTAAATCAGCAACAAGCTGGAAAGCAGCCTACTTGAACCTGCCACCGATGGCAGTAAATAAGCCGTCAGCCATGGAGTGCTTTCTCAATCTAGGGCACCTCTCGCACCATGACCATGCTAGCCTTACGTACCTATACATGATATGGGGCGCAATTTGGGAATACCGCCAGATGTGCACAGTGACATCTCGGTCACAGGCCGTGTCGAACAACAGCCTCATACTATCGTCGCGCTACCAAGATCTTACCAAGCAGCTCGAGGATTTTAGACTCAGCTGCCCACCCATGAACAAGAGCGTGGAGATGACTCTAGAGATTATGCTGGTCCACCTCAACGCACCTTTAGATGACATTCAGCTTTTTGCAGGTATCGAGGGGCAGGAAGAGGCGCGCATCGCATACGTTGGCCTACGGGACTGGACCAACACTCCTTCAGCACGTCAAGCACTCTGGCATGCTGGTCAGGTTTTACGCGCCGCTGAAGTGTTGCCGAAGGCTTTGTTGAACAATTTCAACGCCATTGCCGTCTACCATGCCGGGCTGATCCTGTGGTGCTATGGATTCCTCAAGCGATCCATTGCGCCAGAATCAACACAGATGGATACCACAGTCGTCCTAAACGGAGACGATTCTCTGAGCGCTCGTAAATTCATCACATTGGATCGGGGTATACCATCAATACGAACATATGGTTCGCATAACCCAACCCAGCTAAATGATGTCTGCGGGGTCATGGACGGCCTGATACATCTCCTCCGGACACGTCACGATGCCTCAGAACCGTGCCCACCGCTTGTTGGGAACTTGGTGCAGCTTTTGGAAGGTTTGCGTTCGGCAATTAAATAATCGCCGCAACAATGCACCCGCGCATGAAGTCTGCCAATTATGTACAGTATAATCTTTTAGGTGCCGGTCACTAGTCATTGAAATAACGCCGTGTTCTTTCAGCAATATACCCTCTTATCGGTGGATACGCGCAATCTGACGTGCATGTTCTTTGGTCCCACAGGCGGCTTTATCTCAGTGCGGTAAAATGCACGCGCAACCCGAGGTTCATTCTGTCGGCCCGAACGCCAAGCTGCTTTGCTCTTCTATTAGGTGGCAACGGCTATTAATTGTATTCAGGCCTGGGCGATCTGGACGAAGTGATATCCCCGCATTTCTAAGCTATATGAAGAATAGTTCCTGCACACAGACTCCCGTCCCCCACATTCCGAGTGACCCCAGAATTTGAGATCAGACTGGGGTAAACCCCATGTCGATTCGTCCAATGGCTGGCCATGAAACATGTTGTGACCCTTGTTCGCCCATTCCTGCAGGCTGGGCACCCACACGGATAAGGATGGGAAGTGAGTCTTGTAGCACGGTGTGGTCTATTTAGATTGAGAAGCTTCTCATGTCCACAATCCAGTGATCATTGCGGTTTTTTGGCTTTCCATTCTGATTTGTACATACCATCAGCCGCAATGACATCCTTTAGCGCGGCGTTCAAGCTTTCCAAAGAGGAGGTGCGTAATGCCAGGCCCCCTGGAACTGCAACACTGGTTGGTAAGACGCGACACAGACTTTCGGGGTTGCTAGAGCTGACAACTTGCCTCATCAGAACATCTCGAATGGACAGCATCGCAAACGAATAAAGATGAGATTCGCCTGGTACCCCAGCCAACGTCAGACCCAGCAGACCCGCTGAACCTGCCCAAATGGCGGAAGCTCGTGATGCTCGCGGTCATGTCTATTCACCCTTTTGTGGTGAACTTCACTGGGTCATCGATCTCTAGTGCTTTGCCGATATACGCGTCGACACCAGTGCTTGGTCTCCCTCCAAAAGGGTTTTCAGAACTGACATACCTCATTGCGGTCAACGTCCTCATGTTGGGGGCGGCCAACCTGTGGTGGGTGCCCTTGGCCAACACCTTTGGGCGTCGCCCAGTGATTCTGAGTAGCCTGTTGTTGCTAGTCTTCTCGAGCATGTGGGCAGGATTAGCGACAAGCTTCGATAGTTTGCTGGCTGCACGTATATTCATGGGCATTGGTGGAGCACCTGCCGACGCGGTCAGTCCGGATGTGGTTGGCGAGATATTCTTCGTTCACGAGCGTGGACGTGCTATGGTATGTAATTGTGACAGAAGCTCTTAACATACCAGAATGCTAACGGCGCTATGTATAGGCCATCTACACTTCCTTCCTAGCCTTTGGGTCTCTTGTCGGCGCTACTTGCGGTGGATACATTGTCGGGCCCATGGGTCTTGACTGGCTACACTGGATGAATGTTGTCCTTTCAGCCATCAGCTTCGCTCTCTGTCTTGTATTCCAAGCTGAGACTTTGTATGAGCGCCCACAAACTTCATACACATCCGAAAACGACATTGCAGACAAGGTCACTGCAGATACCAAGGAGAGTGTTGTCGTTGCTGGCTCCGTGGCACCATCCACGTACCCTTCCTACTCATACCTTCGTTCCCTAAGACTCATCACATATCAGCCGGGCATTGGTACGAAATTCTTGGCTCCCTATAAGGTCCTTCGACTACCTGGAGTGTGGCTGGTTTCATTATGGTATGCTGGACTCGTCGGATTGATTGTGAGTGAAGACTACACTGAAAGATTCAAAAAAAAAGACACCACTAACTCGACTTTAGGTAACCATGTCAACAGTAGCTCCTCAAATTGTCGCCAAACCCCCATATCTCTGGGGCAAGGGTGTCGGACTGATCAACATCGGCGGTATCATTGGGACTATCCTAGGCTGTGTAAGTCTTTTGAACCTTAGCAACCTTTCCACTCCAGACATCCACTAATTCTCCTGGGTATTTCAGATGTACACTTACTTTGTCGCTGATTTCACAACCAAACGCCTCGCAAAGAAGGATCAGAACGGCTTCTCTGAACCAGAATCCCGTCTCGTCACCGCTCTCCCCGCCCTCTTCGCCGCCACCATCGGCTCGCTCATCTTCGGCTTCGTTGCGCAGAACCCCTCGCCAACGGGCTGGGTGGGCCTGCAGTTTGGGCTCGGTCTCGTCGCTTTCGGTCTCATGCAAGCGCCATCGGTGGGTTTCAACTATATCATTGAAGCATATGGCGCCCTTGCCGGTGACTGCTTCGTCGCTATTACCTCGACGCGCGCAGTGGTTAGCTTTGCCTGGACTTTCTTCGTCGGCAAGTGGGTCATGCATGATGGTCCGGCGGAGCCGTTTGGCATCTTTGGTATGCTCATGGGCCTCTTCGGCTTGCTTACTATTCCCATGCTTATCTGGGGTAAGAGGCTACGTATTTGGACGGCAAAGTGGGTTCCTCATGGAGAGCCGATTTAGGCTTCTTACCTCAGATATGTAGTGTGGTTTGCATGATTTACGTTGTCTGTATGCACGTATGTATGTATGCTCATTGGCTGGCCTTATCTGATCCATGGCGATGCCCTTGTACATCGGGTAGAATGTTATATAGCAAGAAGAAATGCCTTGATTTACGATGGATCTCAGTGTGGTGTACTGAGCACTTTGGTTACCAATGAATCTAGAAATTTACTCTCTTATCCCGCCTAGGTAAGCACAAAGAAATTGATTGATACATCTACAAATCATATCTACCCGCCCGCCCATCCATACCCTCAATAGAAGAAAAAGAAAACAACACTTAAATAATCGCAAACTTCCTCAACCCAGCCCTAACCCCAAAAAACAACGATGCCCCAATACACGTGAGAAGCGGAATACCGTAAACGCCCAACCCAATCAATATCCCCTGCTCAAAATACCCAATCGCAATCGACTCCTTCCGCTTCGCTTCCTTAATCTCCTGCCTCGCCTTCCCCAACATCTCACTCGCCACCTTCCCTCCTTCCTTCCCACCCAGCACCTTCTGCAGCACCTTCTGACTCGACGGCACCGTCACATACGCCGGCGCGAGCCGCGAAAAATGCTCAACTGTATACCTCTTCTCCACCTCGAAAGAAACCTGAGATGAAGGTTCTGGGGCAGCGGGCCCAAGAAGCAGCGAAAATGGCACACCATTTGCAAACGACACCGCCGCCGGCATGAATTGCGAGAGATACTTTGCCGTTGCGTTGGCACCGAAGTGGTAGCTTGCCAGCAGGGTGTCCTGCGGGGAGAGATCTTGTTCAACGAGGCTGATTGCATGTTCGAGCGATGTTATGGCCGACACTGCAAGAATAGGTTGTGTGGATTTTGGAGGCAGCGATGCTAGATTCGAAAGTTCGACGATGGCGCCGTTGTCACCTTGGGAAATTGTAGTTAGATTCCAGGATTTTGAGGAGGATAGGGTGGAGAAGGAAGATGAGATCCGCGATGAGGATGATGATTTTTGTTGAGTGCTGGGGTTGGAGGAGCCGTTGGCGAGGGAGCCGGAGCCGGCGAGGTAGCGGAAGGAGAGCTGGAGGACGTGTTCGAGGAAGTCTTTCTTGATGAATTCGTTTACGAGGATTATGTCGGGGGCGTAGGGGGATGTGCCGCCGAAGGCGAAGCGGGCGGTGACGAGGTGTGAGGCTGCGGTGGCAAGGTCCGCGGTGCGGTCTACGATTGCGATTACCTTGCCTTGAGGGGAGATGTGCTGGGAGTATGTTGGTTGGCTGACTTGCGTCTCTTGGAGAACTTGAAGGCAGGTTGAGAGGGAGTCGGCGGGTGGGGAGGATGAGATGATGAGGAAGGTGTCGGATTCGAGGGCTTTGGTGAGGAGCTTCCGGAGGAGAGCAGGGAGAGCACGGAGGTTGTTTTCAAGCTGTTTTTTTGTTAGTTGTGAATCAGCGGGGGGAGAATCCAAGAGTGATGCTTACCTTGAGCGCTACACAGGTACCTGCTGCAACAGCTGCACTCAAAGGCGACAGGACCGAAAAGAAAGGTGTATGGCTTTTTTGCGGCTCAATGTATGCAACACCCCACGGAACTCTCCTATCACTAGCATCTTTGCCATTTGTGATCCGGTATTCCGCTTCCAGCTCTTTTGTGGCATCAATGGAGGCATAATGCTCTTTGACTAGGCCGAGGACAACAGCAACCTCTGTAGTTGCTTCCTCATCTGACACATGTGTATCCTGCTTGATAGCGTTTCTGATAGCATCACTGCTATTACGCAGCACATCATGCAGTGACTTGAGCTGCTTCTGTCTAAAAAAGGCGTTGTGGCAGCGTGCTGTGAGGGCCGTCGCCTGGAGGATCTCCAGCGCGGCTTCGGGGGTAATTGGCGACGACGACATGATGAGACTGCAAAACCGAACAAGAAAAAAATCACAACAGAATTTTCGAAGACTGGAGGAAAGCAGCAATCTCTACTACTATGTAAGCGCGAAAAACATCCCCGGACCACACCGGTATAATCTCCCACCCAACCCGACGGCAATGCGATGAGACGACTTTCCAGCACGGAAGCGCGCATATCCAGGCTCCTCCACATTCCGAACCCCAGCGCCCCACCTCATTCTCCCCCTCCGTCCCGCCTGCCGCCGTCTCCGCGTCTTGTCAGCACCGGAACAGGGACCATTTGGTAATCCCGACATCTACGCCTCTCACCCGTGTCTTTCACTGAACAACAACCGCTGCCGCCGCCGCCGCCGTCTACTACTACCACTACTATTTCCATTTTCTTTTTCACCATCCCGCAGGAAATACAGCGACAATGTCCGTAACAACAACCGCAAACCCAACACACTATACCCTCGCCGCCACACTAGCAGACTACGATCTCCACCACACCACAGAAGGCGGTCACGATGCCAGTCTAAACGCGCATGCCAATCCCGCAGCGAATGCGCAGCAGAATCCGAGTCATTGGCCTACGCAGCATCGCCGTGTTCCTGCGTACCGGCCTGTGAATACGCAGTTGGACGAGAGTGAGAGGAGGGTGTATTTGAATGGGATTGAGCAGGCGTTTGTAGGGACTATGTTTACGGGAGTGTTTTTGCAGTCGGTGAGTTCAATTGCCTTTTTGAGAGAGAGGGGAAGAGTAGTCTTTTTTTGAGAGAGAGAGAGAGAGAGGGCTAACAGGGAAACTAGGCCATGTCGAAGATTTGGAGGAATTCGCTGGGGCGCGTGTGGAACGTTGGGTATAAACTTGGTGGGGAGTGGTGAAGTTGTGAATGGCTTTTGGGAGATTTGGGGAGTTTGAGGGGTCTTTATTTATTTGTTTCTGTTGAAAATTGGGGGAATGCAGGGTGAGAGTTAGGGAGGTTTGTTTGTCATTGAGAAGCGATGCGCATGTACATTTCCTCGTATCACATTTGAGATGGAAAACGGCAATCTACTTCATCTGGCGAGCTGCTTAGTAATAACATACTAACCTACATCTTTCCTTTCGATACACTGAATGCATTCATGCTGACATGCATTTTCCAAATGCAATCCAATCTTGCGGTGTGCCACACACGATACACCAATTAAACAGCCGACGTTCTTTCATCCATTCAGACGCGGGGTCCAACATGTCCTAAAGTGGAAGAACGCCAAAAACATGCGTTCATGCGGTCATCTGCAGAAGAGCCTATTCCCGGGAAGTGGAGGAGGGGGGGGGAAAGGATCTAATTCCACGAACCGAACCTTGGTGTGACCACGATGTGGCTAGGAGCAAAAAGCGGGAATTAAGGCAAAGTTCGCTGGCATCTATTCCGATCTCCAGTATTAATCGTTGTTCACTTCCATACTTTTAGTGCTTGGTACCGCTTCGTTGTCTTCTTTTCGTCCAGTGTATCTTGCGCCGTAACCATGGACTTCACAAACGGCACCACCATAAACGATGTCAATGGCGTCAACAGACACGACGACGCCTCCCAGCGACCACTCAACATCACAGTATGTGGAGCAGGCATCGGCGGTCTGAGTGCAGCAATCTTCCTCCGACAACAAGGCCACACGGTGACTCTACTCGAAGCCTCGCGCTTCGCCAACGAACTCGGCGCCGCCGTACATCTCGCCCCCAATGCCAATGGCCTTCTACGCCGCATGGGTCTGAATCCCGAAGCGCGAGGCGCGGTCAGTTGCAAGCGGATGACGCAGATGCTCCCAAACGGCCGGGAACTCTTCAGTGTAGACTTGGAACAAAGCGCAGGACGGTGGCAGCACCCCTGGCAACTCGCCCACCGCGTGAGTCTACACAGCGAACTGAAGCGACTAGCTACATGCGAAGAAGGAAAAGGCAAACCAGCCGTGCTCAAGCTCCGCTCCAAAGTCGTCGATGTGGACCCCAAAGAAGGCACTGTTGTGCTGGAGAGCGGCGAAAGAATCCAAAGCGACATCATCGTCGGCGCAGACGGTGTCCATTCCAAAACCCGCCTGCGGATCCCAGGCGCAGAAAACATCAAGGTCTTCGGTAGTGGCAAGAGCGCATTCCGCTTCCTCTTCCCCCGCCAAAAAGCTCTAGACGACCCCGAGACACGCAAGTTTGCAGACAAAGAAGGGCATCTGGTCATGATTTTTGCTCGCGACAGGAGAGTAGTCGTGTACCCGACGTCTGACAATACACTTCTGAATTTCGTGTGCATTCATCCTACGTCTGAGAGCCAGATTGATGCGCAAGAGCCTGGAAGCAGTGATTGGCAAAATAAGGGAAACCTGGACAAGATGCTGGAGGTGTACAAAGATTTTGAGCCTGCGGTGCTCAAGCTGCTGGGTATGGCGGATGAAGAGACGCTCAAGGTGTGGGAGTTGCTAGATATGGAGCAGTTGCCTAGTTGGACAGAGGGGAAGTTGGTGTTGATAGGTGATGCTGCTCATCCTTTTACGCCGCGTAAGTTCAACCTTTCATCCCCTTCCAAACCTCTAGAAGAAGAAAACGAAATGAAAACTAACTCAATTTTTTTGACAACAATCAGACCAAGGCCAAGGCGCAGGTCAAGCAATCGAAGACGCCGCCTCCCTCGCCGTCATGCTTCCCCTAGGTGTACCCCCCTCGTCCATCCCCTCCCGCCTCAAACTCTACGAGCGCTGCCGCTACGACCGCGCCAGCACAATCCAAGAATACTCGCGAGTCGCGGGCAAAGATCTCGGCACCGGCCCACCCCTCGACACGACAAGATTCACAAACTACAATTTTGGCCACGACGAATGGCACTATTCCAGCCAGGTGCTGCGGAAATGGGAGTGGGAGAATAATAAGAGTCTACTGTGGAGAATGCCGACGGTGTTTGGGCCCATGCCGGGTCCCCGTCAGGACTTTTATGGGAGGCAGAGGGATGGAAGTACGGCGACGTTTTCGACGACGAGTGTCAAGGTGAGGACGAGTAGGACGGTGTTGGAGAATTTGCTGCCGCCGAGTGGCAAGTTCAAGTTTGCCAGTGCGGATACGACGGCGTATGCTACATTCGCAGTCACCCAGCTGGGGAATCTTGAGTGGTTGGGCGGACGGGGGTACAGTCATTTTGGGCTGTATGTTCATGGTATCGAGTACGTGAAGGAGGATGGGGATACGGTTGTGGGGACGTATTTGCCTGTGTTGTTCGAGAACCTTGCGGATCCGATTTTGAGTGGGAGGGAGGAACTCGGGTTTCCCAAGGTATTTGCTGATCTGACGGTGAGTAGGACGGACGACAAGTGCGTGTTGGAGGCGAGTTGGATGTCGTCGAAATTCTGCTCCTTGAAGCTCTCAGGGTTACAACAAGCTGGTACTGCAAACGGCGAGGCTCCGGCTGTCCAGCCAGAACCTCCTAGAGACGATGGCCTGCTGTTCCACAAGTACATACCCACTACTGCGAGTGCGGGTAGCAAGCAGCGCGGACAGGCTGATGTCGAGTACACTGCGTTCCTTCCGGGTGACGAGGAAAGCAAGGCGGTGGAGAAGAAGATTGAGCAGACGCTGACTGCCTCGACGGCCGAGATTGCGTTTGACGCACTTGACTGGAAAGCACTACCCACACTACACCACATTGTCGAGAGGTTACAGGAGATACCCGTGTACGGGGTTGTCGAGGCAAAGATTGTGCAAGGAACTGGGGTAAGCGATGTAAGGTCAGCCCAGAAGCTTGCATAGACACAGATACACATGTACATACATACACTGTTAGTTTTTCTGTAGTTACCAGTACCTTTGTTCGTCCCCATCACCACATATCAAATCACCAACTCCCCTACAATTTGTACTACCTTTCATTCTTTCGTCTACAGAAGGATTGCCAATATTTGCTACTACATGCTTGTCCTCAGAAAGCCAAGTGTATAAATGGGGAGGGGTATTACCAAGGTGCCATCTATCAAATGCCATACAAAAACACCATACGACCATGACGATGCAAAAATGTACATATGAAATTTGTAAAAGAAAGGAAAAGACAGTAAGAAAAAGGGTAGGCGGATAAACAACAGAGAAAAAAAAATCCACATATTGTTCCCAAATAAATGAAACAAAAAGAACTACGATCCGTCTAGTATAATCCGCCAGGGACGCCCCAATTTCGTTTCCCTAGCGTCTGGAAACATAAAAAGTCCCGTATTGTAGTGCCGAGATGCTTTGCCGAATATTCTTGATTCGCATCGCCATTAAAGATGCCACAGACTCTATATCAGTCTTATTCTTTTTCAGCGAAGCCTCCCCAAGTGTAGAGTAGAGAAGAGAAAGAAAGAAGAAAAGAAACTACTAGCAAGGTACGCAAGGCGAGTTCTACCCAGTAGTCGCGCCCAGGCCATCGCAAAGCCTCTTTCTCCATTGTCCACAAACGTCCTCGAATCCATCCAGCACGTCTGCACATGCACGTTTGGCTTCCCTCTCTTTGAGCCGCCGGTCCCAGTCTCCATGTTCAATATACTCCTGTGCCTCCTTTGCTTGTTCATTGTCGCGTTTCCAGTCCTGTAATTGTTCTTTACTAACTTTGAGCCTACGGGTGGCATTCATGGTGGTTTGCCGGGACATGTGTAGCGTGTCGCTTACGTTTGCGAGATGTTGCAGGAGCTCGCGGCTCGAGTGTGTGAGATGGGAGAGGGCGACGAGTGGCTCAGTGGAAGAATGGGGTAGCAGGTCCAGTGTTGATTGTATGATTGGCAAAAGTTCCTCGATGGTGTCTAGGTCGGGCATGATAGGTCGTGGACCCGAGAAGGAGGCGGCTAGAGATGTTAGGGTACGGGACTGGTGGGTTAGGTGTGTTGTGAGAGCATCGTGAGCTGTTTTAAGTCTGTTTTTTTTCTCTCTGTTAGCATAAATCATTCAAAAAGGAAAGGGACAAAGCTACCTTGTGGATCCGTTCTCTATAGCAATCTGGCTGCCCAAGTCTCGTAGTTGCTCCGTCACTCGCTTGACCACCTCGTCTGACGGGCTGCCATTCTCTTCCATGCCCCGCCGTGCCAGGCTTTCAATAGCTGCCATTCTCGACTCGAGCGCCGGTGATATGCCCTCGTTGTCCAGGTCCGAGTCATCGCCATAGTCGGAGCCGTCGTACAACGATTTTTGCCTATTATGCTTTTTTGACTTTGCAGCCGAGGCTGGGCTGAGGCCAGTGGGAGGAGAGTCTTGCATGGCCACACCACTATCACGCACACCGTTGAGACTGGCTACGCTGTCGATGCCATATGAGCCGTCATGCTCGATGGCGGTGCCGATGGCCGCGAGGTCGCCGTGCGACTCGTCTATGTCCTCACCGTAGTCGCCGTCTATGGCCTCGTCATCGTCGTCCCATATTTCGCCCAGCTCGTCGGCCAGGTTTCCGAGACCATTGCCGTCTATGGCGCCGTCAAAGTTGTGTGCAGAGGCGTCGTCAAAGTCGTGCGACGAGCGCGGGGTTATGGGCGAGTAGCCGGAAGAGCGTCGGTTGAAGGATTGGCGCCTGGAAGAGTTGTTGTGGGACATGTCCAGGCTGTCGGGGTGTCGACGGTGCGAGGATAGAGGACGGTGAGTCGGTGTGTCTGGTGGAGAGGACATGGCGCTACGGGTGGGTGGATCAAGGGCCAGATGGGAATGCGCCGAACGCGTCCGAGGATCGTGAAGTCGCTGGTCAAGGAAAGGTGGACCGCATTAGGAGAGCCCAATCGGGGTTCAACCGAGCGTGATCAAGGAGCGCAATGCGCCTCTGTCGCGCAGCACTGGCAGCCGAGGGCTCGATGTGGCCCAACCTCGTGCAAGCAACAGCGGTGCGTGCTGAGCAGGAGTTGCAAAAGGAGAGGTGCGTGGCGGGGTAGCGGCGTGTGGACAGTGACTGGTACCCCTAAACTTGAGGTTGCGGGCTCGGCTGTGGTTGCGCAACTGCAGCCTCGATGCAAGGTACCGGCGGTGCTGCGAGGGGGGATGGATGGCCACTGGCGGCACTTGGCGGTACGGTATCTTTCTATGTATATGTGTGAGTGCAGAGCGGGAGAACAGGCGCAACACTGATAAACAGTCAAACAACAAAGCCGATGTGGTTGCACAGCAGGTCCCCTCGCACAGTGTTTAGTTGCCGCTTGTTGCCCTGCCTGCTCGGGATTGGCCTGTCAGAAAATGACGGTCCCTCGCAAAGGAGAGAAGGTATGGGTATCCTTGTCATATGCAAACCACGCCCACAGCCAGCACACATCGACACAGGACTATACACCTCACTTGACCATCTAATTCTGCAAATGTGGGTGTCAAAACAATGGATGCAGCTGCCGGCTCGAGGCTCGTATTGAAAGATGCCCACGTCCCCTCCTCTATCCCAGCCCGGTCCCTGCGTGCATCCCTACAGCATACATACACACAAATCCCATGACCCTGTCGTCAACCACATGGCCATCGCCTACCACGATGCTAGCCTGGAAAACATACACCTTCGCAGGCTCCAAAACGCCTTTTCCCCCTTTCAAAGCCATACCATGCTCCTGCAAGGTGCTGCCATGTAGTCACCCAGAAAACCGTGCCCAAGAACGCCTGCAATGCCTACCCGAATGCCGCTGAAACAATCATCGCTTGTTTGCAACTACTGCGCTGCTTTGGTCTGGTCCAGCGTCGCCAGCTGCTTCTTGAGCTGCGTGAAGAAGTCCTGTCCCGTTGTCATGAGATGCGGCATGGTGCCTGCGTCGAATCAGTATTCCATGTCCGCATACTTGCTATACATAAGCGCCTCACCGCCTTTGCCCCATGCTCCGCTGCTCCTGTTCGACACCGAGTCACCCGGGACCTTGTGATATACCGCTGGTTGGTCTACAAGGCTAATGTTAGCACTACTAGGGCATATGCGTGGAAAACTACGTGGCTCGTACTGGCGGTACTCTCGAGGTATTCTATACTTTGGTTAGCCCTGGGCTGTGACTTGTACATTGGCGAACATACTCTTCTTGAGGAATTCCTTGACCTCGTTGGCATTGAAGTCCTTTACAGGCACATGGTGCTCGGGCTGGGCCTGAGCTTGTGCAGCTGGCGCAGTAGGACCCGAGGCTTTTGCCTGCTTGGTTCCCCAGACATTGCCCGCAGGTGCGGCGGCCATGGACTGCGGCCGGCCACCAGCGTCCTTGGTGGGGGTGCTTGCGCCTGAGTTACGGTTGGCTTGACCCTGCCGTCGCCAGCTGTGAGGCATGCGTCAGTTGTGTGCAGCAAGGCGGGTGGGCGCTCCTCTGGACCTACCGATTCTCACCAGGACCACTCATCTTGGATGCGGAGAAATGGCAGAGGCGAGGAGGGGCCGAGTGGTAGATATAAAATGCTGGAAGCTCTGCAATCGCTCTTGCAGCGCGCGAACGATGTCTGTGCTGCAGCAAACGGGCCCAATGAGGGTGCTAGATGCGACTACACCTGTGACTTTTCCCGACCAACTCACTACTGCTAGCCGCTTCAAGAGCCACTGCGACACTATTTCCACAGATTCGCGAACGAGTGGATGGCGATTTACGGAGCTGCCCAATCTGCGCCAATGTGCTGTACATCACGTGCCCCGCCCTCCAATCGAAATGCCCACCGCCCATCGTGACAACACACCAACAACAGGGTTCAAGACACCACGGCGAACCCACGGTAACAGCTTCTAGTCAATGGGCCACGTTTTCGTCTCCGTTCTTTCCCCCATGCTTGGCCGCCCTTGACTCGTGCCCGGTACAAGCACAATGACGGCATGCCATTGTGATGGGCAAGACACGATGCCACGCAATCTCACCGACAGCTCCGCTCAAATCCCATGAGGAAGAGAACGGTGGACAAGACAAGGCAACGCGTATCGTGCTAAGAATGCATGTCATCCGGTCTCGTAGAAAAAAAGCAAAGGCAAACGTTCGAGTTATCGCTCACGGTGCTGTCACCGACTTTTGACAAAGACCAGGGTCCCCAGATATGTGCATGGAACCTCACTGACAAGAACCCTCCATTGTCCCAACTAGCTTTCCCACCTTTTTGTCAGCGACAACTCTCACAAACCAATCCTCATACGCTAATACGTAGTAAAAAAAACAGCCTCTTGTGGCTAGGCTCAGATTCCATTCCATTTATTAATAAGATGTATTTTGTGCATGCCAGTCCCCATGCCGTCCTACCAAGGCACCAGGCCATCAACATTCATTCCATAACATGATACAACGCCGTAAACTCGAGGCGTGAGGGAATGCAGCAATGCATATTACAAACACACTAGGCTGACGCAGCGGCACCTTCGGTATTGTCTCCGCCATTGCCACCGCCAGTCAGATTTGCTAGGAAATCGTGATATCGAAACACCTCTCCTCTGCCCAGACCTTTGCCTCCCTTTCCAAAGGCTCTTCGCCCGCTGAAACCCTCAACTACCATGTTGATCTCCCGTTCGGTAAGAAGCGTCTCTCCTGGCTGCGGTGCCGTGTGCAGCAGGGCATCTTTCAGCTCTGCCAAGTCAATCTGCCCGTCGTCATTGTCATCGAATGCCTCAAAAGCTGCGCTCAGCTCGCTCTGGTGCGAGAGGTTGCCCAGAAGATCGGATAGTGTTGTCAGGTAGTTGGCCAGATTGATGGATTGTGCGCCGTTGAAGTATGTCGAGAGCTGGGACGGGGTCGCAGAGAGACCGAGCTGGGACAGCATATCAGCCACATCTGCAGCATTTACATGGCCATCATCGTCGCGGTCCATGACACTAAACGACTCTCGCATGCTGTGTAGGAGGGGCGGCGGCAGTTTGGAAAGGGCGTCACTCGAAGCCATTCGCCGGATGGTCGGTGGCCGGGCTGCCAATCGCCCGGGTGAAGGCTCGCGCGAGCGTGCAGGTGAGCGTGCGGGTGAGGGTGCTGGTGAGAGGTGTGCGAACCGATCTACATGAACCTCTGCTGGCTTCTCAATTGGCCTCTCCATCGGCTTGACAGGGTCAACAGGCGGCGACTGTTTGCGGAAGGAAAGAGGTGCCGGCGTGTCGTCCTTGGCGGTGCCCTCGAACATGGCAGCAATGGACGCCGTGCTCAGAGGGCGTCCGGTGCCTTGGGCCGTGGGTGGTGGTGCATTGCGCGTGGGCGAGACATGGCGGCCAGGCGAAGCGGGTGGTTCAGGCGTGCCTGATCTTGTGCGCGTGTGCAGCCATGGCGGAGGATTTTGTGATACGGGCCCGGTAGCAGTGGCGGGGGCAGCAGCAGCAGCAGCGGTTGGGCGGAGGTTTGCTTGCGAGGGGGTGTTGGGCGTGTCTTTGGGCTTCAGAGGAGAGCTGTTTGGCGTCGAGGGCCGTAGAGTCGAGGGTGAGGCTTCTCGGATGGAGCCCGGGCGGCGGAAGGGCGACTGGCGGGCGTTGTTGAAGGACAGCGGCGAGGGCTTGTAGGGCGTGGGCGTGGTCGAGTCCATGAGCGCGTGGTATGTGCATGTGTCTGTGTTGGGGGCTGGAGGGCGTCAATATAGTATCCTAACGTCGTCGCATAGTGGTGACGGCGCTTGTTGACCGTGGCTGGTGTTTTGCGGCGGCAGCGTGGCCTAGCAACCAGACCAGACCAGGCGTGCGCTGGGGACTAGGCAATCGATAAGCCCGCCGGCCCCAGCAGATGCAGTTAGCCCGTACGTCGATAACTAGATATTATTATAACCTTATGTATGGACTACACATGTACGTACGTATCGACTCTTGTAAGTACGCTTCCTACTCGCGAATGCACTCCGGCGGTGGGATGCGTGCACCTGCACTGTCGCCCACCCCAGCGCCATTGAGCCCGCACCTCGTGTCCCCTTCGCCCTCTCCTTCGCCCCGACTGGCTGCCGCCATGGTCGTGAGGGTGACATTGGTTTCGGACCATCTGTGGCATTGGCCCCCCTAACGCTAGCGCCTGTAGATCTATAGGGAATGCAAGCAACCAGGGCCCCATACATAGTACAGCAGAGGGAGAACGAACACTCATGGCCGAAGTCATATCACAACGACCAGGCGGTCCCAGTCCTGCCCAGCCCTTGACTCTGCAACGCCAGCCTTCCTTCTCCTCCTTCCCGCCCTCGCGCTCACCATCTACCCGCAATGGCCACTACCCCAAATCCCGCTCCCCGCAGCCCCCCATGCTGCGCGAGGGCGAGGAGAACGACTCAACCCAGTCGGAGCGCGACGACCCCTTCCGCCACCTCTCCGCCATGTCCCACGCAAGAGCTGGCATGAAGCTGCGCCCCCAGTATCCCGCCGATGCCATCGAGAATCATGTCGAGTACATACTCGTCGCCTCGTTTGACATTGACCGCGGCTCCATCATGGAGCACCAGTATCCCGCCGCCATAAGCGGTGACGAGACCATGTTAGCCGAGCTCATGCTGCCAGATCAGGCCCACGTCCGGAGCCAGGATTGGACCATTTTCTTTCTGCACAAGGACACGACCGTCGACGAGGAGGAGCGCGAAGCACGGAGAGAGCGCAGGCGACGGAGAAAGCGGCGCAAGGACGGCCTAGAAGACGACAATGACAATGCGACTGCCCCCGCCGAAGAGCGCAAGGACCGCGACAGCGACAACGAACCCGAGGCCGATGATGATGATGACGAAGACGACGACGACGACACAGAAAGCGAGGGTGGGCCGGATCCAGATGGGCCACCCTTGGTCTACGTCCTGAATCTGGTCAACACCAAGCAGGACAACACCGTGAAGAGGTAAGGCGGCCCTAATAACTTGCGACAAACGAGCTTACCAGACACTAACTCTGCACAGAGGTGCCATTGTGAAAGCCATGGCCATATGCACTCGCCATCCTTTTCTGCACATATACAAGCCCCTGTTGCTATTGGCTCTCGAGGAGTATTTCAGGGCGCCAGTCCTAGAAACACTTGCCTCGCTCTACAATGCCCTCAACTCCATGGATCTGTCACTCTTGCCGAAACTGTCTCACCTTGAAAGCTTTGTGCTAGGCGCCAGCGATGCAAAGGACATGTTCGTAGAGAAATTTGAGCTAATGGTCCGCCACCGGAAGAAGCAGGATGCAGCAAAAGAGGCGGACGAAACTACATCGGATCCTCAATCTAAGAGAAAAGTATATACCATTCCCCGGGACACGCACGAGTTTGAGTCAAAGATCGATTACAACGGCATACCCGTGCCTGTCAAAATACCAACTTCCCTGAGTCCGGAAACCGTGGGCGACTTTTCCCTTATCAAACTCATACAGACCTTCTCCACCCCTCACACAACCCAACCGCAGCCATTCGCCTTGCACCCGCATCTGACAACGAGCGGCGCATTCACGCATCCAATCATTGTCCTTGTCAATGCTCTCTTAACCCAGAAGCGCATCATCTTCATCGGACACAATCGCCCTTCAGGCGAAGTTGCAGAGGCTGTGCTGGCAGCATGCGCCCTGGCCTCTGGCGGTATACTGCGCGGCTTTGTGCGACACGCGTTCCCATACACCGATCTTACCAAAGTAGACGACCTACTCAAAGTGCCTGGCTTTATCGCTGGCGTTACCAATCCTGCATTTTCCTACAAGCCAGAGTGGTGGGACCTGTTATGTGACCTCCCTACTGGTCGCATGAAGATTAGCAATCGAATCGAGTCAGCCTCGCCCACAGAAGGATCGTTATTTTTCCAGCAGCAAGGCCTCCCTTTGAACGGACTAAGTGGACAATCCGGCCTTGATAGTAAGGGTGGTGGTATTGATCCTACGGGTGACAATCAGTTTATGGACAGACTTCTCGAGAGCATTGCCAACCGTCATGGAGAAAACGCGATTCGAGCAAAATGGCGCTCGTGGGTGCTCAAATTCACCCGCATCGCAGCCGCCTTTGAGGAAACCGTCTACGGGGCGTCAGCATTGTACATTGGCGCTCACGACACGGAAACCGGTGCATATGGCGTTTCTGGGCATGGCTACGTCTGGTCAGATGAAGGTTCCAAGTTGCGCGAACTTGCAGCAAATGTTCATCGAATCGAAGGCTGGCGCAACACCAGAAGTTACTATAGCTACATCCAGGATATTGCAAAGGGCTGGGGCAAGAGGCCAGTGCGCGGCCTCGACATGCACCATCAGCATGACAAACTGCGATGTCTGAAGCTCACCCATGATCAATCAGCAGCTATCTATCTTGCACTTGCGCGGTGCGTGGAAGAAGCGGGTTCATCCAGCGGGAGCACCAGTGCTTCGTCGACCGACCTTTCATCAATGGCACAGTCGCTTAACATCACCAACGAGTCCGCAAGGAGAGTAAATGCCCAATTACAATACGATACCGTTCTCCAGCTGCTCTGCGTTATACCCGATGCCGGCCTCTTCTACCTTAGTCTCGGTCTTTTCCACCCCAGACAGGATGTCCGCATGGCAGTCGTCAAGTTACTGGAGCGAATCATGGATCACTCTGCTGGTCGACACTACTGGGGCCAGTTGGGACGTTTTGCCAAACTAGCATTTTTCAGAGTAAAGAGGGAGGAGGCGCAGAAGTAGATATACTGGCAAGTTTTTGGAGTTGGATTGAATGAATGATAACTGGCCTGTGTCGCAGGGTCGACTTAATGCAATGACAAGAGTAATCTGAATGAATGAAACGAGTACTACATATGTTTGCGCTTTGTCAACAGTGAGCATCTGCATTCGACATGAATCTCTCTCTTCGCACATGAGGACTCATGATTGACGTCCGCTTCTGTGTAACGAGATGCTCCGCGCAATAACACGCTGTACATGTCTAGTTCTCTGCAAAGACATCTTCTTGACTAGCTAGGCATTTAATGGTTTGTGTTAGCTGATACGGGCTATATACAGTATGTTGGCTCAGAAACCAGTACAGTAGTTAACTACGGAGAAATTAATCTTAATACAAGAATAGTCTTTGATATATAGGGTTTGCTTTAAGTTTTGGAGGGGAGAAATCTGTACTCTTAACCTTACAGATTCCTTAGCATCGTGGTAAAAGAATTTTAGTATCTCGAAGAAAACCTACTGCGCAAGCCCTCCCTAGCTAGGTATACTGTGTGCTATGTGCACGCTCAGTGTGGAAGGGTGAACGTGACACTAGTACGTGAAGGGCTGGCGTGGGCGGTTCCTGGATCAGGCAACTGCTCAGCCTCAGCCCCGACAACAAAAAGAGGAGCCCACAGTGCCCCTCCATCCTCATCACACTTCAGAACCGTTGTCCGTCATTTGTTATAGACATCAATGGAGGTTGCCGGTCTAACACTCAGTGCTGTCGCACTGGCAACGCTATTCAACACCTGCGTCGAATGCTTCGAGACTTTTTCCCAAGGGAGAAACCTAGAGAAGGACTTCAGCTACCTTCTCATCAGGCTGGACTTTGAAAGAACACAATTACTATTGTGGGGAAACTCAAGCGGCATTCTCAAGATCGAGAAAGAGGATCGACATGTCAGGTTGGCAGACCCGACGGTTTCCAAGCTTGTTGAAGATGCGCTAGGTGCAATCAAAACTCTTCTCTCGGATGCCAGTTTATTGCAACAGCGTTATGGCGTCAAATTCAGTACCGCAACCTCGGCAAAGAAACAGTCAATATCAGCAAATTTACTTAGTACGAACAGCATGAATTTGTTTCGCACCTCATGATCCAGGTTCTGTACTCGAGCAGCTCAAGCTTTACCAGACCGAAGTGCCCTTAGCACAGCTTCAAAAGCACGCTGGGCGGTTCATGATAAATCAAAATTCACGGAACTACTGGAGAAGTTGTCAACTCTTGTGGAAAAACTACACATGCTCATTCCAGTACCGGATTCTCAACATGACGATCTGGAAAATGACCTTGCTGCAATACTTGACATATCACAGTTGAGACTCGTGGAGGTGGCATTGCAGTCCTCAAGTCCAAGGGGTAAAGCCCTGTCCAGAGTTGCAAGTGTTATCATTTCGAACTCGGAGATTGGTACCATCGACCGACGGACTGTTGTTGATTGGCTTCAGGATACTACTCAATGGATCAATGAGCCAAATGATACAAATGTCTCATCTACATCAACGCAGACAGGTGGACGTAAGTGTATTCCAGTAGATTGTAAAGCAAGACTAACATGTTACAAGGTCTGAGTTTGGAAGGGAAACTAGGATATCTGTCATTGAACACCGAAAAGTCATTGTACTTTGTAAACACTCCTGAGTGCCGGAATCTTGCGACATCAAAACCTTGTCCAACCATTGTTCCATATGAGAGACTGCATCTCGCAGCTAATAACACATTCCATGCCAGGGGACTCCAACCATTGCGCTTCCTGTTCCCAAAATTGGCAAGATGCGAAAATTTTCAGCCCGACAGCTATGTCGAGTTATTTGAGGGTCTACAAAGAAGTTCATACGAAGTACAAGAAGTAACCATCCGGAGAATTAACCAAATGCTCCCATTTGGCTTCATCTACATTCACACAAGCCCGTGCCAGTGCGCAATCCAGACGGCAGTGGAAATAGCTCAACAATTGGATAATGAACACATCACGGCCATGGTACGTGTAGATGACAGGATTTCTAGCTCCTGTTTTCCCAATCTTGCAGACCGTATCGTAGTGCTTCAATCAATGCTTGCATATCTCGATACACTGGAGCCATTTTCAGCGTCACTATGGAGATTTTTGGATCGAACGTGGCTTGACCAGAGACTCTATACTCTAGAAAGCGACGTCGCTCCTGATGACTCTTTAGCCATGTCCAACACAACAGAAATATTTTCGGGGGACAACTTTCCGGGTCCTTTCGCTGGCTTAATTATTGTTGGAGAAGTTGACTTTTGCACATCACTGCTCCAAGCTGAACCCTTTCCATGGACGCCGAGATTCCCAAGAGCGTGCGAGATTTATGAAATCACTCGCATTCATACGGAATACAGACGCAAGTACGTTGGCAGATTCGTTGCGCGCCCGCCTATTATAAATCCCAATGTGACATTGCCGCAACAACAGGCATCAGAGGCCCCGAATCCTGATATCGAGAGACCAAAATCACAACCGGGTAAACGATCTGCCTCCCCACTGACACCTGGAACTGGGAAACGACCAGTGACCCAGCTGGTAACATCTGATCGTGGAAGTGTAGCGTCTGATTCTTTGTATGGCTAGACACAACCATCCGAACAAAAAAAACTCCCCCCCCCCCCAAAAATCTCTTAGAGAATACCATATCCGGTATATCCAGCACCAGTAGATTTGAGTATTCAAAACACGCCCCATATCGCTTACAAGGTCCGGGCGTTTGTATTTGACATCTTTCTCCCTTAGAAAACCCAGCCCGCGATCCGCCCGATGCACACAAATCGAGTCTAGAAGGAAAATTCTCCGTCCGGGGCCCACACCAAGGAAGGAAACCCGATTGAATCGGAGGCATTGGAGACGCGCGCGGAAGTGGAGCCGCGATTTGGGGGGGGGGGGGGGGGGGCGTGTAGATTGACCGGAACAAAACTTCCGAAGTAAATTAGTCGAGAAGAAAGAAAGAAAGAAAAAAAAGAGGTGCTCTGTGGGTAAACTTTTTTTCATTAAATTGCTCTTTGATTTGTTTATATATTTTTTATACATATCAGTTTATTGTTGTTTTACACTCATTATTCCCGTAATAGACTGTTACGCTCACATGCTACACAAAATGCGACATGTCATCCCCCTTTTACCTTGGTGGTGATGGAGGGTGGTTTGCGCAATTTTGTTTCTCACAGCGGCTGCATGCATGCTAGACTGTACAATCGCTGATGGAAGCCAAAATGTTTCTAGCTTGATTCGATGGCCGATGCTGAGACTGGGGGTTCCCTTGTTGCAAAAGTGGGGCGGAAGATGCTACCGTGCTCGGGTCTCGAGTTTCCTTTCTATCCGAGCTTGGGTGAGTGGAGATGCGCATAAAGTGTGATCCTACAATCATTGACTTGGCTGGGTTATTTGTATATCTTGCTGTTTGGGTTGGAGAGGTTGATTCCAAACACTGAGTGCTTTATGGCTGGGTTCTGGGTCATGGATGCAACTTCAATGTTGAGTCGCAACCTTTTAAGTGTTCATGCTTGTTTTTTTCTGATGTGCCGCTGTTTTGCCGCGAGCTAGTAGTAATGGTGTTCGCGCAAGCCACGATTGAACCAGTTTGGTGGACGCCTGAGATGCAGCTATTTAAGTCCGGCAGTTGCAACAGGGATTTAGTAATCATATATCTTGTTTTCTTGGTTTATAGTGTGAAGCTTGTCTTGACCACGAAATATGCGACTACTCTTGGGCCTGATCTGGCAATTCCTTCGATGACGCGAATGCTCGTATAACCCCTTATGTTTCTTACAAAAAAGCCACGTGTAGCAAGGGATCGCATGGTATGGTGGATGTGGCTGAGTGCTGATCCACTGTTGGGGATGACCTAGTTGACAATAGATAGGAGGGGCAATGCGGCCTGTTTGTAGACCAGCAAAAAAGATAGCATGCTGTTACAGAAAGCGGACTCCTGCAATAGAACGGGCAACACTCGGCATAAAGCTTCGAAACGCTAAGAGCAGTGGTTGTAGCACGTGGCAGGGGGTTACAACGCCAGTAACCGATTGATGGTTCGATAGTTGCAAGAACGGAGATATTCGCAATTCTCCTCCCATATGTAGTGCCCGGGGCTATGAACACATGGCCGTGCTCTGTTTCGCGCACAGCGCCACAGCTTAGATCCGGCGTTGGGGCTTTGGAAAGTTGGAGCTAGCGATATGCTATTAGAGCCTTAGATACCAAACAGGGATGGACTTGAGTCGTCACCAAGCCACAAACCTTAGTGACACGCGGCAAAGATGCCAATTGAGTAAAACAGCAGGAATCATCGTCCCAGAATAGCAAAGACTGCCATGTCCCACCTTATTAGACATGCCCAATCAGAATATCACAGCGCTGACTACCTTTTCAATTGGCATTTGATCTGCAGTATCAGGAGATCGATTGTCCGAGCTCTAACTGGACTCTTAGATATTCGTATCGACGGGACATTAGAAATACGAGAACTCGGTGTCTTTGGGCCTGTGCCCCATACCATGGCAATTGTCTTGATGAATGACATTCCGATACAAAGCAGGAAACGGAGGAAAAGAGTCATGAAGTTAGTGACCCACATCGATGTTTGGTCAGGGCGGTTGAAGGGGCCGACCGAGAGTTCGAGAGCTATCATGTATGCCGGCCAGATTGGACAGTTCCTTGCATTAAAGTTTGGCATGCTATTAGAGTTCATCAAATCGAGATGATGATTGGCGCATAGCTCGTAGATCGCTGCAGGGCTCCGATTGACCGGCTTTGGTGTGGGGCTTATGGCTTGGCGAGAGGCGTGTTCCTATCGTCCAACATAGTAGCTGCCGCTATTAATCCACTCCACCAGCCTGTGAAAACAACGTTTCAAGGAATTTGGTACATTTACTCCACAGTTTCAGGACTGCAGGTGGCTTCGCCGCTGCTGGCCGGCTCTTGAATATCGAATTCGAGGGTGCTCATGCCTACGCCAACCGTACTTATCTTGCACCCAGTAGCGGTGACAAGAGCTTCTCCGGCACCAATAAGCACGTTCAGATAGGTTCGGATGTTTCTGCACTGGGATGATTATCTGCGTGGTGTACTATAGATAGTGTGGCCTCAGGTAGATGGGATCATGGCAAATCAGCAACATGCAGTCTCTTTCTCACCGGTATAACTATAGCAAGTATCAACAATCAAGCCATAGCAGTGGACAAGATACCAAAAAGCTGGGCTATATCAAGGAAGAACATGGAATCTACTGACAAGGAAGCGCTTCTCGTCATCTGGTTTCATCCTGTGCGGGGAGTTTTTCCCTTAAATACAACCCCAATGGAGCGCCGAATCGGGCCGCCCCAAGAGTCCAAGTGCCACGCGAGCTCCACATGCTACGTGACACTGTTTCCCTGACTGCAGTCTGTGCTCCGTTGTGTGCCGTAGCTAACAAAGGACCCATATGTCATGTTTGAAACCCGGCTGGCCAGCCAGCCAGCCAGCCAACCAACATAATACTGAGGCCCGGATCCTAGAGCTACTCGTTTTCCCTGGTCCTTTTCCCTTCTTCGCGACCGATCGTATCCCCAAACCGAAGCCTATAGGTACCATTGTGCCTGCATGCCTTGCATGCACGTTCCGTCCGGTCTTCAGTAATCCAGAATGCAGCTGCCGCCAGCGTCGGTCGTACTGAGCTGGCCGACCCCCAACTATGACGACCCAGTCACGCGAGGGCCAGCACTTATCATAGTCAACTCGGTCTTCATAACACTGACATTTCTGATTGTGGCTGCGCGACTATATACACGGATTGTAATCAAAAGATGGTTTGGCGTTGACGACGTCTTCATCTTGCTCGCGCTTGTAAGCAGTGTTTCCTTAAAACCCTATTCTCTCTTAACATATTGCAGTTGTTCGCAGTGTGCCTCACAATTGTTGTCCTCTTGGCAAACAAGTCGTACGGATGGGATAGGTAAGTGGACCACATGAATGAGGATCTCAAGAAATACTTTCTGACTTGATCACTATAGACATGTGTGGGACATACCAATTTCCAATTTTGTTCCAACATACAAAATCGCCATGACAGCCAAGGTGGTCTTCACAGCAGCAGCATCATTCACAAGGCTCTCTCTACATTGCTTCTACTACCGTCTGGTCTCTGATTCAGGAAAATCGTGAGTCATTACTTGTAATGTATTTCATTTGCCGAGTACGCATGCTAACACAGGCTTTGCTTTAGATGGTTTAGGTGGCTGGTCCACTTCAACGTTTTCTACACAATCTCCTGCTTTGTGTCATTTACCTGCATCGCGATATTCTTTTGTGTGCCCATCAGCAATTACTGGACTCTTGGCGCGCCAGCAGAGACCTGCCTGAATGAAGCAGATGCGACTCTGATTGTTGGAATAATCAACTGTGTTGCAGATCTCCTGACGACAGTGACACCTATCCCTTTGGTCATGGGCGTAAGTTCCAGTTCACTAATGCAACACAATAAATGCTAAAATCTCCAAGCTTCAAATGCCTCTCCATCAACGTCTAGCAGTGGCCTTTTTCTTTGGTATGGGTTTCATAGTGACTGCTGCTGGCATCGTGCGAACTTGGTTCATATATCGAAGTCTTTACAACGAATGGGATCAAACATGGTACGCATATCCACTATGGATTGCAGCTGCCGTGGAGATTGATCTGGGAGTGGTAAGCACGTGTGATTAAATAGGTGTACAAGGCTAACCAAGAATAGATGTGCGCATCAGCTCCCGTTCTCAAGCCACTGCTCGCGAAGATACCCTGGAGTCTGTCCGGAGCGCTGACAGGAGGTTTATCTTTCAAGAAATCATCACTACACACCTCTAAAACGCTTACGACCAGTCAATCAGCAGCCTTCATGTCAAAGCGAAGATCCACCGCTCCTCAAAGCGTGCCAGAGCTTATGTATGACAAAGGTCATAGTTACGAGATGAAAAACTGGGAGGATGCGGGAACAAGACATTCGAACACCGATTTAGAAAGAGGCTCCCAAGAGACGGGTTCCGAAGACGAGGAAAGGCCAAAGAATGGCACGACGCGTTGGCTAGAAAAACTTCGAACAAAAACTACATCGACAAGGAATAGTGAGGACATGACTATTACCTTAACTAGCCAAGTGGAGCTCAAGAGCGAACCTGCAGCATTGCGCGATGGTTCTGCGAGCCGATACAGGTCGTTTCACGAGAATCATATGCCACTTGACGAGAATCATATGCCGCTTCCACCATCGAGACCTGGACGAGCTGCGTCGACCAACGACCAAATAAGACAATCCAATAGTAGGATATGACAGCGGTAGAGCAAAATAAACTCATATATCCAGCATTGACTGCATTGAATTCTGTCGTTATATATTTAATGCAGTTTGCACACTGTTGCAGCTACAATATACTAATTTTAACACAGTAATACTCAAATGATAGTTTTGCAAGATGGAAACTAAGGATTCTCAACATACCTTGATAACATAAAACGGTCCGATTTTACGCCATAGGAAGCGCAATGAAAGTGGTATTCGTTCCGAGAGAATGACGGCAGTCTAGCCAATATGTACATTGTACTATCGGGAGATGACCAAGATGGCGGTCGAGACCTCCGCATAATGCGCAAAGGCATGAGATGCACAAAGGGACCCACACATACCTCGGTACGCACCTCATGGACATATGCTCGAGGTCCAAGATGTCCTACAGCCAGCCGGAATTCTAACTCACCACAGAAAGATTACTGGGCAACTGTCACCTACGCTTTTTGTTGTCCACGACGCCCATATGATCAAATACAGAATACACACATATCCCTCGATAGGTGTCAAGAGAATCTACTACTCCTTTATGTAAACGTGCTTACGCTCGTTGCGCTGACAGTTTTGGCCGCACCCACCTGTCATCCGCATCACCCCGTTCTAATGAAACGGGCACAGCCCTCTTTACAACCCCCCCCCCTCCCCCCCAAAAAAAAAACAACAACATGCCATCTTGAGCTCTTCATCATCTAGTGCATGAAAATGATGGCGTCACACAGCGTCTGATGAAGAGTTTGGGGCATTCGTATTCTCGGTACCTGAAGTTTACCCGCTTTGTGCCAAAGAAAGAAAAACTTCGGCCCTTGAGCAGCTACTGAGATTTGCAACACGAAAAATTCCAACGGGAGAAAACTCTGTACTGAAATCAAAATAATGAACGAAGAGTCACAAATGCGTGTTTTACTCTTTTTTATTTTTAGTTAGTGGTTTACCTCGTTGCTGCGATACGTACGTACGGATAGGTCTGGTTCCACTGGTGGGAATTTTGCAAGGCTGGAGGGTGTATAAGTACTAGAACGAACAATCAATAATTCAAAGTTGAGCGCCTCCCAAATACAGTAAAGGGTGTGTGCAGCCCCCCAGTTCACGTGCCAGTGTTGCACATGTAAGGTGTGTATTGTGATTGGGTAGGTTGCCCTTGGTATGCTGGTTCGTCTGGGGCACATCGGGCCATCAGACTGCCGATGCACGTTACCAAGCTTTGCTCCGCTTCGTCTTGTGTTCGCTTTGCCGGCTTTTGGCAAAGCTTGTTTATTTATTCCGGCGCTATGATGCGCATCCACCGTGTTCCCCCGCATGGATGTTACTGGAGTAGAGGGGTAATCAAGTCACGAATAGGCTGATGTTACAGGACACTAGTCTTACGTGATGTGAGCACTGCGTTTCTGTTGGAGGGAAAATAGTGGGTAGTTGCATTGTTGCAATGTAAAATGGTACATGCTCTGGGTAATTATAGGTACAGAAAAATGAGACCACTATAGATAAATATAAGTAATGTAGCTCGTGGAAATCCAGAGGAAGACAGAGGACTTGGTTTTGCATTTTTCTTCATATTCCAAACACCATGTCTTCACGATCGCTTCTCGTTGCGCTTGGGCTTGCAGCCACAGGTTCATTGGTTCATGCAGGGCCTTGTGACATTTACGCCAAAGGCAACACGCCATGCATTGCCGCACACGCCACCACTCGTGCTCTATACAATGCATACAGTGGCCCGCTCTACCAAGTCAAGCGTGGCTCAGACGGTGCCACAACTGACATTGCTCCACTGTCCGCCGGCGGTGTTGCCAACGCAGCTGCTCAAGACAAGTTCTGTGCCAATACGACATGTCTCATTTCCATCATCTACGACCAATCTGGCAAAGGAAACCATCTCACACAAGCGCCGCCAGGCGCTTTCAAAGGCCCAGATGTCGGAGGCTACGACAATCTTGCAAGTGCTATCGGTGCACCTGTTTCGCTCAACGGCAAAAAGGCATATGGCGTCTTCGTTTCACCTGGAACCGGGTACCGCAATAACAACGTAAAAGGCTCAGCTGTGAAAGACCAGCCGCAAGGCATATACGCCGTTCTGGACGGTACACATTACAATGGCGGCTGCTGTTTCGACTATGGCAATGCTGAGACGAACAACCTCGACACTGGTAAGACATCAACTCCTGACATTCTTTAGATGTAATTCAACTGACCACCTGAAACAGGCAATGGCCATATGGAAACCATCTACTTTGGCGACAACACCGTCTGGGGCAGCGGTGCCGGCAACGGCCCCTGGGTCATGGCGGACTTAGAAAACGGCCTCTTCTCCGGCGCAAACCCAAAGAAAAACACTCAAAACCCGTCTGTCTCAAATCGCTTCCTAACGACCATCGTCAAGGGTAAGCCCGGCGTCTGGGCCATCCGCGCCGGAGACGCCACCACAGGCGGACTCTCAACATACTACAACGGCTCGCGCCCAAGTGTGTCGGGCTACAACCCCATGAGCAAAGAAGGCGCCATTATCCTTGGTATCGGCGGCGACAACAGCAACGGCGCACAGGGAACCTTCACCGAGGGCGCAATGACGTACGGGTATCCCAGCGACGCAATCGAAAACGAGGTCCAGGCGAATCTTGTTGCAGCTGGATACTCCACGGGACGTGGATTGATGACCAGTGGACCCGCATACACCGTTGGGTCCAGTGTATCTCTCAGGGCCACAACAGCTGGCTACACGGACCGCTACCTCGCACACTCCGGGGCAACAGTGAATACGCAAGTCGTGTCGTCGTCGAGCACTGCTCTGCTCAAGCGCCAGGCGAGCTGGATTGTTCGCGCTGGCTTCACGAATAGCGAATGCTTTGCCTTCGAGTCAAAGGATACGGCTGGAAGCTTTCTTCGCCACGCGAATTTCGTGATGCAAGTTAATGCTAATGATGGATCCAAGGGGTTCAAGGAGGATGCGACGTTTTGTCCTCAGGCGGGTCTTACGGGTAAGGGTAGCTCTATTAGGACTTGGGCGTACCCGACGAGGTGGATTCGCCATTTTAACAATGTCGGGTACATTTCGAGCAATGGTGGTGTCAAGGAGTTTGATAATGCCAGTTCGTTCAACGACGATATCACCTGGCTTGTCGAGAGTGCCCTGGCTTGAGGGAACTGGGTGATAGGTGGTATGTTCTCATGTATATATAAATGACTCTGAGGTATATATAAGTTGTGTTTGTCAGAATATATTGATGAATAGTATGTTCTTATGTATACATGGATGGGATTGCCTCTAGTGTATAAGCTGGATTTGTTAGCAAATATAAGAATACCAGAGTATTCTACTTTGCTTCTGTGAAATTGTCTCACTTGCCTGGGACCATATAACCCATGAATAGAAGCGGGCATTATATCATATGATATATGAACACAATAAATCAACATCCAGTCCACACCCTGCATATGAACATTGAACAAGTTTTGTTTAAGCTACTGGTACAAGTTATAGTACTGGCTATCAAGACTGCTTACAAAAAAGACCCGACATCGCCTAGTCTATGGCTAAATCTAGGGGATATACACATCAACAGGGCTGGGAATAACAGAAAGAAGAAGATCCTTTTAGTCAATGAGCAGACTGTTCAGGCGAGCCTCAGTGGCAATAACGTCCAAGGCCTGCTTGACCTCGAGGACTCTTCTGCATTCCGCCAACCAGTCTTTGCTTAGTACCTTTGCCCATCCTTGTAGACTATTCATTTCTCGTGCAGCAGCATCTAGGTCGCCCTCTTCAAGGAGAACCTCTGTGCGTGCGAGAGTAGCTTCCACGTCACCACCAACGGCGAGACCAGACTTCTTAAACAGAACCTTGGACATGGCGAGCGAGGCGAGGTGAGAAGCGACACCTGCGTCTTCGGGCAGAAGAGCAGCTTTCCTGACTTCTGCGGCAACGCGACGGAAGCGGTCAATCAGGAGAGCGGAGCTGGGAATACCGCGTTGGTAGGCAGCAGGGTTAATACTGGCAATGGCAGCGCTGACAACAGGGTCATCTTCAGCGATCTCCTTGAGAGCGGCCAGCTCAGTGACAAAGGGCTTGGGGACGATCTGAGACTCGAGTGCAGACCTTACAGCCTCGACAGCAACGACAAGATGCTGTGTCTTGAGGTTAGCATCGATAACGCTGTTCCACTCAGCCGTCAACTTCTCCAACTCGTGCACCGAAGACGAGAGCTCGTTAAGTTTGCCCAGGCGACCTTCGCGCTCAGCCTCAACACGCTCCTTAACAGTGGCAGTGAAAGCCTTTTGCATGCTGATGCTCTGCTCGAGGAGCTGGTTCTTGAGCTTCTGCTCATAAACCTTTTGGGCTACTTGCAGCTCAGACTGCAGCCTCTCTTTGTAGCCTTGGGACAGACGTTCGCGCTCGTTTTCGAATTCCTCCTTGAACTGAGCTTCCTGGGTCTGCATTTGGTGGTCGAGGCGCTGGACGAGTTCCTTGGCGGCCTGCTCAAATTCGGCGTGGGCCGCCTTGACCTTGTCCTCGGACTCCTTTTCGAGATTTGCCTTCATCAAGTTGATATCGGCAACTACCTTGGCAAGGTCGCCCTTGGCTTTGTCGAGGGTCGAGTTGTACTTTCCACCGTTGGACTCGTCTGCGTTGACGACGGTGATGATGTCATTGACAATCTTGACGACATCCTGGACAACGGGCTCGGTGGCAGCGGGGACGTTAAGGTGGTCAAGCGGGGCAACAGCCTTGGAAGTGGCTTCTTGCTTGGGCTCTGGCTTCTTTTCCCGAGACTCGACCTTGGGCTGCTGTCCACTCGACTCGACCTTGTCGACCTTGTTGTTGTCGGCAACAGCACTCAGATGCGGGCCTGTACCGGCGAGATCGCTGCTGTTCTCCTTGACCGGGCGGGCAGTCAGGCCGCTGTTTCCAGGAATGGTAACCTTGTTCTCTCCCGAGATCTGGGGGTGCAACCGGGGGTCGCCAGCACGGCCGGGGAAACGCTTCCTGAACTCGCGCTCCTCAAAGTAGGCGACGGCGTCCTCTCCGTAGGGAATGTACTCTGTGAAGAAGTCGTGGAAGTTGTCCGAGACGAGCGAGTAGTAGACACCGCCAGCGTATCCCAGACCCGAGAGGATGGCAAGGCGGAGGAGGAAGCCACGGAGGAACCGCCTCTTCTTCTTCTTCGGCTTTGGCTGGACGGGGTCCGGTGCCACACTGGCCGTGCCTGGCCCTGTGGGGGGAGTCGTCTTGGGGGCGGTGGTGGGAGCATCACGCGATGCGCCGGCAGCGGCGATGGAGCTGTCTGGGGCAGGCGGGGGTTTTGGCACGTCCGAAGGGGGGATGATGTTTGTGTCGTTGGCGGGGCTGGATGGGCTTAGTGAAGGCTCCGTCGTGGGTGCCGGGTTGGGGACGGTCGTCTCGCCCAGACTCTTCTTATCATCGGCGTAGAAGCGTCTGGCGACATGCCATTGCGGGCGGGCGTGGCAGGCCAATGGCCTGGCAGCTGGACGGGCCCGAAGAATGGAGGCGCGCAGCATGGTGGGCTGCCTCCGGATGGCGGGGATGGGGATGTTGATGGGCGGGTGATGGTCGTTGAGCCAGTGCCAAAGTCGGCCTGCGAAGATTTGGAGCTTCTGCCGACGACACACGTCAGGGCGCACGGACACGGGCAGGCATCCTCACCATCACTTCCACTGTCACTACACTACCACCAATATCACCACCATCACAACATCATCATCATCTCGCCTCGTCTTTGGACGCTGCTGACAAACGCCATGTTTGTGGTGCCACCTTCGCGTGAGCTCATACAAACACTACGGCGTGTCCGCCCAGCTGCCATGCTCGTGTTGCTACTGCTGCTGTCCATGGTGCACCACACGTTTGATATATGCTAACCTCCCTTCGTCTCCTTTCCTTCTTCTTCTCCATCTTCCCTGCCTTTCATCCCATCTCTCCTTTTACCTCTCACTACCACTGTCAGCTCTTCGGCCCCAATCTGAAACTCGGCGAGTGAGCACAGCCTTCGCGTCACCACCTTGCAACGTCATCAGATCACCTTCATCACAAGCCCACAAGCACCCGCTTTCCCGCCTACCAGCTCACCCACACCTATTCCACTCCCACATGCATCATACTGCCCGCGCAAACTTGTCTTGAAACAGCGGACGAGGCCCCACTTGTTTGCCAGTTCACAAAAATTTCCTCGTGGCTTTTCTTGGCTGGGACTCGATCCTGTTCAAACACCACACACTCCTCGACCTGTCTTACCCTCACCTTGAGAGTTTGCCCTCACCAGCTGCAAAATTTTGGTGTGAGAATCATCCTTACACACGCTCGTCTCAGCTATGAAGAGCGGCCCGACCCGCAGCGCACATGCGCGTGACGACACAGAGTTCCGCTACGACCTTAGTCACGCCATATATGGCAGTTTCCCATCATGCGCATCACACACCACGCCGCCTCAGCGATCGCGTGCTCCGTCCCCACATTTCGCTTCAAAAGCATCCAGCGAGCCGACATCCAGCACACTTGTCGATTCCACTCTCAGCGCACAGAACGAAATTCAAAGTCCCAACGACGACAACGGCGACATCGATAACGATATCACCAACAATAGCGTGATACAGCCCTGGCTTTCCCACCGACCCAATCCACCCAGCCATGCAGACAACATGGACAACATGCACCAAAGCGTTTGTCTGAACCTCACCCCGCCCTGCGAAACCACCACATCTGAGTCGGAGTTGTGGATCCTACCCGAACTTGACGACTGCAATGCCAATCCATCAGCGTCGTCGACTTCTTCTTCATCTACCTCTTCTTCGTCGTCGTCCTCCTCGGCCACGACATCACCCCGACCGTCGACCCCCTTAGTAGTTAGTGGAGAAAAACAAATTTCCCTCTTCCTCTCGCACGCCACAAAAGCCAAATCCCATTTCGAGCAGCTGCGTACAAGACTGATCCAAGGTGACTACGACGGCTGGGATTTGTTCGTCGCGAGATGTAGTCCAGAGAGCAAGGACAGACCAAGGAACAAACACTATCACGGTGAGGAGCGGGTGGACGAGGAGTTTGACCTTGTCGTCTTGTCGGCTGTCAGGGCGAGTTGTTGATTCTTGGTGTTTTATCTTCTTTGTAATGACGAGACACGGCCTTTTTTCTTCTTTTGTCATTCAGTCTTTCTTTCTAATGATAATGACGATACTCATGATTGGTTTTGGCGCACAGTATTGCAAACTGGTAATGAACGATACCCCGCTTCTCTCTTTTGTTTCACTCTTTTTTTCTTTTATTCTGGTGGAACCAGTACATGCAACAGTATAGTAGAATGGGCTAAGAAGAAAAGGTTTCTTATATCCTCAAAACACTCTCAATTGCGTCTGTCCTTGCAAACATTAATTCACTGTCTTTGTTCTGATGTTTGATTTGTTAGATGTATAAATATATATTTGGCCGTGTACCCCACCACACCCTCAGGACCCTGAGAATTACTACCAAAAAAAGGAAAAATAGAGAGAAAAAGAATATTACCATCTATACAGCAGACCTACATGGTTAGAATTACAAGACTGCGAGTAAGTGAGAGAAGGAAAGAAGAAAAGAAACCTTTTCCCTTCCAATCTATCCATCTAGCTCTTGAAACTAAGGAAGGAAAGAAAGATTTATAAGAAGGCGCGACACACTCGACTCGATGCCAAGCAAACAGTCACTACAACAACAACAACAACAACAACAACAACAACAACAACAACAACAACAACAAGACTACTCGATCCTCTTTTTTCCCTCTTCCAATCCCAGTAACCTCGCGTCGCTCTTGCCCCTCTCGTGCTTTGTGCCCACTAGCGGACCCACCATGCTACTCTGCGACACTTTGGCCAGCGTATCCTGGAATGCCTCGATTTGCGGGGGTTGGCGGTTGAGTTTAGGCCAGTTGACCTGAATTGTACGTTAGGAATCTGGGGCATGAACAAACAAGCAAACAAGTAGAAAAAAAATTGGAAATAGTTGGTGTGACAAAACTTACATAAAGAGTACCATTGGCCCAGATAAAGTTGAAACACGCCGCAGCCGTAACAAGCGACAGCAGCAGTAACAGACGGATTGGCCAAACAGCCGCATCAGGCGCGCGTCGAGTAAAAGTGCTGACGAGGATCAAAAAGATGCTCGCAGCAAGAATGTACGGTATCGACTGGACGAACAAGGGCCGACGGTCGGCAAACAGGAGCTGTCCGCCCATTCCTGAATCGCTGGGGAGATAGTTACCCAGGAACAAGTCAAAAGCATCCTGGCGAGGACCGTCGCTGAAATTGTTCAGACAGTACCGCGTAATCGAATTGTTGAGATCCTGCAGCGCACCCTGCTTGGTGCGCACACCCAGGCGCGTAAAGTCCGTCTTAAGGGCACCGGTACCAGAGTAAGATTTGGACACGACGTCGGCATTATCAGCCCAGATGTTGCGGAAAAGGTGCTCGAACGCTGCGTCTTCCTCTGCGCTCTCACCCTCACGCATCAGGCCCAAGTCAATAAGCATGCGCGAGAGGATAAAGCGACCCAGCATGCTCTGCACCACGTTTGTGCGGTCCAGACAATCCATGCAGTTCGTTCGTACCACAGCTGTCTGGTGCCGGCGGACCTCGACACCACCTGCATCACCGGGCATGTCGACACCGCAAAAGTAGCCGTGCTTGACAATGTGCGGCTCCAGCTGGTTGAGCAGCAGCTTGGCCCGGTCCCATCGCAGGCCCTTTGTTTCGTTGTGAAAGTCAAAGTAGATGTAGTGCAGGCGGTCGTATACCGTTTGGGCACGCGCCGGATCAATGATGTGGAACTTTTCAGGGGTAATGCGATCCCCCTCGACGTTTTCAGCAGGGGACGTGTGCAGCATCTGGACCATTTGCTCGTATGCCTCCTTGACGCGCTGCTCGCGGCCCTTTTGGTTGACCAGGTTGACCATCCAGTTATCGCCGTAGAGGCGGATCTGCTCAGCAAAGTGCTTCTTTGCCGCTGGTAGTGCGCTCTCAATGCCGCGAACCTGCAGCTTGGGTGTGTACTTGAGCGTGTTAATCTCAGCCCAGTAGACAGGGACACTTCCTCTTGTCTGCACATAGGCGAGAACCTGTGTCTCCTTGCCAGCATTGCCACCCGCTGTTCCGTTCTGGGTTGAGCCGAAACCGCCAGGTCCTCCCGAGGCATTGTCGTTGAGAATGATGATTTGTTCCGTCTCGTTGAAGTTGGACACGTTGCCGTTCTCGTCGATGCCGCGCGAAAAGTATCTTGTTCCGGCCTTGAGGCGAGACCTGCGGGTAATGAGAATGAAGGTAAGGGGAGTGCCCTTGATAGATGTCCTCTTAATCTCTAGCATGCCATACATGACGGGCAGGATGTAGGGGTCTGCGCCGGGCTGTTGGCCTGCCGAGTGCCTTCCATATCCGCCACTCAGGCCGCCGCGAAAGTCAATGAGATCGCTAGAGACGAAGCGGTTCCAGTAGAAGCGGTCGTCGGCGCGCTTCCAGAGGGGGGTCGAGGGGTCGAGGTGGGCCTGGCGCTGGAAGGTGTTTGTGATGTCGAACGAGTAGGAAAAGTACAGCGGGGATGTCTTGAGGAGCGTCTTGAGCAGGTTGAGATAGTTGTCCTCATCGACGTCGTGCAGAGGCTTCTCGCGCAGGGACAGGAACTCGGTGGAGACGATGCGGTAGACCATATGGCCTTTTATACGGCCAACGGGCTCTGCCTTTGTGATGACAATGATGTACTTGTCGAGGCGCAGCTTGATCATGCCTAGGATACCGGCGATGCTCGAGACACGTTTAGAACCCAGCAACTTGCCATCATGCAGGCGCATGTCGCCCGAGGGGCGGTCGACGACAAGCGTGGGCGCCGAGGGGGACGAGGGGGATGAGAAGGCATAGTGTGAGGGCGACGAGTGCACGTTAATGTCGCGGTAGGGGAGGGCGACGCTCATGGTGGGCAATTGATTCGTGGAGGGAGAGGAGGGGGGAGCTCCGGGCTCTGGGTCGACAAGGGGGTGCGGGTGGTCCCGTCGTGGTAAAGGAGAATTACTATGGTTTGGTGTTTGGCGCTACCCGGGGTGTAGTGTAGTTGTAGAGCATACGTTGTAGGTAGGAATTACTCTCTCTCGCGCAGGCCATACGGGGCCCAGCGTTTCGTCATGGCGGCCATTGCGGCGCCAGGGTCCGACTCGTGCGCCTTGGCCAAGCATCTGGCACCTGGCACCCAGACGGAACCACGACGACTTCGTCACAGCAACAACCACTCCCACCACCACATCCACACCCTCGTCTGCCTCCCTCACTACACTCTCCCCTTAAGCACACCTATCTGGCCCTCGCGAATCTACCCCGCCCTCTTCCCGTCCCCGCCCATCGCCTACACAACCATCACCACTACCACCGCCGCCTGATAGCGCCGCGTCACTCTCGCCAACATGTCGGCAGGCAGGATGCAGCAGGGCCAACGACCCGGAGGCTCCAGATTCGCACAGTTCAAGCTCGTGCTGTTAGGTAGGCGTGCATGTGTGCTGTGTGCTGTGCCTCGACTGACAAGTGTGCAGGTGAATCGGCTGTCGGAAAGGTGCGCTAGCCTATCTCTCTACCATGAGTGCCATGGGAATACGTACCAGAGCTAACCTGCCACAGTCGTCTCTAGTATTGCGCTTTGTCAAAGTGAGCATGCACAAGTAGAAGCCCACTCGCACTCGCCGCTGACTCTCGCAGGACCAATTCGACGACTACCGGGAGTCGACCATCGGCGCCGCCTTCCTCACCCAGACCATCGCCCTCGATGAAAACACAACGGTCAAGTTTGAGATCTGGGATACTGCTGGCCAGGAGCGATACAAGTCCCTTGCCCCCATGTACTACCGAAACGCAAACTGCGCCGTAGTCGTCTACGACATCACACAAGCTGTAGGCATCTCTACGCTTTCGTCATGCACTAGATACTGATACGCGCCAGGCATCTCTGGACAAGGCAAAGGCCTGGGTCAAGGAACTGCAGCGCCAAGCAAACGAAAACATCATCATTGCCCTTGCTGGAAACAAGCTCGACTTGGTGACCGAGTCGCCCGACAAGCGCGCCATCTCGACGGCCGATGCCGAACAATATGCCCGCGAGGCCGGCCTGCTCTTCTTCGAGACGTCTGCCAAGACGAGCGAGAACGTAAAGGAACTCTTCACAGCCATTGCCAAGAAGCTGCCCATTGACCAGGCCGGCCCACGAAACCTGAGGCCAGGCCAGCAACGACCGGGCGTCAACCTGAGGCCAGAGGCCAACCAGACGCAGGGCCCTGCCGGCTGCAACTGTTAGACAGCTATGTGGGACTGGCTGTGTGAGTGTAGGTGTATTGTATGGCGTGCATGGGCTAGTGTGTGACTTGAAGTGGTTGCACACGTCTACTAGAACAACTACATGTGAGCTCGCTGTTGTGTTTCTTGTCGCGTCACCGTCTTCATTGTGGGACATGTCGGGCTTCTGGAGTAGGGTCTGTTTTGATTGCAAGTCGACATGTGTGTTTAAGAGCAAATATTGGGGCCACCTGATTCTTTAATTAATGATTTCAAAATATCCTGCCCTCGATGTTCGGCACGTGTGCAGTAGACGACGGAAAACAGTGCGCTGTTGGTGTGTAATGGCACTGCGTGAAGAGACGATGTACTAATCAAGGCTGTAAGAGGTAACAGGGGACGGCATTACTTACATGGCCGTAGAGAGCTCATCCATGTGGAAGTGAGGTAAGCACTAAACACATCGAGGTATGTTAAACCAAGCCGAACTACAACCTCATTGATTACCTAATTCGGATATATCTAAGATGGAACACACCTGCTACATATGTATGTAGGCGAGATAGGACGATGGCGATGGCGGGGTGAAGCGCCATCCATGGCACGTGCTTCTCGTAACGAATCCACTTGGCCTGGACAGGCAGTCCAACCATGTAATTCATCCATACATACGTAACCCAGCAGTCCGAATCTCCCGGTACTCGGTTTGCTAATGTGCCTAGTCTTCTTCCACTATCGGGGAGCATGAGACTCGAAGCCAATAGCCAGTCGGACCGAGCCCGTCGAGATTGAATCCAACATGCCCGCCACTACTACTATAGCCATGTCGCGTGTCTGCAAGGGAAAAAAAAGGCCGCTCAGCTCGTCAGTGGCAATTTGGCTGCAGACAAGCGGGAAGCCATCGCCAAGGACCCATTCACCTTCCAAGAGCAAATTAAGCACCCCCAAGAGCAGCCCAAGCTCCGCAATCTAGTGGCTTGTTGTGCTTGATTATCAGCAAAGCCTCAGGTCATGGCTTCCCAGCTTCCCTTTGCAGCACTAGCGCCTCGGTGCCCACAACTAAACGGCTGCAGGCACCTCAACCTCTTCCGTACTTTCAACCACTTCGTCATGTCCGACTCATCCATACCGCAGCGAATCCCAACTCTCCGTTGACCAGACCTGCCCGATTTGTCGCAGTGCGGCTGCAACACCCCGGACTTGCGCAAGCAGGGCCCAGTCTATTTGCCTCTACACGACAAGAACGTAGCCAATGTCCGTAACCATGGCACGCGATCGGCATGCACCGAACGTTCGCCTAGTTACTCTGCCATTTCCAAAGTAGCCTCCAGCGACCGCCATGGTGCTGCTCTAGTCATTTCTTAACGAGACTTAAATAGCCCTCAAGTCCCCTCATGTCTATGGATGTGCGCGTGTGCTGTTTCTTTGTCTTCGACACGTCACTCCACCAGTCTTGCCCAAAATGCACATCTTTGCCTCTATTCTCTTGACTGCTGCCGCTGCCCGGGAGGCCTTTGCCTCTCCGGTCCAGGCTCGATCCCCTTATCTTGTCAAGGAAACACACCCTTCGCCCCGAGGATGGACCAGGCTTGATCGTGCACACGGTGGAAAGACAATTCAACTGCAAATTGGTCTTAAGCAAGGTCGATTTGACGAGCTTGATCGCCATCTTCAAGAGGGTATGTTTGTCATAACCTACCATTTGGAAACCCGGCCCGTTCAATGAGCTCACATGTCGCAGTCTCTGACCCTGACCATGCTCGTTATGGCCACCACCTCAGCGCCGATGAGGTGGATAAGCTCGTTGCACCTAGCTCGGAAACGTATGACTTGGTTCATGAGTGGCTTCGCGAGAACGGCGTCAGCACCGACAACATGGCTTACAGCTCCGCCAAGGACTGGATCATAGTCCATCTACCCATTGAGATGGTTGAAAGCTTGCTTGATACCGAGTACCACACCTACAAGCACAAGGATGGCTCCCTTGTCGCACGTACCACCTCGTGGTCTCTGCCACGCCACTTGCACGATCACATCGATACCGTTCAGCCGACTACCTCTTTCTTCCGTGGTGCGGCTAACGAGGCAACCTATATCAACGAGGTTGCTGAAGTACCTGAGACTTACAAAACGCCCTCAGACGCTTCCATCTCTGCCGTCTGTAACGTGACCTCTGTCACGCCGGAGTGCTTCCAAACTCTTTACAAGACCAAGTGGTATCAGACCAAGGCCAGCGACAAGAACAGTATTGGCTTCACCAACTACCTTGGCGAGATTCCTATCCGTCCAGACGCCAAAATGTTCCTCGAAAAATACCAACCCGCGGCTGTTTCACAAGCCTATGGTTTCAAGGCAATCACTATTGACAACGGCCCTGCTCAAGATGGTCCCTTGACAGCCAATCAGTCCGCCACTGGTATCAGCAGGGAAGCCAACCTAGACGTACAAGCCATTGCTGGAATCAGCTACAAGACGCCCATCACCTCATTCTCAACGGGTGGCTCGCCTCCTTTCAACCCAGACATTAACACGCCAACAAACACCAACGAACCCTACCTTGTCTGGGTCAACTGGCTCCTGAACCAACGCTCGATTCCCCGCATCATTTCCACTTCGTATGGTGATGATGAGCAAACTATCCCCCGCTCCTACGCCGAGCGTGTATGCCGCCAATTCGCCCAAGTCGGTGCACGAGGAACAACTCTCTTCTTCTCCTCGGGCGACCACGGCGTCGGCAGCACGAACACATGCTACACCAACGACGGCAAGAACAAGGCCCAATTCCTGCCTTCATTCCCTGCTTCCTGCCCCTATGTCACTGCCGTTGGCGCAACCATGAACTTTGAGCCAGAGGAGAGCGCATACCGCCCTTCGCGCAACACATCTGCCGGTTTCCGCGACCTCTACTCTAGCGGCGCTGGCTTCAGCAACTACTTTGCCCGCCCCTCATACCAAGATGGCGTTGTACCCAAGTACGTCAAGAGCCTCGGTAGCACATACGAGGGCCTGTACAACAAGACTGGTCGTGGATACCCCGATCTCTCTGCACAGGGTCTCTACTTTGCCTACTTCTGGAACGGCACCGAGGGCACCATTTCCGGTACTTCGGCGTCTTGCCCCTTGACTTCTGGTATCTTTTCGCTCGTCAACGACGCCCTGATCGCCTCTGGCAAGCCCGCGCTTGGCTTCTTGAACCCCTGGCTGTACAAGAAGGGATACAAGGGTCTTACCGACGTCAAGAAGGGATTCAGCTACGGATGCAACGTCCAGGGTTTCCCCGTTACCGAGGGCTGGGATCCTGTCACGGGATTCGGTACTCCTGATTTCCCCAAGCTGCTCAAGCTTGCTGGTGCAGACAAGTAAATGTATTTCTTCTTTTGATGAGGTAGAAAATCCTTTAGACATAGAAAGAGGAAGTGTCTATATGTATATATGAGTATATTCATCATGGCTAGCTTAGGCTATGTACGTAATCATGAAATGAAATCAATCACAATATAATTTTCCGAATCGTGTTATGCATCGTGATTGGCTGCTCCAAATGCAACAAACGTAGTTCATTTCGTCATTTGATTAAGGCCAGCAGGTTTCCAACTCGTACCACCTTAAATCTCCAGCTTTTTCATAAGGCGTTTTCATTGAGCGTTCGATCGTGACAGAGGGACGTAATCTCGACAATTGTGATCCAAGGCGTGGGTAAGCAAACCATGGACATGGCTAGTACTGTACCTCATTCGAAGTAGCAACGTCAGGATTGGGGTAGTACCACGCTGCCACAGCCACAATGACGTAGACAATCTGTTTAGGTATTGAAATTAGCAAAAGGACAACTTCAAATACGGAAGCAAAGAGAAAAAAAATAGGAAACTCACTATCAACATAGCACCCTCGAGGTAATTCGACTCGCCATCGCGGAGGAAGTTTCCAACCACAACAATAGACAAGACGAGCAAGACAACCATGAAGATTTCGAAGTTGAGATCCATTTCCTTGCCCATGAACCAGCCTACAATGACAACAAGCGGAGCATTGAAAAGAGCCGTTTGGATCGAGGGTCCAATGCAGTGGAAGAGAGCAAAGTTCTATTTTTCAGTCAGCACGCAATGATTTTCAGAATTAGAGAAAAAGAGAAGAAAAAAATGCAACATACAATCTGTCCATCCCACGCCTCGTCAATAGCAGTAAGGTGCTCTGCTGCCTTTTCAACCAAGGGAAGCAAAATCAGACCGAGGAACTGATCAGGAACACCAGACTCGACAACGTCTTCGATGCGCTCGACGAGGAAGACGGCGAGAAGCGTAACAATGACCAGGGAGACGGTAATAGCGACGAGGCATTCCGTCATTGTGAATTTGGGCTTGGCAACATCTTCGTGGTGGTCCAGATCACGGTGCTCGTCGGCTTCGAGAACCTCATCAAAGATGGAGTGCTGCGAGCGGGCGTTGTAGAAGATGAAGCTTGCACATGTTAGCACGATACATTTATCGTGACTTGGCAACTTACATGAAGAAAGCGACAATGAGGAGAATCGACGTCACCTGACTGATCTTGAGAACGTTGTGCTGCAGGATCTTTTCGGTAAACTCATGGTGCTTTGATGCTTTTTCCACGGCTGAGCCCTTGAGCGCAGAGTAGTAGGCGCTGGGGATGAGGAGACCAAAACCGGCGACTAGCAACAGGCCGCTGCCGACTTCGCTAATGGCAGCGTGGAACTTTTGGCTCGCCTGTCTCAAACCTCCGACAAAGAAGCAGCTGTTTTGTAAAATATCAGCATGATGTTTTATAGCTGGCACGTAGCGGCGATACTCACAGTCCAAGGCAGAGCAACAAGTTGGTAAGAATGGAGCCCAGAATGGCAGCCTGAATAACAGGAATAAGGTTCCCATGCTCTGATGACCCATGCTCCGAGTTGTGTTTCGCAATGAGAATGATAAACAGGATGATTTCAACAATGGATCCAAATGCCGTCTCGATCAGGATACCAGACACCTTTGGCATTTTCCGTGCGAATTCCTGACCCGCGAAACCAAGAAGATTGGCCGCGGGCACCATGGCAATATAGCTGGTTGCGAAAACGGCAAGGGGCAGGCCCGGTGCCGCAAAGCGCAGGACAATGGCGACAACGACAAAGGGCCAAAGGAGGTTGGTGTACTTTGCAGCATTGCTGCCAGACCGCCATGCGACGTTGATGAAATGAGACAAATGGAAGCCTCGGCGTCCACTCTCACCATCCGGATGGACATGCTCGGGGATAATACCGTGCACGGCTCCTAGCAGCGGCACCGATTCAGACTGCCTGCCATTGTTGCCACGGTGGTGATCGTACAGCACGCGCGACACGTTGTGCGAGCTATCATGCCCATGGTGGTTGGAAGGCATGATGCCGGATTTGCAAAAGTGAAACGAAACTTCAGCAGAAGAAAAAGTACTCTCAGAAGATACCAGCAAACGCGTTACAATTGAGGTTGAAGTAGTGGGTGTGGAGAGATGGAGAATGGGGACGGGAGCTTAGGGAAGCTGCACGTCTGTGTTGGCGGGGACAACCGCCCGCCACGACTCGCGACTTTTTTTGCCCAGCCCGCTCGCGGCTGAGAAGGCTGGGCACAGACGGAAAACAAGGCGACACCGCCATTCTTGAAACAGTATATTATCATATTCGACGAACCAGCATGAGTACCAGATGGTGTCATTGGATAATCATCTACGTGTGAGGTATTAAATTGGGTTTGAGACCCAGCAGTATCTGCAACTCCGACTTGCCAGCGCGTTTTGACAACCTGGTGGAGCAACTTACCAGGACGCGTATAGCTTCAACGACGATTCCTCCATTCTCATTATCACTACTATAGTTTGTTTGATCAGTTCTGGTAGTAAGCATGCCAGACTAGACCCAACGCAAACGTGGGGAACTATCATAGGATGGTCTTATTCCGGCCTCACGCACGAAAACCCCCTGTGCAACATCATCTTCCCCGGTCGATCACAGCTCCATCCAGACGACGTGCGTATACTTCCGGAAAGCGTAAGAATATGCTGCATATTTTTTCACTCGGAAGTTGCTTTACTGAATGCTCCTCGGGGAGCAAAGAGACTGCGGAAGCAAGGTACCAGTCTTGGTTCCTGGAGGTTGATTGTATCACACTAGCTTGATGCGGTAATTGCTTAACTGAAAGCAGTAATGTTCTGTCCCGATGACGTCATTGGTCGATCATCAGGTCTGCGTTCCCGGGTTGCGAATTGCAGGGGAAAAAGAATGAGGCCAAGAGTCGCAGATGTGATGAGTTGGAGGTAGTATAGATGCGACTGAATGAAAACTTACAGTTGGGGACATGAAATACTTTGAGCGTAAGGGAACAACGAATTCCATCCAGTTGGAGACATGTATAGAATATGTACATTTCCTTTGGAATAAACTCCGGACCCAACAACTCTGTATCGACTAACAAACAATCAAAACTTCAAAATTCTTGAACTCAACGTTGTTCCCTTTGCAAGAGTCGTCCCATATTGAGGAAGTGTAGGGATTTTTGACTTTGGTTTTCCCGGACGCATGTGCGGGGATGCCATGGACTTCTTCGCTGCTATAATCTTTGGGTATGTGCTGACTAGGGATTATCTTTTACACTGTTGCTACTGAGTTCATCTAGTAGAAGAATGTTAAAAAGAGCGGGCCCGTAAAATCAGATGCGGAAGATGCCATGGTTGGAAGAAATCAACTCACAAGCGCAGGTCGGTCGAGACGTAATGGCATGGGTTCCCTACGAGACTATGATTGCAAATGCTTAGAATTAATTTTGATGGCTTTCATGATGGGCAAAGATGAGAAACAAGACTTATTACAAATGGCTAGTAGATAAACTGGAGGGATAACCCAATTATTTAGTATTTAGCGAAGACTATTGTTCACCGTCGAGCTACTCAGAAAATCCTAGGAAACTTTCAACAACTAAGCTCAATTAGGAAGACTATATAGATGTTGGGTAGTACGGACGGGTGTATTCTGAATGTCTCGTATGCTGGTGTCAAATATGCGGCTTGTTGTTCAAGATAGATGCATTGCTCAGTGTCGTCAGATCAGCTGGTGCGGTCGTTGCATAGTTAATCAAGAGGGAGGAATACGATATATGGATAGCAATATGAGATGTAAGGGCTTAGAAATAGGAAGGGGGCAAGAAGAGAGCGGGAATGAACTTTCCCCGCACTTATCCCCGAGTAAGTATACAACATCCCCACTTATCTCATCCTTGGTAAGCCTCATCTGCCCAGGCTGTTCACTTTTATCATGACAGATTCTCGTTACATCTCATACTGTCTCCGTGGAACTTTTCTTGAACCATTCCAATATTATTGACACTAATGTCCCGCACGCTTCGTATTGCAGCAGCACAGGTCGGCGCCGTGCATCGCAGCGACGACCGCCAAAACACCTTATCACGACTCATCGCATTACTCGAAAACGCCGCCTCCCAAGGCGCACAGATAGTCCTATTCCCCGAGTGCACTTTTACAACATTCTTTCCTCGCTACCTAATCACCGACAAAGAGGAGCTCGAATCATTCTTCGAACACGGCGACATCACCACGGCAGATAGCACCAAGGGTATATTCGAAAAGGCAAAAGAGCTAGGCGTAGACATCTGCATCGGGTTCGCAGAAGCAACGGAAGAGAATGAGTATTACAATACTTGCGTCTACTATCATGCAAAGTCCGGATCTGTCTTATCCAGGTACCGCAAGGTACATTTGCCAGGAGACGTTGAACCCTTTCCCGACTCAGACGCTGTCAATCAACTAGAAAAGCGATATTTCAAGCCTGGGAACCTGGGATTTCATGCATTTCGTGTGCCGGATCTAACAGAAAACACTATTGACCAAGGAGAACCAATATTCGGGATGATGATATGTAATGATAGACGGTGGGCAGAAGCATGGCGATGTCTTGGTCTCCAGGGCGTAGAAGTGGTGTTTGTAGGGTTCAACACTCCAGGTTATGCGCCGCACATGTGGAGCACGGATTCAAGCCCACAGGAAGCACATGATGATGCCATCTTCCAGCACAAGCTGGTCATGCAGGCGCATTCGTACACGAACTCTTGCTTTTCGGTTAGCGCGGCACGATGTGGCTTGGACGATGGCAAGTATGGTCTCGTAGGTGGTTCGACAATCGTTGGACCTGATGGAAAGATTATAGTCGAAAGCCAGACAGAGGAAGACGAGGTAATCATTGCGAATTGTGACCTCGATCGATGCGTACCTGGCAAAACACGAACATTTGATTTCGCCAGACATCGACGAACGGAACACTATGGCATCTTGACTTCACAAACAGGCGCAATCGAGCCACCCAGACTCACGGCACCGGACAACGAGAAGAATGGTCCAACGAACGGCACTCACACGACAGCAATGAACTCCGTAACTGGTACCCCTTCATCCCGCCAAATCCGCATTCTCCTCTGCAACCCCAACGCCACAGTATCAATGACAAACGCTTGCCTAGACATGCTCAAACCAACACTCCCACCCGACGTCACAGTCCACGGCTTCACCGCACCCCATCCCGCACCCTCTGCCATCGAAGGCAACTTCGACAACATCATGTCCGCTGCAGCATCAGCCCGCGCAATCATACCCCTAGCACACCAATACGACGCCTTCCTCGTCGCATGCTACAGCGACCACGCACTTACCAAGATGCTAAGAGAGGAACTATCCCAGCCCGTCATCGGCATCATGGAAGCATCACTATATTCCGCTCGTACACTCGGTAGTCGCTTCGGTATCATAGCTACATCGCAGCGCTCGCGGTACACGCTTGCCGACGCTGTGAAAAACTACGGACTAGACTCCTTTTGTGTGGGCGTGCGCAGCTGCAACTTGGGCGTACTCGAATTAGAGACAAAAGATGAAAACGAGGTTTTGACTATCATGTGCGGTGTTGCACGGGAGCTTGTGGCCGATGGGGCGGATACGCTGGCGCTGGGTTGTGCGGGAATGACGAATATGAAGATTGCGGTTGAGAAGGCGGTTGGAGGCGATGTACAGGTGGTTGATGGGGTCCTGGCGGGCGTACAGCATCTTGCTGGTTTGTGTAGATTTGGGGCACGAACGGCGAAACGAGGCATGTATGCTAGCTCTGCTGCGGGTCGGCAGCGCAGAGGTCAGGATTGGTATTAGATATTGGATTGTGGAAGCAATGAACCGTAGAGATATTTTTGGTTGTTGGGCCTTGTGTCAAAGGTTAAGAATGAGAAAATATAACTAACTAGCTAGATTGATATCATGACAATGATGTCGACGTGAACAACAGACCTAAACATCTCAATCCGAGATGAGAAACGATGAGCAAGCAGTAGACAGGTGTGTGACAGCAAGTTCTGTTGGTGTCACAGTACAGACGCACGGGCATAGCTCTTAATGAGGCAGACCAAGTGACCGACCATGGTACCCATGTAGGCAGGATTCGCATACAAACTCTTGTTTCAACTGCAATACAAACGGTGGGTATGAAGGAAACAACAACAGAGTGCCAAAGAAAAAGGGTAATTAAATTGTCTCTCCTCTACGGAAGTGAAGAAAAAAAAAGAACAAGCCGTGACTCCCTAACAATGCTGTGTGTGATGTGATGTGATGCAATGCGACGCCCAAAATAACCAAGTTATGCAAGTGAGGGGGGTATCCTACGATCAGTATGCGGAAAAATGTATGAAACAGAAAAACAAAAAAAGGTCAATGGACAAAGATTCGCTACAAAAAAGGTACGCAACTCAAGATAAGGGGAAAAGCAAATGAAAGCCAACCACCTCACAACCACTGTAGCTACTAACCATGCCCAGCATGGTCTGTATGAGGTGGACCTTCACCTATGTGAGCGCCTTGGTCGACTGCTCGACTCTCCGTTGCCACGACTGCGTCCTGATGAGGTCTGCGAAGTGCTCATGCAGTCCCAGTTGAAAGGGATTTGAGAAGTGGGTATGGTAACACCTTCGTAGCGATGCAACCTCGCACGCCTTGGGGGAGGAGAGGGTTGCGCAAATGCTTCTTGGCGAACTTCTTCAAGCGCTTGGTTTGTGGCAGCGAGGACGGCAAAGCGTCGGTCCGGTACACGGCGGACGGTCGTGTTGGGTGTGCGAGGACGAGCTTGGCGCGAAGACGTTGTTGATTGTTCGTGCCGGCGGGACCGATGTTGGCGGTTCTGAGAGCGTGAAGACTCGGGACTTGGCTGAAGGGTAGTAGAAGAGTAGTGGTGGCGTGACGAACGATGACTACGGGGTGAAGACTCAAGAGTTTGGTAGCTGTGAGGTTCGCGCTTTGGTGTCCTTGGTGGAGAAGTCGCAAAGAAAGACCAGCCACGTGAAGGCTCAGGCCGGATATTCTTCTTTGACTTTGAATGCTTGGGAGGGTCACGCTTTGCTCCGCGCCCGCGCAGAGTGCCTCGGGATGATTGTGTGGGGTGCCGTCGCCGATGGTGTTGACTTCGGTGAGGTCGTGGGTTCAATAGAGTCTCTTGGGATGAATTGACAGTTTCCGGCCCGAACGAGCGGCGATATTCCTGTGGTACCTCTACATTCAGAGCTGATCGGTAGTGCTCGCGTCTCCGGTAGGCATCCTCGTAATGGCGCTGTGATTGGGGAGGGTGGTCGTCCCTATGTTTCTCGCGGCGCGGGGAACGTTGCGCTGGCAGAGTGGAGTCTCCAGATCTTCTTTTCCTGCTAGAGTCCTTTGAGCTGCGCTTCTCTGAGTATTGCTCAACGATTGGCCTTCCATTCCCGCGAAGCGCGCTGTCCGCCGGCGCGTCCCGCCTCTTCTTTTCCCCGGATGACGACGAGGAGGTCTTGGGCTTCCTGTTGGCCGGAAGGCCAAAGTTGAATGACCAGCACATAGCGACCAAGACGCAGATCTTGTATCGCTATGCGACTGGTATTTGAGTCCAATATCAAGGCTCAACAGAATGGCAGCAGCGTGCATAAGGATGCCGAAGTTCGGAACAGCCGACAGAGCCAAGATGTGCACAAAGAGGGGTGCAAGTGTGTTACGCTCAAGACAGACAAGGCGAACCAATGGACAGATAAAAGGATTCAGCATTCCAAGGCAAAGGGATGATTGAGCAGAGAAGGAGGGCTTGGAGACTATGATATCATGTAGAGGACAAAGAGAGTTCCGGGTCTGGCCTGAGAGCAAGAGCACCGCATTCGTGACATGGAGGCCGGATTCCAATAGAGCACATGGCCTGAAGCTAAATCTAGAAAGGATTCATTCACAGTGCCTGGCATTGTCGTTTTGCGCTCCAATCAGAAGAGGGCTCGGTTGATGGTGTGCGACGGACAGAGTGATTCGCAAGTTAGCAAAGGGTGGCTTACTGGGCCACATGACACCTCTGGCTCCAGCTGATCGACTCATCTTTCCGGCGCGCTGCAGCCAGCAGTCTGCTGTGAAATGGAGTGTAGAAGAGTGGAAACGGTGCATGGAGATTGACAGGCCGTCTTATATGGTGCAGCATTGATTGTTGTGGCAGCTACTGCTTGAGCGTGTGCTGTCTCTGGGCGTACCTGCGTCGCTGCTACGTGGCACCTGTGCTGGACAGAAGAAGGACGGGACGGTTGCGGGACGATCCTGGGTGCAGAGTTGGGTGATCTGACGACAGTCTTAGTGGCACATAGGAGGGTGACGGAGATGCTAGCTGCATGATGGTGCTCGCTGGTGCAAGTGGGCTGATGGATGATGATGGCCGCCTGACCGCAGGAGAGGGACGGTTGCTGGGTTCCTTATCGTTATCGGGTTGGGGCCGACGTCATTGGCCCGAGACGGGCCTCGCTCACCTCGACCTTCCAGCCATGTTCCATCATCGTCGGCTTTCCAGGCCTGCACGGCCGCGGGAGAGTGCATGTTCCTGCTTCTGACACGGCTAGCACAGACATCGTTCATCACACAACTGCGCCTCCATGACGCCCGCGACCGCCGACTCAAACCAAGCCATAGTAGCCCCGAGGGCGGGCAGCCAATTGCAGACAGAAGCCGCCGAATTGCCTACAACAGGGCGGCGCTTACAGTGCACCGAGGCTCTTCTCGGGCCAAACAGAGAGTCATTCGTCTCGCGGCCTGTCCCAACAGGACGACAACTGAGACAAGGACGATATCGGAGAAGCCGAGCAGGGCCGAGGGGGCGGTCAGCAATCAGAGATGGGGGGCTGTACTTACATAGTAGAGTCGTATTCGATTATATGCTTCCAACACCAACAGTTGCCGAGAGTGGAGATTCGGATACGAGTCTGAGTCGTACAGTAAGTAGCAGTTTGTCGAGTAGTATGCAATGCACACAAGTAGTAGCACGGCTTGGCAGGGGTGCGCTGTGGTGATCATCAGCCTCTGTATCACTGTGGTGTAGGACAAACTTTGTGCTTGACTCCAAGTGTGCGCTTGAATCAATCTTCGCGCCGCTTCATACTTACTAGTACTTAGCGAAAGAGCAATGGGCATGGACATGTCGGGACTCAACACACACCAAGTCCCGATCTCAGAGTGGGGTATCCACTATCCACTATCCACCCCGCTGGCGTCATATTGACACGAACAAACGATGCGCCATATCAGTAGTTCCCCAACCGACGTTGAACATCACACGACATCTGCACAGGCACGTAGCTCATAGTACAATCAATGCCTCTGATCGCACAGAATCCAAAAGACCGGGTCATCCTCGGGTTGATGACCTTTGGTACGCGTTGACACTGCGGGGTTCAAGTGCGCCTAGTAACACTGAGTAGGCCCCGATGAGAGCAGCGGCGCGCGTATCACTGAGTTTGATGAGTTTACCAAACACCTTGATTACTTCCAGGCGCAGGGCTACGATGAAGTCGATACTGCGCGCATGTATGTCGGCGGCAGGCAAGAAGCATGGACGCGCCAGGCTGGATGGAAAGACCGCGGCCTTACTCTTGCTACCAAAGTCTACCCATTCGAGGCTGGCGTCCACAAGCCCGAGAATCTGAAGAAGCATTTCACCACTAGTCTGCAAGAGCTTGGTGCTGACTGCGTGGATATCTTCTATCTCCATGCGCCCGACCATAGCGTGCCGTTTGAAGAGACGCTCGAAGCAGTCAACGAGCTGCACAAGCAGGGCAAGTTTGTCAATTTGGGGCTGTCAAACTTCGCAGCATGGGAGGTTGCCGAAGTCTACAACATCTGCAAAGAGCGAGGATGGGTCAAGCCAACCATTTACCAGGCCATGTACAATGCCATTAGTAAGTCTCACCCTTTTAGCGCATCGGCCACTGCTGACAATAATCAGCTCGCGCCATTGAGCCGGAGCTCGTTCCCGCATGCCGCAAGTATGGCATCGATATTGTCGTCTACAACCCTTTGGCGGGTGGCCTCTTTTCCGGCAAGATCAAGTCCAAGGACATCAAGCCTGACGAAGGCCGGTTCGGGACCAAGGCTGACGGCATTGGCACAATGTACCGCGATCGCTACTTCAAAGACGCGACGTTTGAGGCTCTCAAGATTGCAGAGGAAGCTGCTCAAAAACACAACTTGACGCTGCTTGAAATTGCACTGAGATGGTGTGTTCATCACTCCGAGCTCAAGACACGAGTCAAAGGTGGCAATGACGGTGTTATTATTGGCGTCAGTAGTCTCAAGCAACTGGAGGGCAATCTTGCGGATCTGGAGAAGGGACCTCTGCCTGATGATATTGTCAAGGCGTTGGATGAGGCCTGGATGGTTTGCAAGGCAACTGCGCCTACGTACTTTCGGTAGATGGGATAGTGTTCGGTGGCTGTACTGTACCGGTGTTAGCTGAATGCCGAAACCCATTAGTCATCCAGTTCCGATTCCGAGGGGCATTCAAGTCGACTTGGCAGTTGTCTTGATTGGAAGGTGCAACCAAGGCCGTACTTAGAGCTACTTCGTCGGAGGGCATACCTTACTCCATCCACAAACCTGCTCAACTCTGTGTAGATTTCAAGTTTATTCCGTCTCCGAGTCACACTGAACGTGATGTCTGATTCGGAGAAATGTTCAAAGTGCAGTACAGGAAAACTCGTGGGAACATTGTATATCACCTGCATACTACTTGATGTGGGGCGCAGGATTCAGGCAACTACCTAAATAAAACGACGTCCTTTTCTATAACAGGGACCGTCTCTGCACCGCTTTTAAAAGCCAGTCTCGTTATTTTTATGCATAATTTTGGGGACTTGATTGCAACCATGGCGCAAACCGAGACAACCCCCATTACTGTACCTGCTGAGCAACAAGGTCCTCAGACCAGGCCGGTAGAGCCTGAGAGGCGCCTAAAAGACAGTGATATCCGAATGGAAATATGCACAGTAGACGATGCAATGGCGCTTGTAAGTGAGTAAAATGGTGACGATAATGACCGAACAAGCTCGATAAGTCCATTTCACGTACTTACCTCAATCGACAGGCACAAGGACTTCGCGCCTGCTATTCTGAAGAAACCTGGGACAAGAAAGAGCCGGCCGCACAGGGTCGCCCAGATTCCGCTAGAGTAGAGCGCTTAGCCCAACGCCTTGTTCCTGTGCTCGCACATTCCGAGTTCACCGTCATCAAAGCCGTGCTCGCCTCGACAGGCGAGGCCATTGGTGCAGCGTGCTGGGGTCGTCCAGATAAAAACATCGCCCATGACCCCTTTCGCCGCAGCGCCATCTCATTCTACAATTGGCAAGAATCGCTAGGCTGGAGTGACGCGTTCGTCGACGAGTTGTGGTCGGGTGTGACAGACAGTTGGCACCAAGGGCAGGCAAAGGACGACGAGGAGCGGGCGCAGATCATGAAGGGCGAGGCGCATTGGTTCCTTGCGCTGCTCATCACGTGGCCGGACTTCCAGGGCCGCGGGGTTGCGAGGAGACTGCTTGACTGGGCGATTAAGCAGGCAGACGCAAAGGAGCCACCAACGCCCATGTATCTCAAGTCGAGCAAGATAGGGAGGCGGGTGTATATGCACGTGGGGTTTGTGCCTGTGGGGGAGAATACGATGGTTAGGCGGGGACGGGTGGAGTAGTGTAGTTGTGGTGGTGGCGGCGGTCTTGACTCGCTGGTGCGGCGGGAGTGACATGTCTTCGTATACACGATGCAGATGCACAAAATAATCGCCTAGCCACATTTCCGTAATCGCGTAGTTAGATGCACAAGACGCAAATGAAGATGGACATGATGGTCAGGGACATGAGATGGTCGTGTGTTTTGGGCACGTGGCATGACGTCAGCACCCGCCCATCCCATGTGAGAAGCGAGAAACCAAAAAGAAAAAAAGGGCCGGTGTCAAAACATGGGCAAATGCAAATGTCGGGGCGTGGGGCAGAGCAGGATGCAAAAGACACGAAGGCGATTGCTGGTTGACGAGTGTGAGTGCACGACATCGGGCGGATAGCCGGATGGGAGGCTGCTTAGCGTCCTTTTTGGTCGCGTCAGGCCGGGCCTCCCCAAACATGGCGGGCGTGCGGGCATATCGCAGCACCACGACCACTATGATGGTGCGATTGACGCCGCTGCGCCTGCTGAGCGCTGCGTTGCTGCTGTGCACCCTGTTCCTGACGACTCTGCTGCCGCGGCTCTGGCGGGGCGACCGTGGCTACGAGCTGCTCGTCGACCGGCCCCCTCCCGCCGGACCTGGGCCCGTCCCCAAGGTCGTGGTGCCCTTTGGTCAGGAATGCGCCCCCTTCACCGCCGGCGTCATGGACGACGTGACCATTGTCCTCAAGATCGGCGCCGGCGAGGTCGCCTCCAAGCTGCCGCAATACCTCAACCGCCTCGGCCGCTGCAAGCAGGATCTGCTCATCTTCTCCGACCGCAAGGACTCGTACAACGGCTTCGACATTGCCGACGCCCTCGCCCACCTGCGCCCCGAGTACAGGTTCAACAACCCCGACTTCGACGTCTACGACTATATCCAGTCTGTCAACCTGACTACCGACAAGTCGCCCGATGGCTGGCGGCTCGACAAGTACAAATTCCTGCCCATGATGGAATGGACCTCGTACCTGCGGCCCCAGTCGCAATGGTACGTCTTCCTCGAGCTCGACACGTACGTCAACTACGACAATCTATACCGTTTTCTGTCCAACTTCAACCCTCGCACGGCCTACTACTTTGGATCCCCCGTCTGGCCCAAGAAGAAGGCCATCTTTGCCCATGGCGGCAGTGGCTTTGTGCTGTCGCGTGCAGCACTGGACAAGATCATGGCACTTGGCCGAATGTTTGGCGAGAACAAGCATTTTCCAGGCACGCACTTCTTCGGCGTCGACGTACAGAAGCAGTGTTGCGGTGACGAAATCCTAGCCCAGGTCCTGAAGAAGAGCGGCGTCTCCCTTCGAGGCTACTGGCCCATGTTTAATGGCGAAAAGCCAATCACCATGCGCTTTGACAACGAGCAATGGTGCGAAGCAATCATGACCATGCACCACCTCAATGAAGAAGACTTTACCTCGCTCTCGCAATGGGAAAAGGCGCGCTCGCACCCCGAACGACCCCTCATGTTCGAAGAGCTCTTCACAATGATTGAACCCCACCTCCGCCGCGAATCCGAAGACTGGTCCAACCTCTCCGAAGATGTGATGTACAAATCGGGAAAAAAAGCCTCCAAATCATTCGAGCACTGCCGTAAAGCCTGCATCAACGACAGCAGCTGCATACAGTTCCAACACACGGGCACAGAGTGCCGCCTCGGCTACTCGATTCGCCTGGGCCGCCACCAACCTCGCGAGGGCGAGCGCCAGTGTAGGTCCGGATGGATGCTGGATCGCATCAAAGCGTTTAAACAGGCCCGCTCTCCGTGTCAGGGCGCCCGCTTTGTCCATTCCAATCCCTGAATGATGTCCCCCATTTCCCCTTCATCATCTTCACAGAAAAGGGAGGAAATGAAAGATGCAAAAAAAAACGATGATAATTACATGTCCTTGTTTCTTCTTTCTTTTCTTTCCCCTCCCCACCCTTTTTTTCTTAAACACGAAGTTTACGGCATTGTATACGGCGTTTGATACCCAGAGGCGTTTATCTCTTTTTTTTTGCTCTACTTCTGTTTACTCATTGTTTGGGGGTTGCATCAGTTCACATATAAACACGTACTTTGGCTGTTGATGTCTCTTTTTGTTGTATTCCGGGGAGTTTTCATGCTTTGGTGGGAAAGGGGTGCCATTCGTCAAGATAAAAGACATGACAATACGGCCTTGGGTAATATCAATAGCAAAGACTCATGATTTCTAACGTTGGCTTGTTTTGTAACGCAGTATGAATGGGCATGTAGTTTTTGTTGCTTCAAAAGTGGAATAAACTGGTATGTTGGATAGAATAGAGCATAGTACTACTCGATAATCATGGGCTGAGAATTGTTTCGCAAAATATCTTCATTAACTTGACCTATCTTTGAAATTGTGAAAGAAAGGAAGCGGTATCACTTTTTCAAATATCTCTCTTTCTCCCCCGCTCGCAACCAGCACCACTTTGGAAAACATGATTCGCTCACCAGCACCCAAACCTACTCTTACATGAACTGGATTTGATAAAGAAAATGAGACCGGATTATAGAAAGGAAAAGAATAGTAAGAAACAAAAGGGGATCGGCCAAGGGATCAACCAATCTACCTCTTCCTCTTCTTGCCCTTGCTGTCATCGTCGTCATCATCATCTAGCGCAGCCTCCTTGTCCTTCTTGGCTGCCTTCTTGTCCAGCTCGTCCCAGCTCTCGCCCTCGGAAAACTCCTCTTCCGACCCCTCGTCGCTCATCTCATCTGACGCATTCTCGTCAAAGTCGCTCTCATCAGACGATTCGTCGGAAATGGCCAGCTCAGACTCTGACACCTCAAACGCAGACTCTTCTTCTTCGTCACCATCGCCTTCGTCGTCAGTCTCGGTCGAGAGGAACGACCATCCACCGTCAGCAAAGAACTGGTGCGGGTCAGACGTCACAGTCTTCATGATGGTGGCCCAGTTGAGGTTCAAAGGTCCCTCGGTAAACGGAATATCGACAGAGTCCAGCCAGTCCTTGACCGGGTCCAGCGATTCAACAGGAATCGTGTTGATGTGTACGGGCGGGCGGTTGTAGTCCTTGAACACAACAACCATGTCAAAGTTCTTGAGACCAAACTGCACACGTTCAAGATGCACGATCTCAATTTCCGAAAGGGTAAGACATGTAAAGGGAGGCTCAGTAAGCTGAACCAAGCAGTCGGTTGTCGGTTGCACAAGAACGGAAGATCGCGACGGTACACCGTTGAAGCCAAGCTCACGGTATGGGATATCAACGCTGACGTTCTCGTTGCGTGCAGCATCGGCAATCTTCTCGGCAAAGTTCTTGAACTCCTTGTCGAGAGCAGCACGTCGCCTACGCTCCTCCTGTTCTTGTTCAAACTCTTCTTCGTCACCAAACTTGTGGCGGCGCTTACGGTTGCCCGTCTCGTCGAACTGCATCTCTGTGGCTTCTCTGACAAACTGCACATCCTTGGTCTTCTTCTTACCAAGCATAATGGGGTTCTTGAGATGGACATGGATGATGACAATCAGCTCGTGTTGCGAGGGCTGGAAGAACAGGTGCTTCATGTTGCTAAAGAGCACGTCGATCTTGGCAGTTCCGTTGCCATGGACGTAGCGTAGACCGTTTTGGTGAATTTCAACGCTACCAGGAATACGCTTTCCGTCAAGTGCTGGGCGGATGAAGATGAGATCGAGCATGTGGGGCTTGCGCGACTTGAGGGGAATGAGCTTGTCCTGCTCAACAACGTCCTCCATCTGCTTCTTTTCAGTCTCACGTCGAACAACCTCCTTCTTCAGCTCAGTGATGTCCTTGGTAATCTGGTCGATGCGATCGACGTCATGCGATTTGAATGTCAAACTGCGAATGAAGTGTGCGTTGGGGTCCTCAAAAGGTTGGTCATCTTTTCGGCCTACACCTTGGCCAGGGGAGAGGAAGTTGATTCGAAGAGAGGTAAAGTCTGCTTCGGGGGTATGTGATGCGTTCTTGATGGTGTGGATGTGGAAGGGTACTGGTCGGCCCATAATGGGCAAGAGAACTGTAAGGTTCTTCTTATCGACGACGATCTCCAGATTAGCCACTGAGCTGGGAAGCTGGTTGTCACGCTTGTACGACTCAAACTTCTTGAACTTCTTTTCTTCAGTGCCATTTAGCGACTTTGCACCCTCGCTGTACTGCTCAAGACCCTCGGCCTGCTTCTTAGCATGTAGCTCCTTTTGATGCTGTCGCCGTTGCTCCTCTTTTTCAGCATCTTGGTTCGTGGTTCGCTCGTGGCGCGTTCGGGTCTTTGTGATATTGGTCTGGGCAATGGCAGGGCGTTCCTTCTTCGCCTTAGGCTTGGCTTCTTCCTCTTCCTCGTCAAAAAAGAACGAGACGGCATCCAGGTCCGACGTGGTATCCTTGGTGAAGACGGCGCATTCACCCTGTCCAACACGAACCGTGTCAACTAGCACGAGCGAGTAGCTTTTGCTCTTCTTGTCCTGTGGCTTGCTGTTCTCAAGGTCTGAGAAGCCAGTCTGAACAACAAGAGTCATGCCATCCTTCAGTACACGGGTGTTCTTGCCGCTCAGAAGAAGTGAGGAGTCCTTGTTCTCGACACCGATACCATAACCAAGGTTCTTGGGGAAGTGCTTCTCCCACTCTGGCTTCTTCGACTTGAGCATGGCAAGCGCTTTGTTGTAAACATCCTTGGCCACGACGCCATCGCGGAGAGACTTGATGACCAAGTCATGAATGGCCAAAAGTAGCTTGTATGCATTCTCTTGCTCCTTGTTGGGGCCGACCATGTATGTTCGACCAACCATGGCACCATATGTCTGGTAGCGCAGACCAAGAACAGAAATGATGACGCCAGCGTGCAAGTTGTTCTCGTCGGGCTCGGCCGCAAACTTCAAGTCGTAGGAGCCACCACTCTGGATGGTGGGCTGCAGGCACCAATCTAGCTGCAGCGAGTCAAATGTCTTGGACACCTTCTGCTTCTCGAAAAACTTGGCATCGTCAATCTTGTTGGCGACTTTGTCGGCAAGGGCGCGATGGGAAATCTTCTTCTCGGAGTCGAGGATGTCGGACATTTCTTCGACAAAGTAGTTGGTCATAAGGGCGCTCGAGGCTCGCGCAGCATCGCGGATGGTCCTCAGCTCCTTCTCGTCCTTGACAGACAGGGCGGCATTGGATAAGATGGAGGCAAGATCGACCTGGTCCTCTTCCTTGAACGCAGCCTCGTCAAAGGCGGCTTTCCACTCGCTGGCAAAGGCGTTGTTGGCATTGTCCTTCTTCATGACTGCGACCTTCTTGCCGGCCTTTTTGATTGTGTCTATGCATGTCTGGAACTGCTTCTTGTTCTCCTCGGCGTCCTTGCCGCGCACCAAGATTTCGACGGGCACTTTTCCGCCTTTGAGCGGCTCAAGGTAGGCAGCTGAATCAGTGACATTAGCACAATGCTGTAGTTTAGGCAGCCGCACGTGACTCACCCTTCTTCTTGGTTGTCACAATCTGGACGAGGTCGGGGGTGATGACGAAGAGCGTGGCAGGGAATTCGTAGCCTAGCAACCACAACTATGTGCTTGTCAGCTCGCCAGATGCGCGAACAAGGCATGCGCAAACTTACCTGGAAAGCGGCGGGCTTCTGGTAAATGCCAGGCTCGCTCGCCTTGCCGACCAGCGTCGCGATTGAGCCTGCGCCCTGGAAAACCTGGTCACCTGAGCGCTTGTCGGCCTTCCACTTGGTGACAAGGTTGTTGAGGCGCTCGTGGAAGAGAGCCTTGTCGATGACGATGTCGTCCGCCATGGTTGAAGGTGCGTGGGATGAAACCTCCAGATGGGTTGGCGGGGACGGGTAAGAGGGAGTTGAGAGAGAGGGAAAGGGAGAGGGGAAGAGAGACGGCGCTGATGGGAAAAGTCGCGAAGGCCTTGACGGCGACAACGACGCGAGGGCTTCCACGCGCTGCCTCGGGCCTGTGCGCAACCTCTCAACTCCCGAAGCGGCCTAGCGGCCTACTACCTTCACTATAGCTGTATACACTAATACCCCCCAGAGCTAAACTGCAGCCCCACATCCCGGGCATGCAGATGCAAATTATCAACCAGTATAACAACACCATCGCCCTCTGAACTGGTCCCCCGTTTCTTTTTGTTTTGCCCAGCTCGCCAATCGGTACACTTCCACCCAGTATTCCCAAGTCGCTAGCCCGCTTGTGACCCTCGCACGCGGAGCGCCTTCACCTTGCCTATATAGCCTGCCAACGCCCTCGCATGCACCCCCTACATTCTCTCACCTCCCATGCTATGCAATGACAGCCGGCTCCAGTGTCCGCGCTGGAGTCTCTGTCCGCAGTGATGGCCCCAATGATGGCGCCCCTGACACCCCGCAAGCACCCAACAAGGCACCAGCTACGGGCGTCCAGGCTGCGGGCATGCGAGCCGTCGCCGCCAGGATGGTCGCCTTTTACTTCAGAGCGCCTGTAAAGGCCTTTTTCAGGGGCAGGATCGACTACATGGGCTATGCCAGAGCCATCAACCCACATGTCATGGCCGATGCAAAGTGGTCGTGGAGAATGACCACGCCTGCTGTACTCGCACATGCCATACGCACCGAAGGATGGGGTTTCATACCCAAGCAGGTACTGCCGCCGCTTATGGCGAATACATGGTATGTATAATCAGCGTCTGACCCACACAGTGCCTAACACTATGCAGCATTGGTGCAGTTCTGTACACGACATATCTTCACAGCCTGTCAGCCCTCCACGAGCCATCCTCGTACCAGACCAAGCGTGTATACCCTCCTCCACCTCCGTCTGTCACCTTCACCGCAGGATTGATTGGTGGTGGTATTCAATCAGTATTCGCCGCTCCATTCGACGCCCTCCAAACCCGCTTCCGCACCGCCGACATCCTCGAAGGCAAACACAAGACCATGTGGCACTACGCAGGCTACAAGCTACGCTCAATCGGGTTGCAGGGCATCTTTGCTGGCTGGACCCTGAGCTTCATCAAAGACGCTTTTGGCGCAGCAGTCTTCTTCGGCACCTTTGAGACTGTCAAAAGCCAGGCATACCTCGAATTCGTTTCACATTACTACGGCAGCCGAAGTCGTGACACGCTACTGGAAAGCTCTATTCCCTATCTGCAGGAAGACTACGATGATCGTCCAGTTATACGGCCACATTACATGCTGGAGCCCATGTTCTTGCTCTTGGCCGGCATCTCAGCATCAGTAACATCTCAGCTCATCCAACACCCCCTGATGGAAATCCAGGACGTTCACTATCGCCGACTTGAGGCTCTCGATTTTCAGGCTCATCAGGACAACAAGCCCTCGCACATTGTCCGAAGATATTACCATGCCTATGAAGAGACATTTGCGCAATGCCAGGTTCTAGCCAAACGTGCTGGAGGGTGGAGAAACTACCTCTACCGCGACTTCTTCATGAGTACAATAAAGCAAACGCCCAGTACAGCTGCTGGACTCATCGTGTTTGAAATCGTACGCCGGAAGTATTCTTTCGAGAACGAGGAGGTTATGATCAATCATGAGGATGCACGTATCCTGTTGTCATGAAGAACATGTTAATTGTAGAATTGCGCAGCATCTTGCATAAGATACCCAGAGGAGAATTTTAGACAGATAGACTAGGTGTTCATATTTGTATATAGGCAGATCTCGCATCACAATTTACTGAATTACAGATAAATCAATGATACTAACATAGTCTGGGATAACTGCATGGGCGTTAGGCTTCATATTCGGTTTTCATACGCTGAATCAGCCGGTTTAGCATGTCATTCACAAATAGAAGTTTAAGCCCCTCAGTCGGATCCGAGACAAGTGCCGAAGTACTAGCTATGCGTCAACGCCTCGGATAGATTTCCTCCCTGTATCTCCGCAGCCTTTGCTGTCTATCCCACATCCAAGTATCCTCCAGATAGGCTTTTTTGAACCTCAAATTCATGACCATGGACTCACAGTCGCCAATCAACCTCGCCGTGCTCGATGACTACCATGGCATAGCATCCAAGCACTTCGATCACATTAATCCATCCAAAGTTGAAATCACAGTCTTTAACGACACGCTACCGTCATATTTACACCCCAGGACTTCGGATGAAGACCGCAAAGCCCTTGTTAATCGACTGAAACCATTTGCCGTTCTATCAACGCTACGTGAACGCACCGCTTTTCCGGGCGAGCTACTGCGTCAATTGCCCAATTTAAAGCTTATATTTGCGACTGGCGGTAAGTTTGAGTCCTGGGATCTGAATACGATGAAAGAGCTGGGAATAAGTGTTTACGTCGCGCCTGGCAAAGGAAGAACGGACGGCAAGGGCAGCGTCCAGTCGCCGCGATCGCTACCAACCAAGCAAGGAGGCGGACATCCTACTACGCAACACGTCTGGGCACTTATCCTCGGACTTGCACGTAACATTGCTGCTGATGACGCAGTTGTAAAAGGAAAAGGCGGACCTGCAGGCTGGCAGACGGAATTGGCAGTCGGCCTACAAGGCAAAACTCTCGGGCTCGTTGGGCTGGGTAGAATTGGTGCTCACGTCGCTAGAGTGGGTGTTCTCGCCTTTGGCATGCGCATCATTTGCTGGAGTGCGAACTTGACACAAGACAAAGCCGATGCATTAGCGCAGGAATACGGGTTACCAATAAGAGGCGCAGGCATGCTTGCCGAGGATGAAAAGACCTTTCAAGTGGTCAGCAAGGAAGAGCTGTTTCAAACAGCAGACGTAGTATCACTCCACTACGTACTCAGCGACCGCTCAAGAGGTATCGTAGCTGCACGCGAACTAGCGTCTATGAAACCTTCTGCCTTCCTAGTCAATACATCCCGGGCACCCCTTATCGACGAAGCTGCACTGCTGGATACATTGCAGGATGGGCGGATTCGCGGTGCAGCCCTCGACGTGTTCGATATTGAGCCACTCCCGGCGGATAGCCCCTGGCGCAACGTGGACTGGGATAGAAAGGGGAATAGCAGGGTTCTTTTGACGCCGCATATGGGTTATGTCGAAGAAGGAACGTTGACGGTGTGGTACGAAGAGACGGTAGAGAACTTGGAGAGGTTGATTGAGGGAAGGGAATTGCTACACCGGTTGATCTAAGGATACAGTAAAGAAGATACGGATTTGAAGAATCACACGTAAACTAAGCTCATCGGACCTTATATAGGCTGTATAGCCCTCTCCAGTATATCTACCATTCCTGGCCTGAGCTCCCACACTCCGAACTCTCCATTTGCACATGTGATTTCCGCTTGATCCACTCAGACCACTTCCGCGCCACACTCACAACATCCATCTTAGGCCACATCCTTTCCAAAGGATTTAATGAATCCATGATGAATTACATGGAATTGGATTCAAGCATGAAAACCGTATGTGTACTAGGAAGGAAGCACTGGAAACGATTGGGTGTGTTGTATCTTCACGTCGATGGCGTTGGCTTTGTCTTTGAACTTGTGAATCAAGTCACGAACACCTCGGTGCATGCGTAAACAAAGCCATGATGCCCATCATATGTCTCAGCCCTTTCTATTGTCGTCCGTCCCTTTACTCTATAAACTGTTGCCCAAATCCTACATAAACAACAATCCAAGCAAACAGCGGCCATCGGCAGTATCTGACTACCAAGCCGCACAACCCCTCATTGTACCGCTATTTCCTGGCGAGTAACTCAACAAGATTTTGTGAGTAGCTCGGCGCTATATCAACTCAAATATGTCGCTGGCGCATCATTTGCGCACTGTAGGGCGCATGCCTGACCATGCAGCGGAATGCGGCTTTTCAGTGCACCAACAGCGGCACCTTCAAACAACTCTAATATTGCAACATGTCAGCGCATATCTCACTACACTTTCGTTCGGACGTGCAGCTCGTCGGTTGTCTTCTACTTCTACTTCGCCCAATCATGCTATTGTCAACAGTGTGATAAAAAGTATAGATGCTTGTCGTCGCTCCTTCTGGGAACCTCAAAGATTTCTTGCAACAACTTCCTATACGCAAACATGCTCAAACACAACAACCCCAATAAGTACGGTTGTGGGTAAGGTCAAGAACGATAAGGGTACCTCTAGGTTTTTGTCAACTATGGAGAAATCGTTACAAACTCTTAACAAAAGAGCTATAATTCAACTCCCGTTAACTTGCAAAACGATCAATAGAACATCGCCCAGAAATAACACTAATGAACATAAGGATGTAGAGTAAGCTCATCAATATTCAAGAAACAGGAACCATAGTCCTGGATCACGGAAGTACTTGGCCCATTGTGGGAGACAATACACGAGGCAAGGAGACAAGAAGAATCATGAAGACAATTGCGTCAAATGCAGAATGTTACAAATACAGGAGAGAGGTAGAAGCGAAAACCATCGCGGACTCCTAAATTGGGTAAAATATCTCGTGGCGAGCAAGCTGGAAAGAAATACCGCAAGCGGCGCGCTGGATGCGAAACATGATAACTTGAATCATGCCCAAAAAAGGCAAGCCCAGGAGATTGATCGTAGCACTACCCAGCTATTAGATGTCGAGTTATCGCGGGTTGCCACATCAAGACTAACGCCATATGACGAGCAGGGTTATATCTAGATCCTTCGCGACTCGGAAAATGCTCTTTTGAAGATTGGGTTTGCCAAAGATCCCAAATTACGGATTAAGCAACACGAAAGGTGCGGCCGAAAATTGAAGACTGTTTATGTGTCACATTGCATCAAGTGGATGAAGCGGGCTGAGCGGCTGATTAAGTTGGATCTGAAGCACTTGTGTAGGCCTTGGTTCTGCTCATCATGTCAACAACGCCATGAGGAGTATGATATAACCATCAAGTCGATATTTCAAAGCCAATATTCTCCACAAAGTGCATCTGTTCGTTGTGGCATTTGAGTAGTGAGCATCCTTCTTAGTTCAAAGCTTGATTTCTGTAGGCGCTTCATTTTCCGCATATAATCTCGAGTTTTCACAACTTGTTTTCCGAATATAGTGGTTGCAAGATCTTAGTTAAGCCATAAATTTCAGCCTGATCTAGCAGTTCGACTATGGGAAATCTGGAGGGAAATTTGATATGCATCTTTGTTGGAAAATATCTTTGTTTCCCGTGCTCTACAGTGGGGAGTGAAGAGATTGCCGAAACTGATAGCCGCTCAAGACAATCCTACGGCTGCTTCAGACGAGAGATGGGTAGTAATTACAAACGGGACATTTTAGGTATGTCAAGCTCATCTGTGCAAATTTGGGAGCCTTATGTGGACTGAAAGTACTATTTAGCATCCCGTTTTTGTTCATAGCCTTAGTAACATGCTACCTAGGTACATTCTCATAAACTTTGCCCAATGCATTGGCGCGATAAGATTGAGACCTGGCCATGAGTCGAACGCATCCCGCTCATGAGATGTTGGAGGCGTTGTCATTATGCTGACCATTTCCTGCAGAGCAGCCACACATGCAACTTTTTGTCATGCGCTCGGAATCATACTGAAGTTCTCACTGTGCATGGATCCTCCCGATCATAGCAGAGGCCTAACCTTGTGGCTTTGATTACAATTCAACTACAGCAAATAAGGATGAGAACTCGTAGAAATGGACCACACAATGGGTCTGACATGCAGAACGACACATATTGGCCCCTACTCTTAGTGCATACAGTAAGGGGAACTCGCGAAATCAAGCCGCGAAAGTAAAGACGACGTATGATTACGTAGGAATGTGTTGAGTAATAAGCGACTTCGATGTGTTAAGCACCCAGCTCCAACTGAGCATAGAACAAAGAACGTTGCATAACTCCTCATCCTCTACACAAATGCTCGGCACTGTCGCATGAGCTAGAATGTGCTACCTTTTGTTACCTTTTGCATCGCGACAATGTGCTCTTCTGAGTTTTAAATGTTCAAGTCTTGACTCCCACATCTACGCTTCGGTGTGTTGTGGGTGCGCATCAATTAACCAATGAAAAACTCTTGTTCTGGCCCCCAATAGCCAGAACGGCAAATGGTCCTAAAGATCGAGCGCGTGACTCGATCCACCAATAGCGAGAAAAGATTCCGGCCCCAATTACCAAAATAGAGCATCTCAAGCTCTAGACCTGCATTAGCATTCGACCGTTCGAGGAACCCTAGTCGCACCTCAACGCCATGCATCACAAGGCTGAATCGTTCTCTCAGAGCCTTCAATTTCAAGTTCCGCTCAAACATCAATCAAAGCGTGATTATAAAGGTTCATGTAATACCCCACACCCTATACCAATCCCGCACGCATAACTCCTGCCACTTCAAACAAGTCTCCGGCTTTCTTATCACGTACCCAGTTGCGGTATACACTGAAGCAGCATGGAGACTCAGACGGCAAAACAAAGCACATCTACCGACCTTGGTCGGCTGTGGACACAGGCCATAAGCGACTACAATGCACGAACCGGCGAAGATCTCTCGTCCATGGGTGCACAAAGTTTGGATGGAGCGATGAAAAGTCTGGATGATGGCATGGAGAGATTCAAAGGGTTTCGCCACGATGGAAGCAAAACATCAAAGTTCCGTTCAGTTATCGGCAATTCACTTGGAGACATGCAGAAATGTATTGACGGCATTGCTGCAATTGGTTCTGCGGCAGGTGCGTTTCCACCAGCCATGCCAGTAGGACTTGTATTTACGGCAGCAAGCCGCTTGATATCAGTAAGTATCATTGCATTGTGATGTAATCTTAGACTGATGAAAGCAGGCTTTTGCTGGAGTGAAAGCTGACTACGATCGGGTTGAATCGTTCTTTGAGTATTCAGGTCGGTTCTTTGAGCGGCTATCCCTTCTTGAACAACGAGCAGAATCTGGACCACTTGCTATCGCTGTTGTCCGAGTATTCTCTATGCAATTATCTGTATGTGGCAGGGTGCGATATCTGGTTAAAAAGAAACGTTTCTGTAAGGACTACGACTCCTCTAGTGGACCAAACTGATGACTCGTAGCACAATGGCTCAATGCGCTCTGGAATATGGAAGACCAAGAGCTGCTGGCTGCATTCGCTGCTATGCAAGCGTCGATCGATGAGCTTAATCAAACTGTTGGATATGAAACTTACAGCTCTATCAGAACCGTTCAGGATGAGGTGAAAACAGGAAATGACAAACTCAATGCGGTACAAGAAGACACATCAGCAAACGCTGCCAAGCTCGATGAGCTCGATGAAAAGCTGCGTTCTTTCCGTTCAAGCTTGGGACAAGATGTTCAGCAGCTCTACATGAGCAGTTTGAAGCTAGAAGTCGTAGTCAGTGAAGGATTTGTTGCAGTCCAAACGAAGCAGAATGAAAGTCATGCTCTGCTTCTTCAGCTCCAAAAATCAGTCGAGAAACTGGGAAAGACGCCAGAACACGACGAGAAGAAGAAGCAAAGTGGAAAGTCAAAGGGCGACAGCGGTGATCGCAAGTTTCAGGCACTCCGAGAGATTAAAAAGTTTCTCACAGAAAATTACACGACTTTCCCATCATGGACCGACGCCCACCGGGAGAACTTAGCACAAGACGAAGATATGCGAGATTCTCAAGTCAAACACACGGCGAAATGGCTGAATGAACACCCAAACTTCAAGACCTGGGCAGAAGGAGGAAGTCCGTTGCTTTGGCTAAAAGGCAGTGAGGGTATCGGCAAATCCTTTCTGTCATTTTCGGCTGTTCAAGGACTACGCGCACTCAAAAATGACAAGAATAGCTTTGCCTATTTCTACTTCAAAGAGGAACACCCATACCTGCAATCTGTACAGAATGCTTTTGCATCAGCCGCACTTCAGATTGCCGAATCGAACAACAAGTATGCAGAGCAGGTAGCGGCAAATATCAGGGACAATGCTGCACAATCGGAAGACATATCTACTTGGGAACGGTTTTTCATTTCGATGTTTCCGGGCAAAGAAAAGTCTGATAGTCGGCTTTTCCTTGTTCTGGACGGCCTAGACGAGGCTCATATCCAGCAGAATGGCATCATGACGCAGTTTCTATCCGACTTAAGGTTCGAGAACGCCAACGTTTCGGTATTGTTGACGAGCAGGCCAGAAGAGAAACCCATCATACAACTCTTCGATCCACCCGTCATCGATGTCACCAAGCAAGAGATAAGGCCGGACATCAAGGCGCTGGTCAAGAGTCGCCTTCATTCACTACCACGAGTGCGAAAATTTAGCCACGCTGTGAAAAGAGCCATCACTCGCAAGGTCGTCAAACAAGCGGACAGTATGCTCTACGCTGAGCATGTGCTGCGAAGGTTCTCCTACATTGGCCGAGAGCGAGCCGTCTTGGAAGAATTGGAAAAGCTGCCGGACTCTCTCCATGATCTCTATAAACTTCTTCTGGACGAGTGCCGCCACAATCGGTCTGATGCTCAATATCAAGCGCTGAAGAAGCTTTTTGCATGGCTGGCTTTTTCGAAACGATCGCTCAGCCTGGCAGAAGCCTCAAACTTGGTGCAGTTGACGCTATCAGACAACTCCTTTGATATTGAGGAAGAAATTATTGGGCGCTCATCCCGTATCCTTGAGCTTACACAAACCCGGCAGACAGAAGAGGATACTAAAGAAGATGACAAAGAAGATGACGACACCGACGACACGAAAGATGATTTTGTTTTTGAACTTGGATATCGAGAATCGCCTTTGTCATTCCAAGATCGCTCCCTGCGACAGTACTTCAAGAGCGTGAGCGTTGAGGCCGATGGCACTGAAGAATTCCGGACACCTGCTTCTGCTGCACACCTCACCATCCTACAGATGTGTGCAGACATTATGATTAAAGCAGCAAAAGATCCAGAAGACCAAGCAAGCTCAGGGCTGTCGCTGTATGCAATCCAATATTGGTACGAGCATCTGAAGGAGCTGGACGTTGAGAAGTCGACGGATGCGACGGTTTGCCAAGTGGTAACTTTGTTGTACAGCATAACGCAAAACACTAATAATGTTGCAAAGTTGTTTGAAGAAAGAGCAAGGCACGCAGATCTCTACCCTGAGCGAGCAGACGACACACCTTCAGCATGGTTCGATACACTCTTCATTTGGGCAGCAAAGGCATCCTCATTCGCAGATGGATCTTTGGATAGTGAGGTCAAAGCGTGGGCGGGTGGTGTTAACAAGGATAATGTCTTACTTTTGTTGGCAAAAGGACATGTTCAAAATTGGTTGAATGCTAGAAGTCAGTGGTGGATACCTGAGACCTTTCGATTCGTCAAAGCTGCTCTTCGATTGGTAAGTGCTCTTGTCTCATGACCACAACGTTTCTAATTGAATGTAGGCCAATCGGCTACAAACAACAGACGATGAGCCACTGAAACTCATTCACGAGGTCACTTCGCAGTATGATGTTCCCACTGAGGATTATAAGACTTTGAGAGCGATTGGCGCCACATTGTGTGATTATGGATACGGTTATTCAGATGCAGAACGTCAGAAGGCGATGTTGACTGAAGGAGCTTCGTACCTTAAGCAGGCCGTCGAGCGTATGGAATGCGACAACCAAGAAAAGATCGAAACACTTCGCCTTCTTGCACCAAAGTACTTGTGGATCGATCAGCATTCGGAGGCGATCAAGTACTACGACCAAGCATACGACATGTTGCCAGACCCAGATTCAGAGGGACTGACCAAAGTTCAACAGACTGAGTTCCTTGACATCCGATTGGATATATTGACAGCTAAAGCTAGCGCCTTTGAAGAAATGAAACAGACTGAAGACGGCCTTCGCATCTACAACGAAGCAAGAAGATTCTCAGGCGAAACGCCCCTACCTGGCGCGAGGCTTGACGACATCACACTTTTGTTCAAAGAAGAAAATGACCCCGATGGTTCGAAACTCATCAAAGAACTGAAAACATGGACAGAAAAGGAGCGAAATAATTGGTTTCAATATTGTTTTGAGGGTTGGGTAGACAATAACGCGGTTACTCGTATGCAAAGAGCAGCCAAGTTGACGGGCGAGACTAATCTGCTCCTCGGCTGGCTCTATACTATGGCAAAGACTCTACCTGAGGAGAGCTATTATCTTTTCAACGTCCGAGGCGCAATCGCGAGCCTGTACTACCCCGTGATGGGTGACATTGAGAAAGGCAAAGCTTTGCGCCAGGAAATCCTAGCCATGAACCCAAAACCTGAATCTTGGTTCGAGGAGACCATGAACGAGAAGAAGACGGAGCATCGACTGAAGCTTGCTGAAATCTTGTTCCACGAATTCCAGAACTGCTCAGATCCAACGAAGAAGGAAGCTCTGATTGAAACTTTGAGGACTCTGCCGAGCGCTCATGTAGACGATGACCTTCAGGAATCTCATGTGGGTATGCTGCTTGCAAACATGCTCCGGATCATGGGCCCCGCAAAGGAGTATCAGAAACACATGAACGACCTATTTTCTGCCTGTATGAATGGCCTTGAGGACAGTGTATCGTGGAACGACTCTTCTAGTCTGAGACTCTTATCCAAGGTCTTGGGCTCAATGGACGGTCTTGAAAGAGACGCAAAGATTGCTTGCACAGCGCAATTTTCGATACTGGACCGGAGCATACACTATCAAAACACTGACACTGATGGTTCGGAAACTGGTTCTAACGGTGACAGTACAGAAGAAGACGCAGAAGATAAGTCTGTAGAGGAAACTGTACCCGTTGCGGAAACCGCCTCTACGACTGAAACTGCAGAATCCGACAATACCCCAGTACCTGACGTGGGAACTACGAAGAATGAAGAAACTGGTTTGGTAGATGGCCAACTCAAGACTGTGGGAGGCTCTACTACCGATTCAGTAGTTGCCAAAAGGAGAGACTCTGCAGAAGTTGCCGAAGCTCCAGAACAGACAGCAGAGACACAAGAATCTACCTTGTCGGAACAGGACTCTGCTGCAGCAGATTCGAACAAGCTTGACGAAGATCTTAGTGGAAGTGGAATGTTCTGCGATGGAGGTTGCGGAACAGACATGAGCAGCTGGGTCAAGCCGATATATTATTGCTTGGTCTGTGTCAACTGTGATCTGTGCGAAGAATGTCATGCCAAGCGACTAGCGCAGACGCGCGGAGAGATCGCGGAACCATGGCACAGCTACTGCGGCAGAGATCACCGGTATATTAAGGCACCTATGAAGGGATGGAAGGGTGTGAAGGAAGGTATCATTAGGATTGATGGCGAGGAGGATTTGTCAGTGAAGGACTGGCTGAAGGGCTTGAAGGAGGAGCGATGGCAGAAGGCATGGGAAACGTTCTGGACACGACAAGGTGGGCTGAAGAATATTGGAGTTGATGATTAGAAGATATCAACGGTACATGAAGTGATCTTACACGCGATAGTAGCAACCATCTATTGTCGGGTCTGGGTGTGAAAACTCAACTATACGGGTATATTCCAGTCTGTCGAGTGTCCGTGATTAACCAAGGATGATCTTCGTTGGCGGAGTGCAATTTGCATCCCAGATTACCTTCGGCACACGTCCCGCCGCACGCCGGTATGCTATTTCTCTATTACGCTCAACCCATAGTACATTGTAAAAGTGGTACTCCCTTCCGTCTGAGCCTTCTATGCCATATAATTCCGTCTCTTTCTTAGCTTCTGTGATTTCGTTAGTTTGGCATCGCATGAGACTCCATGCTTCAGGTGATAATATCGAACCGCCACTGTCATATTGACCTAGATACTCGGAAGTTCTTGCATATAACGGGCCGTCGCCTTCATATGCTTCCATATCCAGCTTATACAGCTTGTCAGCTTCGTCGCCTTCAACACCGGTGGGGTTGATGGTTCCTGTAGATATGGCTATAAGCTCCACTGTGTCGCCTAGCTTGGGTTCATTCTTCTCCACGTTGCGTAGTACACCAGAAGAAAGTCTTTCCTGGGTTTCAAGACAGATGAGGTCGCAAGCGTCCTGCAGGCGTGGCCCTTTGGCGAATGATGGGAGCTTGAATATCGATCCCCATCTGGCCTTGCGTTTTGCCATTTTCCATCCCTGTGAAGCAGGAACGGAATAACAGACAGCTTTGATGTATAATGATAGACATGATATCTAGCAGGAAAGGAAAGGCCAGGAATATTGAGGCATAGAAACGTATTGCGGGCTTGCACTAAGCGGTGTGGGACTGGAAAGGGGGGTGAATGCTCCATCTTGAGGGATCAAAGGCCTATCTGCTGGCACTTGGCGTTGCATATCTTCGGGCAGAGAGTACTACTGTACGAGCTTCTGCGTTTTCCAAACAGGTAATTGAGAACCACGATAATCTTTGTTAAAATACGAAGATCGAGTCCGCAGATGGTATGAGTCGACGGGACAAGTCTACCTACACTATGATCATGGGTTCAGATGCGTTTTTGCCGTCATTGTACCTTCATCATCGTCTCTTGCTACTCTACGATGAGCCCTGTGGAATATTTGCCATAGAAGTGCAGTATCCAGATAAATACGAGGTAGGCCGTACAAGAATCCAGAAGGAAAGTTGCGTCCGAGGGTTGACAAGACACCTGAAAACGCTGAGAGAACATCTTGCGGGTATGTAAAAACACGGCTGTTGTATAGACGGATCAATTCCGTGTATATATCGAAGTCAGGGTAAGAGCTGGATAACATATTGGTAGCTTTGTCGTAGTGTGAAGCCGTGAAAGAAGTACTCCCCCTTGTAGTCTTTTCTGGGCTTGGTCCATCTCCGCTCCAAGTACATTGCTGACATTTCCAGAACGTGTGATGCTGGCTGAAGACAATAGCTCTTTTTGAGAGCATCTGCTCCTGGAGGGTCCAGCCACGGGTGGCCTACGTGGATCTGTAGAGATCATTGTGGAGATCCTCTACCTTGTCATCTATCCTGGAGCTGCGAAAAATATCAGTGGTTCTCAGCAGCATGCCATAGGGATCTGCCGATATGATCGTCAAATGTGCACCAGAGTACATATCGCCCATATGGTTCATCTGCTCGCGTGTGCTTTCGTCTTCCTGGACAGTACATAAACAGTCAACCCATAGGTAGTTATCTAGCGATATAGTATAGTAGCGTAATTATAGAGAGGATAATAAGTTTAATAACTAACTACTAATCTATTTAGTTAACTAACAGGTATCAATCTTATAAAGAAAAGTAATTAGTATGAAAGTATAATCTTAGTTAACTATACTAGAAGAAATAATAAAATCTATCTACTCTTATATTCTTACTAGTATAACGGATCGAGCTCTATTAGACTGCGCACGCAACTATAACGCGCTCACTACGCTAAAAGGGCTAGTATAAGAATATTAGAGCTACTGATATTCGCGCGTAGTTAATACTTAACGAGATAACCGTCTATTATCTATACGTCACGGGCCCACGCCATGACACTCCTATTCCTAAGGTTGGATCGTAACATGCCCTTATGCCTCCGCGTTAGCGTTGTGCAGGAAATCCCAACCCCCGTTTTGCAACTTCACGATAAGAAGAAGATGTACCTTCTTCACACAACCCAATCGCACCTTGAATTGGATCCATGGTGGTGGGGTTATGTCGTGTTGAATGTGGGTGAAGGTTGCTTGTTTTGATGTTTTTTTTTGGGGGGGGGGGCAACGAGTGCCACGGTCCGACATTTGTCCGGGTACTTACGGTATCCACGCCTCGGCCCGTGACTCCTATAAGCATTCACCAAACTCCAAGCTGGTCGGCTCTCTCTTTGAACTCAACTGCACAGCAGCTTTGCTACGTGTTGTGCCATACAAGACCCTCCTTGTGCTGTGGCTCCATTACCGCTGGTCACCGGTATGCCACGAGCTAGCACAATGAACGACAGTACTGTTGCTTGCACACCCACTTTGTCATCGCGCCCGCCGCAGTCCCGCCAACTCCCTCGACGCTCAGCGGGTGCCCTGATTCGGAAAAGAGAGCGAGACAAACAAAATCAGAAGAATAAACGTGAGCGTGAGCGCGAGTATGTTGCTGGTCTCGAAGCGAAAGTCCAGAGTCTGGAGAAGGAACTTGCAATATCAAACGTGCAGCATTATAGCTATGCAAAAAGCGTGCAGTCACCTCCAACTGACCATACGTTTGCTAGCGACACTAACTGCCGTGTGTCAAGCGACACCGAAGAGCGCATCGTTATTTCGTGTACGATGGCTGATGCCGTGCTTGGGGCATCCGCTCAATTGTCTAGTAGTAATTTTGAAGAGATTATAGGCGCAATCCCTCCCCCAAACAATGCGCCTATACCATCCACTTCATTCGTTCCCTTTACACCACCATCGACCTTGGTCAACGTCCTACCCTGTTCCCTACCAGACAGCGCTGTCGTATCCTTGGAACTTCTAAATAGGGTAATAACATCGCCTGATTGGAACCGAGCACCAGCTTGGAGTTTGTCTCAATCTAACAGAAGTCACCAACACTTCGATCGCACAGCGTCATTTTTACCACTCCTTGCGCAGCTCCAAGCGGACCCGGCCATGAAGTTGGTGTGTCCGCCAATCGCAAAGACACTAGACCTCTTATTTGGGGGCTCAAGCAACCCACTTGCTAATTTTGTACATTCGATAATCGTTCATCTTCCTTGTCGCCCACCGGAGAAATTTGGTATTATTTATGTTTCCTACCTTTATTTGAGGGTAAGTGCTTCTCAGCCCTTGGTTGAGGATTTTGTGGTTTAACTCAATCATATGGTTGGCTGATATTTTAACAGTGGTTAGTTTGGCCCTCCCAAGAGAGCTTTTGCCACTTTCCCGAGGAACTTCGCCCCACTATACTCCAGCTTGTTGAGCGCCATTATCTCAACTTCGACCTCATTCCGTGGCCGCAGCTGCGAGACAACCTCATTCGTTATAGTCTTCGTCACGACTTGGAATCTGTTCTTAGTCTCTATTGCTGTTCGCTTCGAATCAAGGATTGGGGTGAGATGAACTTCATCTGTCGCAAGAATGATGAGGATCCGCAATTTAGCGATGAATTTTTACGAAAGATTACGGATATTTCCCAATGGACCCTTCTGGAGACTTTCTGGAGTGAGTATCCGGATCTGGTGCAAGGACTTCCCCTTGAGATTATGCTTGGACTGGACATTTTCATGCCTGCAGCCGATACACAACATATTTGAATCAGGTATTCACCAAGAATTTTGCATAGGTATCATCATAGCCAAGACGAATTGCTCTACTATTTACCAATCCTTGTGTTATGTGGCTCTTTATAGCATTGAAAACGCGCGTTCCTACCCTAAGAAACATGACGTCTGGACCAAGTTTGATAATGGTTCCCACTACTCGGTGTATAATTGTGGCTTTTTCATAGTCAGTGAGAGATAGACCTCTATCCTGGTTGATGATGCGATGACCGCTATGACAGAGTCGAGCTGCTTCAATTTTAACGATGAACTGCTTTTTCTATGGCTCAGGTATCGGAATGTCTTCGATACAGAATGTTCTTAATTTCATTCTGTATCAAGGCGCTTTCGTCATCACTGAATATCTTCGCACGAGTCAATGCGAATAGGTGTAGGAGAAGTCTTGAAAGTGATTCTGGCCTCATCACGGAAAAATATTGGAAATTCACCAAGGATGAAATGTTGCTATACCCGACATCTGACAAGTTTTTTGCTGCTCGAAGTGTTTTCAAAAATTCAAAGCCTTGGCGAAACAGATGGAGATTGGAGGGGTTGAGACAAATCAATATTTCCCGGGGTGATAATAGAGCTGTTCGGCGATTAATGGGCGAGTCACCCAATCGTTTTCAAAGACACAGGCCAACACTCCTCTAACCCATTATTGCTTAGCCTAGAGAGTCATCGTTCACCCAGCTTCTAATTGATCTTGCCAGCTCAATGAACTCGGTACTTCATACTACGGGAACTTAGGAAAACAACATCATGTTAGATTACAACACAATGCTGAACCTTACCACTAATCACGTCATGTAAATCGGAAGATAAACAAGATTGGCAGCAAGATCTGTTTCGTCTCGGGAAGGAAGCTAAAATTCTAGGCTCTACTACACCATACCGTAGATACCAAAATATTGCATTTACAACCCAATTCTAGGATACAATTGCAACACATATATAGATCGATAAGTAAGCCTGAGAAAGAAAGTCCACGTTAAATTCGTTCACATGTTAAGGAAATGAGATGTCTTAAACCATTTAAAGCGGTCGACAAGATTTAGTCATCACTAGAGATGTGGCTACTTTGCCCAAGGTTTATCCTCTGCGTAAACATGTAATTAAGTAAATGTCTTCTATACACATTTACTCATAAGTGACATTTAACATACAGCTGTAGTTGCTATATCATAGCGGAAAGACTTCCTTCCCGGGACGCAGGAAGGCGCGCGGAATCTCGGAGAAGATGGCTCCTTCATACCTCAGAATTTTCAAATCAGCCCAAGGATGTAACAACGTCCCAGGAGTGAAAACAAGGCTGCCTTTACCGATCCAAGCAGACTTGACATGCCATTCCATCGATGAAGGCACCAATTCTTTGATTGCCGCGGTCTGTGGATTTGCTAGGGAAGGAATGCTGCGTAAACCCAAGTGCAATGTATCATCTTTCGGAACACTTTCTACTCTTCGTTCTGGGATAAAATTGAAATGAACAATTGGTGTGCCCACGGGTCTCTCTACCGTTCCCTGATAGAGGCGCGATCCAGTGGATGTCTTGATGTCCACCTTGCCGAAAACCTTCGGTATCCCAAAAAGCTCTCGACCTGCAAAGATTGCGGATTCATTGTCGAGGATAAGGATAATGCTGTAGTGGTATTTTTGGCCGTTGAACCTGACCTCTGCCTGGAGGACGAACTCATTGTATGACCCAACAGAACTTTTTCCATAATGAACAAACGTAGAGGTCATCAGTGTTTCCTCTTCAATCTCCATAATATCCGGAATAAGATGGCGTATTTCAGATCCAGCAACGCGATATTGAATCACGGTAGTGTTTATATCCTCGAATTCGTTGTCATATGGACCGGTTGGATAAGGCGGCGAGTAGTTCGGGATGGCATCGTTCGATAGACTGAGAGTACCTTTCAACATGGTGGAGTAGTTTTCGATTTGAGGTGAGATGGAGCTTGTGGTCATTGAGGCTGCATTGCAAGCTTTATAGACAAACAGACTTTCAGATGAGGGCTATACTTGGCAAGGGTTTGAGTATTGTGTAAGGACCTATTGAAACCAATTGAGCAACACTGACTCGTCGGAAACAAGTTTTGTAGCACGAAACTTGATGATTACAACATCGTCTCGGCTAACGCGTAACCCTCTCTAGACGAAAAGATGCCTAAACGAGAAAGCCTTGTAAGTTTACTAAGCTCTTTCGCTGAATCAAGTGGTTTAAATTCCTTCTACGCACTCGAGAGCGTGATTCGACAGCTTGACAAATTGCAAGCGAGTCAGTGGTCCTTAGCCGTAGGCGTGAACCGATGAATGCCGAAGTCTTACCATCTAACAATGATGGCGTTATCCGGGGACGACGTCGCCATTATTCGACGTCGCCCTTGTTCGACGTCGCCCTTGTTCGACGTCGCCCTTGTTCGAACAGAAAGGGTTAGTTACGGACGAATATTCGACCGAACTAATGATATTGTTCGGCGTTACTCTATGTTCAATTTTCCCGGACAGCGGAATAATCGCTCCGCCCCACTTTCTACTGATGCTATCACTATGTGTTCAAAGTTACTTGGTATCCTTGTCACGTAACGCTAGTATAGATAGCTCTCTGCTTACGAGAACTACATCGGCCTAATCTTGTCCGGAAATAGAACGGTAAAGCCAAATCTTGTGCAACGATTGGTAATTAGCTTCCGGAAGCCACCTAACTAAATTTTTTGAAGCAATTCCTTTTAAGATCCATTCTGAACCCGTACTATCAATCCAGTGAGACTCGAACACGATTCACTCTCTGAATTTTCGATAAGATCTGCAGTATTCTAAACATGACTTCACACACTCATTTTGACCGGGACACTAAGGCAAGCGAGGTGGCTGACGCTTTTTCAGCACAGATCAAGGACCGCGTTGGTAAGTTATCACAGCTATATTTCCCAGTCAAGATATTTACCTATATAATACAGTGGTCGTTACAGGAATATCTCGATTGGGGCTTGGTGGAGCTATTGCGCTTGCATTCGCAAAACATAAACCAGGAATGCTTATCCTAGCATCACGCACGCAATCTAAGATGGATGAAGTGGCTGCTGATATCAAGGCTGTTAACGCTGATTTGGACGTTAAAACAGTTCTTGTAGATCTCCTCTCCCAAACCGCCGTCCGTCAAGCAGCTGAAGAGATCAAGTCACACACCTCTCGCATTGATATTCTAGTCAACAATGCTGCGTTGAACATCTACGAGCGAAAACACACGCCTGAGAATATTGAGTATCAGCTAGCCGCTAACCACATTGGACCCTTCATCCTTACCAATCTCCTCCTAGACTGTTTCTTGGAGGCTGCTACGTCTTCGCCGCCTGGTGCAACACGGGTCATTAATATGACTTCTGATGGCCATAGAGCGAGTCCCTTCAGGTTCCATGACTATAACTGTGAAGGGAAACCTGTCCCTCCCGAAGAGGCCGATACGCTTGCAGAATGGCCGCCAGAGGTGCAAAAGCCCAATGGAGGCTACTTAGGATTCTTGGCGTATGGGCAATCGAAGACAGCAAACATCCTGTTCAGCGTAGAATTGAACAAGCGTCTTGCCCAGAGAGGCATTGCTTCGTACAGTGTGCATCCCGGAAGTAAGATAGTGTGCTTTCAGATCCTCAGTTTCATCTCCTTCTTGCCATGATATTTTCTAACTGCTTTGAACAAAACAGACATTATAACTGAGCTTGGCAGAGATATGCAGGAGGATCTAGCGAAAAAGGTGCCGGATATTGTGAGAGCTAAATACCTCAAGCCTAGTATTGAAGAAGGGGCGTCAACTACGATGGTTGCCGCTTTGGATCCGGCCTTGACTTGTATGACAATTATCAGCATCGACGCGGAATCCTTTTACTAACAACGTCTCAGGTGCGAAGGGTGTGTTTCTAGAGGATTGCCAGCTTAGTTTCGCAAGGCCCTACGCTGTAGATCCTGTCAATGCTGAAAGACTTTGGGTATTAAGCGAGAAACTCGTTGGGCAGAAGTTCTAGTATATAATGCCTAATCCACCAAATAACTAGATAAGAGTCTTGATTGTAGTATCTATGCTACCTTCTTTCCACAAGATTGTAGGAGGCTCTTCATCGATGAAAGTCTCGCTCATGCACATAGCCACCGACTAGTTTCGGCGTCTATAATCTCGACAGTGCAACAAGAACTAGATTTCTCAATATATTTTGTCATTTCCTCGGCGGTTTTGATCAACTTGGGATAGTGTTGACATGGAGCAAGGTTAGAATCATCTCACTTCATCCGTGGTATCGACAGCTCGTGATACGACACTTGATACACCCACCATCAATGTTATACTGCAACTACAAGGAACAGGATCAGTATATCTAAAACATTCACGAGACTTGAAATTTTGGAATACCTTTCTTTGCTGACGTTTTGGGAGCGCAAAAGACTGATAGAAGAATAGATGCAACGCCTCTGCTCACCGCCCAGGCTCCGACTCTGGTCGAGCCACATGCGCAAATGAGGTCGAAAAGTAACACAAAGAAACAGTGCGTAAACAAAGGCAGAATATCATCATTCCTTCATGATGACGGGGCTACACATCGATATTCGACCTAGGCACTGTTCGGACCACAGTGCCTGCCTCGCACACCGTGCTTGATGAAGAATAGTGCAAGCCATGGAAGTACAGAAGCCCTCAATGCGCTTGGTCGCCGTTCTGGGATCATGCCGTGCAAACAAATCAGTCACCCAACTACCAATCAAAGGCTGAAAAGCCGAGCCACCCGTCCGGGCACTATCCTGGGAGCCCCTGCGTTGCGTATAATCACCTTCGCGACATACAACGCTGTCATAATGACAACAATTGCAGGCAGCTAAACAGCCTCGAGTTTATACCCGTGGTTTGGCGCATTGAGTGCACAGAAATGGTACTTTCGCCAGCCACATGATTATAGCTTTCATCAGTCTGGTTCTCAAAATGCATTAATTATCAAGTACATGCACGTGTCAACCCCAGTCACATTCTGGTTACTTGGGTCAATCCTGTCGACACTCCCTAGGCGCCAGAACATGTCAAATAGCCAAGTCTCAACGCCAGCCACGTTGTAATTACTTATTGCGCTAATGCTGTCAATATTCATAAGGAACGCCACTACGTGGTGGCGCACTAACGGATGCGGGTCGACCCTTGCGCTACTAAGCGATGCTGCGGGGTCCATGCAAGAGTAATCCAGACCGCTGTAGAGTCGCTGCGGCCCACATGGATGACGCATTCAGAGGACGTTAGTGGAGGTAATTAGGTCTAGTTAAATACAGATCTTAGCCTTTCATGTATCTATCTAGCCAGCCACTTAGCAAAAGCCGAACTCTATCGGCGAGTCCGCCCACCAGTAACTCGTAGACCCACTTTCATATTGTGACGCTTTTGGTGACTTGCAGCAGTGACAAGGTGGCTTCAAAGCTGGTATGAAATGGTTTACGTACGATAATAGGATAGACATCTGTGCATAGCGGTGAGCGGTGTCAAAACTAGACCCGTCCTTGGGCTTCCGGGAGATTCTTTGGTGTTACGTAGAGCCGGGTGTAATACGCTATCTTGATTTATAATAAGTAAATGAGTCTGTTGTTGGAAGCCGTCTGTGCGGTTTTCCTGCGAAACTTGGAGATTTTGGTGTAGAACTACGTTTCGTAGAAGCAATTTAAACCTACAGCAATGTAAAACAACTACGTATCAATCTGGGTAAAATGATAGCTCATACAAATTAAACACAGCTCAAGTTATATCACACTATCTTGTAGACCAGTTCCTTCTGGCCCTGCTATCTATGGATGCATGGATACCAAATTTCAAGGGTGAGGAAGGATAGCAGAGGATAACAAAACAACAGATAGTAGTTTTCAAGAAATTCTTGTAGGGGTTTGAAGGCTTATTTTCATCGTCCAAAAATCGCTCGTAGCATAAAAGTCAGTGATCCAATCATAGGGAATCCAAAAAAGAAATTTCGATACACCCATCGAATTTTGGCAAAGGACATGCTTTGAATTGTCATCATAACCAACAGCCATGACAGCATGTGCAGCTTTTGGCAGGGACACTTTGGAGTGCCTCGTCTTTGCCATCGCATGAATGTGCCACATGCCATTTGGTCTGTCCCTGTCCCACACAGCATCCCCAATCTTCCAAGTGAGACTAAAAACCACCGGGCGACATTCACTGAGGCAAGATCGAAGATTTTCGAGGACAATGTCACCATCCGCATCCATATCCAAGGTTGAATCAGGTCCTTTTGCGTTACGATGGACATCCAAGCGCTCATGCGTAGATATCTTGTGTTCGAGTGCCTCTTGAAAGCAAGCATCGGGCGGCTTATCATTTGTTCTGAGTTTATCATAGGGCCAAGAAGCTTCCGAGCATACTCCATACTTTTCCAGACTTCTGAATGCGTGACGGATGAAACACCCTCTGTCTGCGATATTTTGAGACAACGCAATGCGAGCATTGTAGTAGATGAAGAGTCGAGATGGAATGATTGTCTCGCCAGGAATACTGTTGAGAACATTGTGTTTGCGGAGCTCGAAGAGATAACAAGCCGCGGTTGCATTCGCAACACAGGATCCCATCTGACCTTGCTGGAAGCAGTCTTCAAAGAACCCTCGACATCTTGGGTCTGTACGAAGATTGATAGTTGATGCAATCTGTAGTCCATGGGGCTTTTGGTATGGATGCTCCGTGCCAGTGAAGGTGTCATCCGTTTCTGCCATCTTCCTAACCTTTAAAACATATTAGCTCGTACAAAATAGCTTATCACAGCGAAATCTCTAATAGTCAAAGAAAAAATATCACCTGGAGAATGGTCGCTAGTGCTGGACAGTCATGCCACGATCTTGGGAGGCCATGCTGCTTGATGGCACGAAATGTAACTTATTCCCATGCACTAAAGCTTTAACCTTTTGTAAACAACGGCAGAAGTCGTCTAGAGTCGTAGCTTAGGAAATTGCGATCTAGACTTAGCAGTTAGCTGAAGCCGTGTATGTATACCCGTTCTAGACCAGTTGCGCCTGACATACCTAGCTACTTTCGGACCCACTTCGCCTTGATCCGTTTAACACCCGCAGTGCCTCGCTTGACGGCGACGCCACAGTGGGCCGGGCTCGTTTGTGCAGAAGCTAATGCGCGTTGCCCTGACTCTGTGGCGTTTTGAGAACATCATTAATACGTCGCAGCGCCAGCAGGTCAGCGACGGATTTCGACGCATCTTGATTTGCTCAATGTGCAGTGCGATTTGCCATCATTGGCCACTGCAATCTAGCCTGTAATTTTAATACTCTCTCAACCATCTTGTGAGCTTTCACGGCAGTAAATCTCAAACAGAATATCAAGACGAGCGCAAATGGCAAGAATAATCACCCAATGCCCTTTAGGTCATGTATTCTCGTTGACTCACAAGACCAGATATCCGTCAATTAACTCCAATGTTTCAGTAGCAATGGTCACGTTCATGGTAGAGTATTTGAAGAGAAGGAACGGATTTAGATGTTGCTATTTCTGACTGACAAACGAATGTGTTGATGAGAAAAAGGCCCCGTTATCTAAAAGAGTGCCGGTACGGATGATCGCTCTTAAGCGCATCTAAAAGTTGTGAAGAGGATCGCCAATGAGTCCGGAAAAGTACTTGGCGATATCCTTAACACCCCCAGGGAGTGGGGCCAGACTGATAATTGCGAGAGCGCCATTGCCCAACTTGGAGTACAAGGTTGACACAAACCTCCACTATAGGTGAATCAAGGTCAGTACAACTTCACTTTTGAAATACTATTGTTACTAATGCTCACCTGGAACGGATTGCGAGACTTGTCGTGGAAGACCAGGAAACGTCCTTCTCCCTGCTTGTTCTTTTGACCGTACTGGAAGGAATCATCCACCGTGATTGTGAAGGAATCACCAGAAGACTTGGCCTTCAAGGCGTCGAGCTTGCCTTGCTGAATGAAGATGTAGCTCTGCTCATCGTCTGTGTCACCAAGAATTAGAAGTGATCTATCAGGTATTTGTGGTCCATAAATACTTTTGTCCTTGTTCGTGAAGACGGCCATGTAATAGTTGTCGGACTTCTGGGAGAGGTTCTGCTGCCAGTTTACAGTGGCAGGATTGGCGGCAATATCGCCCTCAGCGATGAAGATCTTGTTTCCCTTTTCAACAGTCATGATGTAAGAATTTGGCACCTAAGAAGATAGATACAGGAAAAGATGATTTGTGTAGTAGTTGTTGGGGTTGAAGGATGAGATGAATGTGTGTGTGGATGTGTGAGAAGAAGGGCGATTATTATTATTATTATTATTATTATTTTGGTTTTACGTCCTGTCTCAGCCGGTGGGCTATATAAGACGTGCAGGCTAGGCCCGCAAGTATCTACGTAGTGCTATCACTTTGGTGTAGGTGGGGGAGGGGGCTATCTAAATCGAGGTGAGGCTCGTAGCCTAGTCTAGAGGGAGGTAGAAGGGGGTCTTGCGGGTAAAAGAGAGAGGTAGGGTGGGTGTAGGGCGAGGCCACCTAGTATAGGTGTTGCCCTAGTTCTCGAGGTTTCCTTTGTGCCAGGCCTGTGTTGCAGCCCTAGTTTCTTCAATAAAGGCAATAGTAGCCTGTATGCCTACGCTCGTGTTTAGCAGGAAGGCTAGCGATAGGGGGTCCTTGCTCGCCTCCTGCATCTTTATCCTAGCCTCCTTATATAGCGTACAGCTAAGGAGGATATGGGTAGGATCTTGAGTAGCTCTATAGTTGCAGGGGCAAACTTTAGAGTCTACTTTGTCTCGCGTAAAGAGAAAGTCTACTTAGGTAACAGTGGCCTAGCTTAAGTTG